AACTTGGGTCATCACCACCCCTTCGAGGTTGGCAGTGACATCGGAGCCATAGTAAAGGGGTCCTTGGATTTCATACAACAGCTGCGAGCTGACCGTTCCAACGGACACCTCACCTCCGGTTCCCGGCTCCTTGGTAATGACGCATGTGCCATCGGCCTCGACTTCGGCGATGGGGAACCCAATGTTCTCGCACTTGTCCATCAACGCCTTGAAGCCGGAGTAGTATCCGCCACAGACGTAAGCAGAGCACTCGATCAAATGGCCACAGACCAGTGAGCCAGCAATTTGGTCGAGGTCGGTCTCGCGATCCCAGCCGTGCCACCACATTGACGCGCCGATTGTCGGGGCTGCGTCGGCAACACGTCCAGCGATGACAATGTCACACCCCTGACGGAGAGCTTCAGCGATGCCAGCGCCGCCGAGGTAACATCTAGAGCTTGTCAGCATATCGTAGTTCTCTTGATAGTGGTGGTGTTTGTCTTACTGTGCAGCAAGAATGTCATCAAACCCCCAATCCTTCAACGGCTGCCCGTTCATCAAGCTCGTGAAAACCTCACCCTCAGCATGGAGTCTCTTCACCGTCTCGGTGACTTCGTCGCCACTGACCCAGCCGACTTTCAAGTCCAGCCCCTGCTTCTTGATCTCTTCCTCAACCAACCCCGCGAGCAACTCGGTGTCACTGGCGCCGGCGTTGACAGCCATCTTGATGTTCTTCTTTTGCATGTACGACAGCGCCGGCGAGAGGTTCTCCATGAACGTGGGGTCGAAGAGGCCGACGGTATCCGCTGCCAGCTGCCCGGCCTGCTTCAGTCGTTGATTCTCGGTCTTTTGGGCTCCGTGGAGTGTCATGGTACACTCTGACAACCAGTCGCCGATGATGCAGTCGATGTCGCAGTTCTTGGCGAGGTCGCCGATGGCGCGTTGCCGGTCGGAGAAGCCGCCGGAGGACCCGGCGATCCGAATTGCTCTTTTTACGGACGGCATTGTGATTTCCGATAGATGTGATCGTAACAAGAAGAATACTGGGTGTTTGCAAGAAACCAAGTGCCCGTTTCAAGAACACCCTGGGCTTGACCTATGTTGGACCCCATAGGCTATAAGTATGTTTCCATAACCCAACTTGCCGGAGTCCATTAGCCCAAGCTAGCCGAACTGTTTGTTCACGAACATAGCAGAGCCTCTTGGTCGCCTCCGTAGTCTCCCCGGAGTTTTCTGAGACTAGTTGTGGGGGCTTCCCCGCGTCGCGGGTCATGGTCCGGGGAAGGTCGTGACCCCGAACGGAAAAGGATACCCAACCCCACGGACCTGGTCCCGGCGACTCGGTTTCGGCAACATGGTTTCTCGGAAATGATGAACCATGGCCAACATCCTTTCTCATGACAAATCTGACTCGACTTGCGCTTCGAGGATTGAGTTTCAGAGTCATTAGACCTTATGGTGTCCGTCTTATGACCGGGCCGTCCGATGATGGAAGCAATTGCGGGTACTTCAACCGGTCTAGATGGGCAACGTCAAAGTGAGACAGCTTTAAACCTTCGAAACTCCATCCCTTCTCACTTTGTCGAGGCTTCGTTAGGGTTTTGGTCTTCCGAGTCTTTGGTCTTCATATCGAACGCTCACACTAGAAGGGCGGCGATGATGCTTCATACACCTAATTGGCCTCCGTCAGCGCAGAATTTCCTGATGGCTAAATGGCTTTTGTGGCATGTCCTTGGTATGCGACTTTGGATCTCTTCAGATTTCTTCTGTGAGAAAGTAATTAGTCAGTATGCCGCCGATGAGGTCGCCTGCCCAGTATGTACGTATTTACAAAAAGCATAATTCGAGGCAAGATGGGATTTGTTCTCCAACAACATACGCGTGATTGAACAAAATGATTAAGTTGAAGATTATGTTGCCTATCATCGCACGCCGGGCGTTTGAGGGAGCTCTCAAAACCTGTTTCGCAATTGGTTCATCTGGAAATGATTGATCAATCACCAAGAGGATCAGGTTGAAAAGGGCCTCACCTCAAAGCCGCGGACTCCGACCGGAAAAGGCGGTAGAGTGTGGCTGAAAGACATCTCAAGCTCTCCAGCCTAGCATCGAGTGGCTTAGACATGGCGTCTGGGGTGACTGAGTCCAGCAGCCGTCTTGGCCGTTTTCAATACAAGGCGTTCCAAATGCCGTGGCACCCGCATTGTAGCAGTGAAGGAGCTGTTCGATTCCGACTGAATGCGCCCCCAGTATCACACAATATTGGACATGCAGTGGAACACAGACGGTCGCACAGCCGTGAGACAGGGCAAGCGAGGATCAAATGAAGGGCACATTGCGGTCGCGAAGCGGACGACGGAAACCCAGCGCGTCCGCCCTTCATTCGGACAAAGAGCGACACGACGCAGAGCAGATCCAACACTCTCAAAGACAGCGACGGGCAGGCAACCTGACGAGTGCACGTAATTTTGCGTGCAGATCATCGTCATTAGAGGCGCAATCCGCCAATTGCCTGCCAGGGTTGCGTTGTCCAGTGCAAACCCAGCTCTTTCGCAGGCGATGCAACATCAGCCCTGATTGATTGAAGCCCTCAGGGATCCTGGCGGCCCAAGGGGGTTTAGTTAAGGTCGTGCGCTCTTTCGGGGAACAGGCGGCATGCGGAGACGGGCGGAGTCGCTGAAGCAAAGGCCGCCGATGAATCTGTCATCAACCCTTGCTGGATCATAAAGGCCTGCGGGCCTAGAACAGCGAGCTGGGGAAACATTTGGTACCTGGACCAGTCCTGCCAGTGACAGAGTCCTGTCATCCGATGGTAAGGCGCAAATGTCGATGGAGCGCTAGGATGCAATGGAGACAGCTGGGACCAAAGTTTGGGACGGAACTGACAAGCGCGCGAGCCAACCTCCCGGGGTCGGGTTTAGGCCGAACTCAAAGAGACAGATGCCGTTCTTGGGAAGCGAGAGGCGCGGAAGGGGTGCGAGTCCGTCTCGATTGTTCGCCGGGAAGCCGTTGTGCCAGCCAAGTGCCAACGCCACCGTTGTGTTGGACTTTGATCGGGTTTTATTATGGCTGGCGATCAATGCGGTCTTGGGCATTCATGTTGCTCCGTCTTATCCGTGACATGCGTGAAGACACCAGAACACTACTCAGAGCTCACAACGTCGCGTTTGTTTACACTCTCCAGATTTTCATGAATCATAACTCTCTGGCGCCAGGCACCGGGGAGCAAGCAAAGTCTTCAGCACAACATCCGCCATTCCGTTACGAGAGATCACTATGAACGTTGCTTGGCGCCATGGGTGCCCCCGGGCGACTGCATGCGGGGAAATTGGACCATTGACCAGCCTGAGGACCCGACAACCCGAGAAGAGCTCGTAGGCGGCAGGCCAACGACTGAGAGGAGAGCTTGCGCTACCGTTCCCCCGGGCCATCGCGCGAATCACACCGTACCTTGACCGCAGTCCCGGATCATCAATGACTTTTCCAGAGTTTAGCTGCATGCACCTTGGCAACCCTCGCCGGATCCATGTCCATCCAGAAACCGCCGGTCCGTTTCTGCTCTCTCTCAGCTGAAATGTGTGTCAGTCTCCCATCAGCGGCGGCAGCAAAAAGAAAGCCTCGCCCTCTCGTCCACCCATCACATCCCATCCATCCTTCCAGCTGTCCTCCTTACATCTTCCCGCCCTTCACTACCGCCCCCGTGTGCGACGGACTCGAAAGACACGAGACTAGCATAAAGGCAGCTTGGCAAATGGCTGGGGGTGTGTTGGTGGTATGCCGTAGCTGACTCAGACTACCCGTCTGCCATCCCCTTTGATCCTTTCCCTTTTCTGTGCCCTTCGCTTTTGGGTAACCCCAATATTGCGCAGCGTCCCTTTTTGCTCTTAAGAATCCAGTCCTTGCCTGTTACGTTCGTCCCATCCTGTCCGTCTCCCTTGATCTCTTTCCCCACACCCCGACTTCAAACACGGCCTCAACGTCGAAGCATCGAAACGATTTATTTCTAGCACCGATTCCGAAGACCCGTCGCCGTTTTCGTCCAAGCAGCAACCGGGAGCTCAAAGACCTTCGAGATCAATTCTCATCTAAGCCCTTCGAGCAGGCCGGCCGGGAGTACCTCGAACGAGCACTCAGACTACATATCACCATGTCGGCCGCGGCATAACACGCCATGGTTGCCATTGCCGCCGAGCAGCTGCGAACATCACCTCCACCGACGACGCATACCGTGCAAACGACGACGAAGCCGACGACGACAGCGACAACGAGATCATGATCATGTCAGTAGACGTGACCTTCGACATCGTCACCGCCAGCATATGCGCGGCTCTCATCCTCGTCCGCTGCGGCTACCGCATCTTCTCGCGCTGCAGGGTTCACGACTCGTGCCACCGGACATGGCACGCCGACGACGCTTACATGGCCTTCGCCATCGTGCCTCTCATCGGCCGCACTACCTGCATCGCAATCTCCTTCGTCCTCAACCCGACACACACCTTTGGTCTACCAACGCCAGAAGACGCCGCCGCGCAGGGCGTCTCCATCGCGCAGCTTGAGGAGAATTATGTCGCCTCCCGGAAGCTGCTGATCCCGTCACGAATATTCTATGCCATGTTGTAAGTTCGCTTACATACCGCCCCCAGGTCTCACTCGCATGCCGATCCAGCCTTGCGAGGCAACCTGGCGGTGAGACGATCCTCAATATTAAATGCACGTCTGACTCAGCTTTTCGTCTTGCCTTCTAGTTTGTGGTCTCTGAAGTTGTGCCTGCTCAACTTCTATTCCCGTTTCGTCGATGTCTTCCATTGGGGGAAGGTCGCCACTACTGCGCTCTGGTGGTTCATTGTCGTCACTTTCTTTATTGTCTTGATACCCACTCTAGCCGAATGTCGGCCACTGTCTTTGTAAGTCGATGATCTTCTTCCATCCCCAAGGCTCGGGTTGGGCTAATATTTGCTAGGATGTGGCTTCCTGACCCGACCGGTCAATACTCCTGTCACCGAGCGGTCGGCAATCTCGTCACCATGGCCGTTTTTAACATTGTAACCGATATCGCCCTCATCATTTTCCCGTTTCCCATCCTTCGTCACGTCAAGCTTGACGGGAAAGTGTAAGTCACTACCGACAGCCGCCTCGTGAAAGGGTTCGTCACTGACATCCAGCAGAAAAGCGCAACTCATTCTCCTCTTCAGCATTGCTGGTCTCATTGTAGTAATTACCATCATGCGACTGCCCATGATACTGAACCAGGCAGTATCGCAGAGGTCTCGCTCCATGGTGAGTTTCTTCCACGAGGCTGGAATTACGAACTAGAGACTAACCTATCCTAGTGGGCATCCATCGAGATACTCTGCGCTTGCATCGTCGCAAACACCGCGTTCTTCTACGCACTCCTCAAAGACTACCAACGAGGTCACGACTCCCGCGTGACCGGCTCGAGTAGCTACGCACGCCAGCCTGACTTCTATATGCAGGCCATTCCATCGCCCGAACTGAGGCGGGGTTTGGAGCCGTCAGACCGGCTAGACACAGCGGATTGCTGGAGGCGGGAGAGCAGGTCGAGTAGATCCAGTAGCATACCGATCATACCATGATCGCAAACGAATTGATTTTTGTGGAAGGCCAGATAGTAAAGTCATGCCGTGATTGCCCCAATCCCATAAGCTTTTCGGCTGTGCCATTCCGAAGCGGCGCGGCGCGGCTCGGACACGCCCCCGTAATCCATCGCGTTCGTTTGGGGGCTGGTTAGGGGTAGTGCTGACGTTGACGTCAGCAGCCACATCTCCCGAGGGGCCGTTGAAAAGATGCGTCGGCCCAGCTGCTCGCCAAGAAAACATGGAGTTAACATCCTGTTCCTGTCAACCACGGACCGAATCCGCTGTCAAAATCTCCGCAGCCCGAAAGCCGTCGCTCAAGCCACAAACCCAACAAACAGGTTCATTCGGACCGACACCATGAGCATCCGAGCGATCGCCAACCTCTCCAACTGGTCCTTCGGGGCCATGTGCATCCTCTCGGCACTTCCCTTCGTTGGCATCCCTTTCCCGAACCAGCGCGCGGCGGATTACTACGCCGGCAAGAACAGGTGGATATCCGAGCTCTCCGGAGGCCGGCTCGACTCCACTCAGGCCGGGTACGCCGGCGCCGTGCTGCGGATCGCGGTGGGTACCGCCGTCTTGGTCCCGGCGACGAGGGAAGCGGCTTTGCTGATTAACGGGGCTATTGTAACACGAGGCACGATGTTGGCGGTACGGGATGGGAAGCCTCTTTTGCCGCAATGGGGTATGTTGGGTATCGTTGCTTGGTGCCTTGTGCTGGGCCGGGTGGCGAGGTGAGCGTGTCTACGGACTAAAAGTTCGGTGAAGATGGGTAGCCAGTTCCTTTCACATCTCACGTGTTCAAATGCATCCTCAATAATGTTTATGGTTATGTCAATGGCGGGATATGCCTAGCCCTACCGCTCTGTAAGTTTTAGTAGTAGGTAAATGGGGCTTCTTTCGTGGTTTTACCAAATAGCAAAGGGTGCAAATGACGCCTGACTTCAATACTTGCCGGAAGGATTCCAAATCTGCGGGGGCCAGCTGCCCGTATGATCTGATCCGGGCACAAGATCCTTTCGCTTGGTATAAGACCACTGTCAGCCGCGCATTATCCTGATTGACGAAGCCTTACGTGTGGAGTGCGGCGGCGACTTATTTGCATCGGGCGTCTTCGGAGCCGGGTTAGATTTCGCCCACCGGAATAGGTTCTTACGCAGATGCACCCATTCGGTGAGTTTGGTGGGAAACCCGCCGCGCCGGCTTACCGGCAATCTGACATGCATCCAATGGCAGCCAAAGTCCCTTGCGGGACACGGGAGCCTATTTAGATCTTCAGTCCCGGGTTAATCGATGCCTTGCACTATATATTTGTCAAATCATTCATTGGAGTACTGGAGTGTCTGATATCTCATCTTCAAATTCACGATGGATACCAAAAATGGCGAGTCGCAGCCGTCCGCTGCAGGCAAGAACACTACGACGATCGGGCATAAGCTCCAAGACCCCGCCCGCGCGATCTACGGCTGGAGACTTCATATCTGCATGCTCGGGTGAGTCTGCCTAGCATGGGTTCATCCCTCCCAACTTTATCTTGGTTTGGGGACTGACATGGGTTCTGCAGCCTAGCATTAGCTCTGTTTCTTTCCGCATTAGAGACAACTATCATCGCCACGGCTCTTACCACGATCGGTACTCACTTCAATGACTACAACAAAGTTGGCTGGGTGGTAACGGCCTTCTTGGTTACCAATAGCGGTAGGTGCCTACCTGATCAAGCCTTCTGTCGAACAGACCAGCTTACATCTTCGGCCCAGGGTTCATTCTTACCTACTCCAAATTGACCGACATTTTTGGCCAAAGAAACATCCTTCTATTCGCCTTGGCATGGTTTGCCCTCTTCTCGGGACTTTGTGCCGCGGCTCAATCCATGACCTTGACGCATTTGTAAGCCTACGCCTCATTGCCGTGCCCTGCCCTCTGATATTCACCAATATTTCACAGAATTGTATTTCGCGCTCTTCAGGGAATCGGCGGTTCCGGCATATTCTCCGTCGTTTTCGTCTCCGTAATCGACATCTGCCCTGCTCGATGGCTGGGGCCGTATTCAGCAGCAGTGAGCTCGGTGTTCGCCCTCGCAAGCATCCTAGGCCCGATTCTTGGAGGAGTGATCAGCGACACTGGGGATTGGAAATGGATCTTTCTCCTCAAGTGAGTTATGGCACCCAGTCTGCAGCGACTTTGAGGCTCTTACTGACGCTCGCTTAAGTGTGCCCGCGGCAGGAATTGCTGGCGCCGTCCTGGTCTGGTCGTTCCCCAAAGATAACATGGACTTTGGTAAGTCCGTCTTCAAACGCATAGACTTCATCGGGTCGCTGCTGTCCATCGGATCGGCTGTCTTGTTGCTGTACGGACTTCAGACCGGAGGCGCAGAGCACCCGTGGAGCGACTCTAGGATCGTTGGAACTGTTGTGGCAGGCGGTGTTGCCGTCGTGCTTTTCTTCCTTTACGAATGGTTCATTCAGCGTAACTCGGCCGCCGTCATCGAGCCGGTCATGCCTTTCCGTCTCTTCAAGATTCCGAGAGTTACTTTTCTATTGCTGTAAGAATGTTGCGAGAGTCACGTCATCACCTTTTGCACGAGAATAGTTACTGACAAAGACGCAGTACTGCCTTCTTCCAAGGCGCCGTATTCTACGCGGTCGTTATCGTTCTCCCACAACTGAACCAGCTTGTCCATCTAAACTCCGCCACAATGGCAGGCATTCGATTACTACCACTTCTGCTGGTGTCATCCTTCTGCTCCATGCTTTCGGGGATAGCGCTGTCCAGGACGACTCGCTACGGCTGGTACACCATCACCATTAGCACTATTCTCGTCGTCCTGGGCGTGGGCCTCCTTGTCGAGATGCCGTTCAGCGAGAAGGTCTTAGATAGATACTACGGCTATGGAGTTATCATCGGCGTCGGCATGGGGACTGCAGTCCCTATTCTCATGGTCATGGGAAGAGTAGAGGTTGAAGATCGAGATAATGGTAAGTCGATTCCTTTAGCACCGGCGACACTTGAGCTCGAAACTGACATATCTTTGCAGCTGCCATGATGGGTGCCTTCAATACCATTCGTACGATGGGAGGTTGCATCGCCATATCAGTCTGCTCCGCAATCCTGCACAGCGAGATGCCAAAGCGTCTGGATACGTTGCCGGAGGATGTAATGAGGCCACTCCTAGCTTCGCCCACCACGGTGTTGCCCCAGCTGGAGAAACCTGTCGCGTTGATGGTGCGCAAGACTTATAACGATGTGTATCGCTTGCAGTTCATCGCGGTGACCGTCTTTGCGGCTGCTATGTTAGTCTTCTCTGTACCGCCCCCCTTCCTTTCGGCAAGATCAACGGCTTCGGAGAAGAACGAGGAAGAAAGCAGGGAGCGAGGAACAGAGACTCTCGAAGAGAAGCAAAATGCCGTCTAGAGACAGTCTGGAAGAGCCCCTGAGACGTTGCCCAAGATCGAACCATTGGTTTTATCTTTGTATACTAAAGTGGAATACCCCCATCATTAGACATTGGCGGCCATTAGATACGCTTAAGCATTGCATTCGGCCAGTTCACATTTCTCATCCCATTATTGTAGGCTACTTCAGCGGTCCCAGTTCTTCCTTCCACATTTATGGCTCGAGAATGACAGCTCCGGGGAAGACGAATTTCCTATTCTGGTAATGCTCCGGAGTAGTGGGACTCAAGCCCGTCTCGAACACTTAGCGGCGCAACTTCATCCCACCGGAACCATCCCGGTGGAAGAGCCAAGATAAACCGAGGGGGTAGTTTTGGAACTAGGGGAACTAGCTAAGCACGACATCTGCGATGTGTCGTGCGAATGGTTGATGGGACAAAAGTCCAGAGGAGGGGGAACTGGGGCAAGACCGAGGACCAGGATGCCGGGTCTGCTGGCATGGCAAGTGAATCATGACCGAAACCGCCTGCGAGGCTTGGTAGACTCCGAATGTGACATGTGGACGATATGTGACAATGCTAGATGACCGGCATATCATGAGTCGATCCTGTCTATTCCTTGTCGGACCCTTGACTGCAGGCCATCGTGGGCGGCAACTACTGCGGCCCGAGCCTACTTCCAGGCATATGCAACTGGATTTCTCGATCTCAGATGAGGGGTAACGTCAATATTACCGAGGACTCAAATCTGACCCCCACGATAATGGAGTCCAAGCCTGTCGCTTACTGGGTTTGAAGTCATGTCAGAATCAGCAACGTGGGCAGCGTAGCCACTGAACTTGTACACAGGCTGCAATGCAGGACGGGATCTACGACAGGTTCTCAATGGCACATGAACATGTGTTAGGCTGGGATGAGTATGCAACGTCGATCGACAAACACTCAAAAAGCGACGTCGACATGTGATGCCCTCGACCTACGTTCACCAACACCCGTCACGAATAATAGTCATACTTTGGGGTCGACAACGTATGTCCAGCTCATCGAAAGTGGTCCTGAAAGGCTTTCTTAGAATTTCAGCATGGAGATAAGTTGGGAAAGCCTTTACCCGTGAGGACATCGCCTCCTGGTAGAGCTCGGAAAAGTTGCCAGCGAGCAGCTCTCGAGCGGATTGTATTCCCGAATGATGACTGCCATTCTACACGCTGATTGGCTCATTTGAGGGACACATGGGTTCAACATCGCCTTCAAAGGTGCCGGCTCTCAAGCAATATCACTGCCTATTTTGCATCCAAATCAAAGTTACACCTTCTTCCGGGGTCATAAGGCTGATTCTCATCTGATCTTCATCCCAGCTTATCTGATGATCCTCAATCAACCTCTGAAGCCTCATTTGCGCCACGGTCGTCGGTCATAAGACTCTATCACCTAGGCGGTCGGCTCGCGTCGTCGCGTCAGGTTTCCCGACCAGTTTCCGAGCAGCCTCCGGGAGCTGCACACCGCAGAAGCAAGGTTGTCGCGGCTGTCCAAGGATCTAACCCGAGCCGTTGCACTTCAAGTGGAGATCCCCAGCAGAAAATTGGAGGAACAGGAGGAGAAGTGGGTTCGCAGTTCATCCCTGGTCAGCTTCGGTCAGAGTCCGCGTCGTCGTGGGCGCTAAAGTCCGGGACGAGAAAAGGTGGAGGGCGCAGTTTACTCCAGAACAGCGGCGTCTCCCCCAGAGATTTGGTTGTGGAATTGCGGGATATGAAAACGCGGGGATGTTGTGTGCCGAGGAGCTTGCGTTCCGATTCTTTTTCGTGGTTTGGTTCCCGGGAAAATGTTGAATTTGGGATGATGCCTTGGATATCAGCCAACTGGGCACATTTGCATGACTTGCATCTTTTGTTACCATCCACATGAAATCTCCACAGCGGTTTGATTTTGTTTTTTTACGTTGGGGAAATCTCTCCAATTCTGAACCCCTCGCAGACTGTTCTCCAAATGTCAAGAATTGCAAGCAGGGGTGCGAATGGACATGCATCCTGGGCAGATGACCACCGTGCATGCAGGGTTTTTCCACCAGGCTGCCCATCCTGAAGACTATTGCATGCAAGAATTTTATCATTACGTATTCATTCCATTGTTTGTGATGCTTGCCAAGTCCTGCAATATTACAGGCTCTTTCAAAGTAGCAAACAACTGGTTCTACAGGTACAAAGCGCTCTTTATCATGGGTATCAAATAACCATTATTTTAATCCTTCATTCAACGTCTCGTGACAGCGTTCGCTTAGACGAGGTACCTGAAGCCCTTGCCCATCTTGCGCGCCGCCTCAATCTCCTCAGTGTTGGTGATCTCAGCGGTCTGGTGCGCGACGTCACCATGGACCTCCCACGCGCGCTCGCCGTCCTCGAGCTGCTTGTTGAGGTTGTCGAGGATGCGCTTGAAGATGTAGCAGCCGATGATGGTGACACCGAACATGGCAGTGACGATGCCGTAGCTCTTGCGGAAGCCGTTCTCCTTGAGGTCCCAGACGTAGGAGCCGGCGACGTTGCCGAGCTGGGAGAAGGCGTTGATCATGGCGATGGCGACGGCACGCTTGGCCGGGGGACGGGGGAAGGAAGAGGAGATCCAGGAGTAGAAGACGATGAATCCAGCGTAAGAGCTAGCCTGGAGAAAGAGGGCGATGTAGCGAGCGGCGACGTTCAGAGTCGACATCGAAATGATGAAGCCAACGAGACCGACGCAGATGGGGCCGACAATGTGCCAGAATCTCTCCTGAGTGCGATCGGCGTGCCAGGCGTTGATGAGAGAGATGATGCAGGAGAAGGCCCAGGGAGGAGAGCTCATGAGCAGAGTCGGAACGTAGCCGAAGCCGAGGGTGCCGGTGAGAGTAGGGAAGAAGGCGTTGAAAGACAGACCGACGACGTAGGCAGTGAAGGTCAGCATCATGACGTAGATTTTGACGTCCTTGACAGCCATGTAGAGACCGTCCAGAGGTCCCATGTCGGCGGAATCGGCATCGGCCTCACCAACATCCTCAGTCATGCGGAGCTGGGCGACGTACAGCTCCTCCTCGGTGAAGCCCTTGGAGTTGGTGGGGAGATCGGGGAGGATGAAGGCAGCGGAGATGGCGACGGCCATGGTGACGGCGCCCTCGATCCAGAACAGCCAGCGCCACGCGGCGTGTCCGAGAACGCCCTGCATGTTGGACAGGACACCGGCACCGACCAGGGCGGAGAAGGCGTTGGAGATCAGGTTACCGCAGAAGAGGATGGCGTTGCGGGTGGTCAGCTCGCGGCGGGTGTACCACTTGGAGAGAATGAGCAGGGCACCGGGCAGGAAGGCGGCCTCGATGAAGCCCAAGCAGAAACGGGTGGCGACCATGCCGCCGAAGTTGTTGGTGACACCGGACAGGGTCGAAATGAGACCCCAGACCAGCATGGCGGCGGAGATGTACAACGATGGGCGGGAGATCTTGTTGATGATCATGTTCGAGGGGACCTGCATGAGAATGTAGCCGACGTAGAGAATACTCAAGCAGGTGGCGTATTGCGTGTTGTCGAGCTTGAGGTCATCTTGCAGACCGCGAAGACGGGCGGCAGCGATGTTGTTTCTGTCGAGGTAGTCTGTTGTTCTTCATGTAAGTTTGTGTAAAAGAGCCATTGAACAGCTGGTGAGAACCTACTCAGGATGTAGATGAGCACGAAAAGAGAGCAGCGCGTGTCGAGCTTGCGCTTCATGCTCTTCTCAACGGCAGCACGACGCGCCGGGTCCATGGTGCGAGGCGCATTGGGGTCCTGGGGCTGCTGGTTCTCGACGTTGTCGGCGTGGACGCCCTTGGCGGTTTCCGCCTGGTCAATCTTGTCGTCCATCTTTGCTGGTGTTGTGGGATCTCAGACTTGACTCTTCACACAACGGGTTGTCGTAAGGGAGGGCCGGGCCAGGAGTGAGACTGGTGAGAGTGGTCGGGGAGAGGGGACGTCTGGATTGAGTCGACTTATATCCCGGATGAGGCGTCTCGGAGACGGGAAGCTAAAGCTTATAAAGGGGTGGCAGGCTTCGGTCAAGATCCGCGGGGGAACAAATAGCCACCCCTCAACAACATTTTTAATGTGGGGTGAACACCATCCCGTCCCATCTCATCGTCCAAGTGCGCTGCGTGCGTGGGAAGTAAGAGTTTGACGCCTGTCCGGGATCTGTACGAGTGCCCCTGGGCTGGTCAGACCTATCGACAGCTCCGGCGATGCAGCTGCAATGGGGCTTCTTCGGCCGCATCAGGATGACGTGGGGATAAATCCATCCACGGGGTGAAAGCGCGGGTTGGATGGGGGAGATGTTGGAGTGCGCAAGAGACCACAGAGACCGCTCGCCGTCGCCGCTTCGCGTTCGCGTGCGCGGGGAACGTCACCCTGCATCCCGGGGCAAGACGAGCAAAGACCCAAGGGTGATGAGCAGCTCCATTTGCTCCATTCGCTCCAGTCCCCGAAAGCCGGGTCCTGGTGGTCACATGGAGTCCTGGAGGGCCCCGAAGGTGGTAATCCCAAGTACCTTTCGTGTTCGAAATCCCCAGTTTCCAAGGCGTTTCCCCGAGGGGATCCCGCAATCCCTCTTGTTTGGAAAATGCTCGCACGATTGGGGTATCTCTTTAGACGCAGAATAGGACCGATGTCTTCACCGGAGCGCCCCGCTGCCTTGGCGTTGATTCGCCTCAGGTGCCGCGCGAGATCCGTTATCCCGTATCTAAGCTGCGGCGTTGCTGCACGAGCCTGGCCCGCGTTGGAAAAGAAAGCTGCCCATCCTAGCATTTTCAGCGTCCTTTCTCCGCAGGAATGTGGGACTGGTATGGGGAGGCAACGTGGGGAAAATCGTCCAATGAAGTTCTCACCGACTAGGCGAGCTTGTCCTGTTACGGACACATATCCCGGCGGGGGTTCCCTGTTCCGGGAATAAGACCGACGAAAGACGCTCTTTAAGGCGCGGAGTCTTGCGGAGTTTATCGACCGTGACGTGATTTGGTCGTTTCGAAATTTCCTACCCTTCCCGAGCCGACATCAACTCTCAACATCTACTGTCTCGTTCTCGCAAACACCAGCTCACGTGGCCGCTTACTCGACGGCGATTATGACGTGTTTCGGAGATTTCGCTGACAGCATTAAACATTGCTTGACCAACGGTCTGTAAAACAGCTACCAAAAGACGCGCCTCGGCTGTTTGGGGGTCACAGCAGGATCGTTCTACATGAAGTTCATGCACGTCAAAAATTGTCGCCCAGATTCTTGGAACGAAGAAAACTGGATGCTGGGTTCTAGCAATTTCCGATTCTTCGACACCGCAACATGCCCATAGCTTGGCGGGCTTGGCTGGACCTAGACTCGTCAAGGCCCCGTGGGGTTATCCTCTGTACTATAAATCCTCATCGAACTAACATGGAGCTTAGACTGGGTTTGCTTGTCAGAATATGTCCGGGCGTTCCTGATGCCCCTCGATATGGTTCCAGTCTGTAGCCTTGTTGGTGGCTCGAAAGCCGACTTGCTCGGGCCAAGATCCTAAAGCCGTACCTGTATCGGATATGATCTTGAACGTATTTGCGTCACTACTCTCTGCACTTGTTAGTATTCGCTCTTAACATCTCGAACTCCTGGCAAGAAGAACGAGGACGTCATAGCAAGCATCTTCGAATGGTTGATCCGGAAAATCATGCCCATGAGTTCTACAGCAGATTATCTTGAAATGAAGCCATCGTCCGAGCGCAAATGTACATAGAAGTAATGAGCGTAAACAAGTACTTGCCCCAAGTAAGTACGACTGCCTCAGAGCAAGGGACTGCAGGTCAGTTGCGGAACCAGTTAGGCGTTTTCTCTTTCATGCGGGGGAAGACATCGGGTAAGCGGATGCTTTAATAGACCGAAACGCGGAGAGAAAACTTCTCATTCTACCTGCGTGGAGCGTGTACCTCCGATTCTAGCGTGATCCTAACAATCCTCATCGTCAAGTAAACTGTAGTTTATCGTTGAAGCTGGGTACTACACCTCGCAATCTCACACGTAGCTCCAGCACCAACAACTTCACCAGCCCGAGGCCCCTCAGGGCGCGCTATTCACGACCTCCGCAAGTTTCACTGTCCAAAGCTTATCCATACCCAAGATGACCAGAGTGTACCCGGCCAACTCAAACTGCACAATTGCCGTAGAGACTGGGTCCCTCGTAAAGTAGTACGCGTTGAACACGCCAATGACTTTGCCCTCTGCAGACCGTACCACAACTCCTTCACCTTCGCCGGTCCAGACCCTTCCTTTGTCGTCGATCCGAATCCCATCAGGAGCTTGCATTCTCGCAACACCGAAAATGCGCTTGTTAACAGGCCACATGTTCTCGTCAAAATCGTAACTGTAGATGGCAGGCGCGCCCACCTTGGCAGGCTGCCCCCAAATACGGCTCCTCTCCTCGCCGCCAAAGTCGGTGATCCAAAGCTTCTTCTGGTCTTTGGAAACCCGCACGCCGTTGGCAATCGGGTAGTCGGTCCTGCTGATGGCCGGGAGCAGCGTCTTAGCCTGGGGGTCGAAGCGCCACAGGCCTTGAGGGACTGTGTCGTTGCTGACGACGCTGTCGGCGGAAGGAAGAATGGTGATGTACATGTACGACTTGTTTGTACCAGGCTGCGTGGCCCATGCCACATCGTCAACGGCGTCGAACTTGAGGCCGAAGTATGAGTTCAAGATCCACTCAACTTCGCCCGTCTCGACGTCTACGGCGAAGACACCGCCAGGCCAGCTGCGGGTGTCATCACGAAGGCTGGTGAAGTACACGCGGCCTTGATGGTAGTAACCGCCGTTAGGGTTCTCAAGGGGCTCCGACGTGGTCAGATTGCGGATAGTGCCGTCAGTCAGATTCAGGATCTCGACACGAGTCGGGCCATCGTTGATCCACGTCGTATACCAAACCTCGTTGCACTCGCTCACCCAAACTCCAGCCTCGCCAGCAAAGTTCTCCTCGCGCTGGTCAATGAGCGTCGGCTCCGGGTTTGGTCCAAGGAGGGTAAGGAATTCGTCGTCGTAGGAGATGAATGGTGCCTTCTTGGCAGCGGCGAAAATAGTGTTGGTGTCGTCCGAAGTCGAGTTTCCATCTACAAAGGCACCAAATATACTTCCTTCAAAAGTACCGGGGAGGAGATACGTCAGTTCGTAAGGAATGGATACAACGTCTGCACAGAAGATGGGCAAGATGCCGAGTAAAAGAAAATAGAAAGAATGACGTGCCATCTTGGCTGGCTTATAAGATTTTAAGACTGAGCATGAAGTGTTTTGGAGAGACGTGAGTTAGTCGGAAAGGCAGCAAGCAACGACGTCTTTATACATCCAGTGCTGTTGAGCATTTCCATAACATCAGCTGGAATCTTCGTTTTGTTTCACGGGTAGCCATGATAACGTGGCAACCACCCCTAGCCTCAACGGCCATATCCGAAATATTGACTGCTGAATATGATATCCAAGATATTGTGTGATGGTGAGTGACATTGAATCGAGTCGTGAACTGCTCGAACAGTTCAACCCTGGCTCCAGAGCCTCCACCGGAATCGCCTGAAGAGGCTAGCGTTCCGGTTTGCATATCCACGATCCAACTTTAATTTGAGAATAATGCTATTCAAAGGAGAATTTATGACGACCATTTCGAAATGAAGTCCAGAACACATAAAGAAAGCCCATTTTTAGAAAATTCTCATATCTCGTCTTGTTATCGAAGGACGGACTGCGCTGCTTACAGGCCGGCAGCTTCCGGTGTTCAAGACCCGCTCCTAGTTCATCATCGGCGTGATATTAACGTCGCGTAACCTGGTGGACAGAGCTTCAAAAGGCAGCCAAGAGTGCACTGAACAGAGTATTGTCCCAATCGCTTCGAGAATTTATCTTGCTATTCTACCAACCCAAAGGTTCTGCAGAGCGCTGTGCCCTGCACTACCTGGCGTGATGTGCGCCACCGAGGCTAGGTCTGAGTCCCAGTTGCCCCCGCCTAGGCGATTAAAATGCCAATCGTGTCGTGAGTTTTCTTTCTTTCGCCTAAAGTCTTGGCTAATCGAATATCGGAAGAAACGGAAGTTGTATGACGCAGATACCACCGGACTTCAGTGGCTGATCATGTAGGAAGAAGTCAATATCATATGAAACCTGGCACGGGTGGCAGTGGCGTGTCTCACGGAAGTGCTAGGGAGTGATGGTCATGAAAATGGACCTACAGAATCACGTTTTGGTCGAACATGCGTTATTTTCCATGATCAAAGACGGCACCGAAAGCGTAGGCATGTAAGTCGGCCAGTTCTAGACATCAGCCCCAGACAGATATGGCGCTACTAAAAGGTAGGGTCACTACACACAGGTCACGTTGAATTTCATGCTTTGAAATGATTTTCTGCGGTATCCGACCTTGATGCTCACGCAACCAAAGATTCAGACAAATGCAATGTCTGATGTGCATCAAGCCCAGAGCCTTCTTCGATAGCATCATCGTTGCACGTCGATTTGGAAGTGATCGGCTGGACCATAAGTCTTGGGCTGTTGCGAGACCTTCATGGGGCGGCAAATCGCTCGTCTGATGTTGCCCGAATACATCGCCTTCCAGCAGCAGCAGCAGCGATCGCCCCAAATCTCTGACACCCGTGCCTGATGAGGCAGTAGTAACGTGCGTTTGAAAGTGAGCAAACGTAGGCCTGGTATCGATCTGCGTAGTGATGCAAGAAGGGTCCAAGTCAGTCCAGGGTTTGTCGATCCGGGTGATTGTGGGCGTTACCACCATTGGACTGCGCCGCACAGGGTAAAGTGAATGTTAATGAGCCCACCGCCTACGCGAAGTAAAGACTGCGTCCACAGCGTCATCAGAGGTGGCGTATGACGCCTGCAGCCGCTCATTGGGCCTCGCTTAGTTGCCTTAGGAGGCGATGCTGAGTATGGGAGTCGTCGGTGATGGCGATGTTGGGATCTTCGGTCAGCTGGCTCTCGGAACCAAATGAATGAAGTTTGAAGTTGGAAAATGATTCTCGTGATAGTCTAATTGTGGCTGTAAATGACGTGGGCGCGTTTTACAACCATCATTAGCTTCTGGGCGGATGAAGAAGTTATTTAAATCCTCCTGAATTCCTGTTAACTCAAGTCATGCATATTTCCTGATCCCACAACAACACAACAACCAAGACCAAGAAGAACACAAACCATATCATTTTCAAGAGAGACCAGAATTTTCCAAAGATCAGTCATAATGGCCTTCAAGTATGTCAACTATATCAAGATCCTCAACACCTCACACTATGCAAGACACTAACGAGAATCTCCCAGCTCGAACCGTCGCTTTTCTTCCTCCATCTCGCCCGCATCCAAGGCCTCGAAGCGCGTGATGGCCGAGCGCAATGATAACCGGCGTTCTTTCGACTCCCAAGCCAGCTCTTCTACCCTTGGGGCGATGCCAGTCGTTGAGGTCGAGAGCTACCTGACCGCTCCGGCTGCCCGGTGGTCTACGGCGAATCGCATCTAAAAGATGGTCTCAGTCGAACACGGTGTGGAGGATGTACGATAGATGGGACTACGACGTGGAAAAATGTCCTTGAACTGCAGAAGTTCGTCCCGATATAGCAAGTCTTTTGCGGATACCCACATCAACACAGATAGTTGATCGTTTCAAGGATCAGATGCATGAATACGTTGCGTCGAAGGAATACAGATAAATCAATTCTACAAATGCAAGCGTTCTAAGTGAAGCAGCCACTGTCCAAACACAGCCAAATCCCATCACTATCCCTATTACAGTTCCGTTTTGTTGCGAATCAGGAATCCAGCGCCTTCAGATGCTCTACTTTTGTGTGAACTTGCTCTCTCTCTCCAACCACTCCTCGAAGTTTAGTAATCCACTGTGCTGTCTCTTCACTGAGGCGATGTTGACGCGAAACCCGTCAGTATAGAACCATCTGTACATGGCTCCGAAGTCCGCGATCATCCAGTGAAGGAACCTCACAAGGAATTGGAACGTTTCAGGGATCTCCGTGCCGATTTTTCTCTTGAATACTGCATTCGCCTCGTCGAGAGTAAGCTCATCGCCTGCAATGGGAACCTCCTTGCTGGCAAAGACTTGGGGGCGAAGAAATGATTGTGCCGCAAAGTAACCGACATCCTTGACCGCAACGAGTTGAAGCGGCTTTTCCTTCACCGCAACCCTCCATGAGGTTGCCATGATTTTGGTCTCCATGCCCGGTGTCATGTTGTCCATGAAGGCGACGGGTCTAAGAATAGTCCAGGTCATCTGATTCTTCGCCTTTTCGACGAGGTAGTGTTCGATGTTGTATTTACTCTTGAAGTGCTGGACCTGGGGAAAGACGTTGTCGTAAGATGAATCACCTCCGCGGTCTATTGACGAGTAGACAAAGTGCTTGACATTATTGGCGAGAGCTTCGTCAATCAGAGCCTTTCCTTGCCTCTCTTCGGACTCTGCTGAGGCACCTTGACCTATGGCCGTCTGTGGGAACACTAGTTAGCATCTGTTCTGCTCGGCATGAAGTCTCCAGACTGTACTCACTTGCACGCTGTACACGCCCCAGATTTCTGCCGTTGAGCCGCCCAATGCTGACTTTGCTGAGGCGAAGATGGCTGGAACGTCGTTGAGATCACCCTTGAAGACTTTAACTCCCTGCGCTTCGAGAGCTTTTGCTGATGCTGCGGCGGGGTTGCGTGTGACAGCAAGGATGGTGTGCGTATCTCCAGCACCAGCCTCCAGGAGAGCTGAGATGACAGCGCCACCTTGTTTACCGGTTGCGCCGGTGACAAGTATGGACTTTTGGTTGATAGATTGGCTCGACATGTCGAGAACTTAGGAGTCAGAAGTTGTTATACTGATTTGTAGTCGTGATGAGGTAATTTGGGCAGTAGGAGAAGCTGTAGGAACAAAGGTAGATGTTCTGATGGGTTTGCTGTGGAGTTGTGAGTCTGATGTCATTTTAGTGGACTATACCAGCTGAATATATATAGATGGACTTCCATCCTGTTCGGCATTTCGCTTCTCGCGAGCGACTTCCACCATGGATGATGAAGAAATCATTTCAAAGCATTCTGCAGAGCCAAGCACATCAAAAATTAATATGCTTGTGCAGTGGAAATCGACAGCGACCACCAAAACACTTAGCGACTACCCAATTTGGTAAGTTTCGTCGAGCTTCTCAGCGCCCCGAAGGCCGAGAACAGGGGTTGTGGCGTCAACAAGTGGTCAGATACGCTTAGCAATCAACTGCGGTCTCCATACTCTGATTGGATAGTTGGGCCGCGAAAGGATGACCGCGTCAAGGGATGCGATCCCACCACTGAGATCGCGACAGGAATGCGGCACGATGCGGTACTTTTGAATTCAAACTTTCCGTTAACGTGTACGAATCCTACAATGCAGTATGCATGCTTACGTATATATCAACTACAACGCGATACCGAGTGAGTATCATCAGACGTTGCCATTCAGAAGACACCCCCAACAAACATTCAAAACCGAACTCCACATTCATATCAAGTCTTGCGTGGTCCACCTCAAGATAACTTCTCAAAGTCTAGGACCAAGAGACCTATAATCTAAGACCCGCCCCACGTGTGTTTTGTCAATAGACTCGCAATTGCGCCTGATCTTCATCATCAGAATCCGTATGAATTGAATGAGACCAGTGTCGCACATATTTGCGTCCGCTGCATCATCGTCTGCAGAGCCAGGCGTGAGTCCAAGAAATTCGCAAGCACTGGCATACTCCTCGCAAGACTTAAAGTATAATTGGCCAGAGAAAAGATTCAACTCTGTCGTGCTCGGTTGGGGGAGATACCCGGTCCACTTTCGCCGAGGGACAGTGTAAAGATATAGCTTGTCAAGCGGACTAAAGCTCATGTTTGGACGCGGAGCATAAAGATGCAGCCGCACGAACCATGACCGTTTGATTTCGGGGAGAAGCTCTTGCGCTTCGTAGGGGCTGACGATGATAGCAACATCAATCCCACCCTTCGTAGACTTTTCTCTGGGAATTGTTGTAAGAATCCACTGCACGGATCTTTGAAATAGATCAGATACATAGCGCTGACAGGAGGGCAATTTGGGGATGATCGTCTTCACAAAGTCATTTGTGACCATTATCCTCCGAGGGAAATTTCCAACGGCGAAGTGAGCCGATGCACTCGTATTGCTCAGAGACATGAAAGCTGGAACCCAGGCCTTTGAATCAGATGTAAAGGTACCATCAGAAATGAGAGCTCTGACGTCTGGGTGGATAGAGTGTTGCTGTGGTTGCACGGGGGGCGGCCTTTGGATCTCCCGCTCTTGCTCGACTTCGGGGGAAAAGCTCACGCTCCTGTTCCTCCCGAAAGGTGGACGAGTTGGAATTGCGTCCTCCAAAACTGAGAACCCGCTCGGTGATGAGATCGCCTTCCGTGTGATCTGATAGGTGGACGAGCTCTTCGCTGTTGTTCTGGGCGGGTCGATATCGCGACTCCAAACTTTGAGCCTCTTCCTCCAGAAATTTCTCGGCGTGAGCTGCATCCAAGCTGGTCGCGCCATCGACAGATGCCTCCTCCCATAATCGTTTATGGCGTTGATGACGTCTGCCCTGGTTTGCCCACAGCCAAATGCCACGACTGAGATCTACGAAAGTCTCGGAAATGGCCCACTCAAGTATGTCGCAAACATCAATGTTCGTGGTCTCTCGAGTATGAGATTGTGCTGATATTTTCTGCTGTATTTCATTGGGGACACAGAAGACTACAGACTGGCCCTTTCCCAGTTTTCGCATTCGCATGCAGGCTATTGTCACAGTATTAGCTAATGGTTCGTATTTTAATTTTATGAAGTCCAGGGGTAGGGTTACCTTGAACCAACCTGTCTTTCGTCAGGCTCGCACCGAGAGTGACTGCCGCTCGATAGTTCTCTGGTAGCTTGAGGTCGGTACCTCTGGTGTGCGCTTCATCGAGAAATACGAGACAGACATCAGGCTGACTTGCAAAAGCCGACGTATGGAATATCTGCACTTGGTGACGTCGATCTATGACGCAAATATTGTCATGCTCGTCGCAGAAAACAACAGCTTGCGTGTGCTCGTCGTCCTTTGTCATCTCAAGCCAACGCTTGGCAACGCCAATTTTGTCAAGTTCCAACACCTGCGCGCCAACGTCGAGAATGACGCGAACTTGAGGGTCTAACTTGGTAACCATCCCTAACAGTGCCTCAGCGTCGGACTGCGTCACATCTTGCCGAGTTGGCATCAACGACACAGAATTCTCGTCTTGAAGGAGATACTCCAAAACCAAAGCATTGGTGTGCTGCTGTGTGGGATCATCAAGCTGAGATACCGTAAGCGGTAGAAATGCTCGGGAGTCGTTGGTGCCACTGAATCCAGTGGTAGGATGCGGCTTCACTTCTCCGATGTCCCAACCTGAGGCCGATAGTTTGTGCGGAAACTCTTTCAGCTCTTTGGGGAACACAATATGTGCGAGGAAGTAGTCTATGACGCTCTTGGCGTATCGCAAACATGGAAAGAGAACTTCGGTGCACAGCTGATAGTCTTCCAAGTTGACACCGGAGAGTTGATGAAAGGCCAGCGGCAATCCGTTGCTATCAGCAACCCATACGTCGTACTCCATGTCAGACTGATCAGAGCGCACCAGATGATGAAAGCTGAGAAAAATATCGTCATTCTTCAAGCCCTCGTAGTAATAACTCAAAGACGTCAGAGTTATGATGACCTCGGGGTGACTGAACTCCGATCGAGCGGCCGGGCTGTCCATGGCCCGGTAGGGTACTGCCAGCCGCGTTTCGGGATTCCTCGTCTCATCTGGACCATAGTCGACTCGCCATCTTTTCTGAGAAAACACAAAGTTGAGGACTCCCTGAGCAAATAGCCCCCTCAGAAGGAGAAGCGTTTCCTTCGTAGGTGAGTCCCACAGTCCGGATTGTTCAATGGAATCCACTTCTGATTCAGTGAGCTTGAGCTTTGTGATGTAACAGAACACAGCTTCGCGAACGCCGGCTGGCTGTTTCGTCATGGGCAGACCTGTTGAGCCGTCTCTGCTCAGTCGCCGTGCGACGCCATGGAATAGTCGATTTCGTGCGTCTTCGTTCAGAATACGCAATCTAGGGAAACCACCTTGTGGCCAAGAGTTGATTTCTATAGAGGTGAAGTCATCCTCTCGCGATTCTGGAAGCAGCTTCCTTATGACATCCAGAACATGGTGGACACAGACCCAGCGATCTGCGCTGTGCTCGATTGACTGCTGGATACCCATGGTGTAGACCAATTCAAATTTGACACTGAAGTTTTCGTCACTTTCATCGACAATGATCCGAGAATGCTTATCCAAAAGGTCTTTGGTTTGGAGCAGCAGGCGGCTGATATCCTTCTTTTCCGCGATTGCGGATTCGACGCACATTAGCTGCAGGGATAAAATGTGTGGAGGCTAGAGTAACAGCACACCACCAGACGCCATGCATTCCCGAAGAATGGAATTGATAGTGTTTGCTTCGGCCGTACCGACTCGAACATCTCGGGAAAAAGGCATGTAGAAAATGCGGCGATTACACAAGCCACCAAGCTTAGAGATCAGCATCTGCTGCATCTGCTTGGGCTGCGGCTTTGCTACAGTGGCGCAAACGATCCGGGAGCCGTCTGCTTCGGAAGATGCAACCATTGGTAAAATAACGGATGATTTTCCTTCGCCCATGTTGAGCTGCAGAACGGCGTTCCTGCCTGTAGCAGGATGCCTCATCTTGTCCGCAATGTCTTGTTGAACTTCGCGAACCATTATACCGCTGTCAATCTCTAAAAGAAGAGTGTCAGGATAGACCAGAGGATCCCAGTTGGTGTGGCCTAAGTTTCGCAATTCATTTGTCAAGGCGGCGACATCGCCCCAGCTGTTAAACATCCGCTCCGCCCGCTGTAGGTGTGTGATAGAAACGCCGTAGTCAGCAATGAATTCCTCCCATGCTTTCAGACTGCTTCCCAAGTTATCCTTGTTCAGCCTTTGAAGTATGAAGACAGGGTTGATTCGCGGCATTTGGAAGAAGTTATGCTGTTGGGAGGGGAAGCCCTCCTGACCAGCACCGAGGCTGAAAACAGCTTCGAGAATTCTGCAGTGACGGCGATGCACATCTTCCCGGCACGCTTGGAGATACTCAACGAAGTCCTCCTTCCTCGGCGTTCCATGGATAGCGATCTGGCCGGTCTTCTGGTCTCCCCGCTGCATAGCCTGCAAGCTTGAATGAAGATCTTTCACATACTGTTGCTCGTACGACCCCTGAGCTTTGTCTTTCAAGCGCTGAATCAGCTTCGACAGCCGATACTGCCGCTTCAACGGTCTGCTGCAACTACCCCACTTGAATTGGGGATGCTCTTTGACGGGTGATGGAGGTTGTGCGTTCCGAAAGATGTCACTGGCGGCCACGAACCCCTGCTCTCTGCACAGGTTCCATGTTGGTGTTGCCAAAAGTGGGTTTGGAAGTTCAGGTGGAACTATGACAGATGGCAATCTTGACGCGATCCTATCGAGATACTTTCGGAACTGCAAATTGTCGTACCACCTTTCGAAAAGGCTGTCAAGCTTCAAGGTAAGATTTTCGAGTTGGATGTATGTCTTCCACGTAGAGCGATGTTCGCCGTTGAGGGGCAATTTGGGTGATTTGCATGGCCACTGACGTTCAACGCACGCCCGAAGACTCCTGACAGCTGCAATTCGATTGCTTGCCACGCTGGTCGTCCTTCGAGCGTCAAAATCTGTGTAAGACTCGTATCTTTCCTGACTCCAGTGGGCCTCCGGACATTGTTCGAAGGGCACGAACTCTGCTCCTATGCAAAGCTCCACCTCATCAGTGTCGAAGGAGGCGCCTGCTGACAGTACAAATTTCGGACACTCAATCTTTGGGACCACAACTTGAGCAATCTCTGATGTGGTCTGAAATGATGCCAAAGTTTGAATTACATCCATATCCGCGTTGTCGGAGTAGGCCAAAGTCGCCAGCCATATCATTAGCTTGAATTTGCATATAGTAGGTAGTACGGTTTTATGCAAAGCAAGCCAGTGCTCGGTGATGAAATCAGAAGACTTCTTGAGAGTGCCGGCATCGTACTTAATACCAGTCGTCACTAACGAAGACTTTGTTGTACGAGCATCAACCGATGGCCCTTTGGCTAGGTAATGCCAAAGACGCTCTCCCATCGACGAGTGAAGCGGCTCAACCAGCACTGATTGACCGAAAAACACAGTTTTAGCGACTGAGAAAGACTTCGAGAACTTGGTTGTCGAGGTTCGGTCTCGAGCCTCATACACAACGTCCGTCTCGGTAGTGTGTCTTTCCGCACCGAATTCCGACAAGCGAAACGTTGCTGACCGAGCATTGTCGTGACTAAGTAATTCGGGTGACACTTGTCTGATATAGCTCGCAGTCGGAGGTTCGATGTAAGAACGTGGATGGAAGAACTTGGCCCTTTCTGCAATATTGAGTATTTCTCGGACGTACTCGAGAAAGAATCCATGCTGTGATAGTGAACTAAGCCCTGTCTGCCAATCCACTGCCTGCATGACCCGCTCATTGGAAGGATAGTACGTCCGTCCAGGAGCCAGGCGTGCAATGATGCACAGCATATCAATGTTCTCCTGCGTCAATATGTCAGAAGACTTCACAGATGCAGAGCTCAGAATTGCCAACGCCTCTTCAGTACCAGTCCGCTTCGTCAGCGGGTCTGGAATGCAGAAGGAAGTAAGTGCATGAAGGAAACACAAAAATAGCTTGCTCTGGCAACTCTCATTTCCGATGAGTCTGCCCAGTCGATCATCGACATCGTATGTTTGAACCCTTTGCTTAGTCAATTTTTTGATGTCAACCTCGAGATGATCTTCCGTTGCGCGGTGCGATGCCTCGCCTTCAAGGATCAGCACCTTACGCGAAGGAGACAGTGAAGAACCTCGTTGACGATGTTCTTTCAAGACCAGTTGACTTTTCAGTCGTACCAAAGTACCAATTGACTGACACGGGTCGATGCACATGCCTCGATACTGCTTTGACATCATGGTCGTGGATCCTGGCTGTAGGCTGAAGTCAAGTCCCAAACATGGAAGCTGAATCAGAATGACGCGTTGAGATGATTAAGAGTCGGATGAATCCAAAATCGGTCCTCAAGAGGCTCTAGAACCCTGGAAATGAGTCTTGAAAACTTTCCATTGACGTCAATCAGTGAACTGTCTTCGTTGGGAAGCTTCCAGAATGTATTCTCACCAAGTTGGTGTCGTCTCAATCGCCAATTCGACTGCGATCGATGCCAAGGATTGTTCCTATGACAAAACTCAATGGACTGGTCCTCGTGGTTGTACCATTGAGAATAGTCATCGACAAAAGATATTGGAAAACTTCCACGCAAATGACGTGAAGGAACCAGATCAAAATGCCCGTCGCCTTTGATAGCATGAACAAGAAGATCGGCCTCAGGAGGTTCAGCTGTGCGATCAAGATGTAAGTGAACATTGTGGTCGCGAAACACAGCCTTCGATGAAAACTCCATACCTGGGACAGCAGTAGGTACGATTTCGAGAGATAGCCGTCCAAAAAGCCGTTTGTATGTAAGATGGTTCAACTAGTGTTTTGGCAAATGATCCAGGGGAACACCGTCGACAAGAAGATCGCCAGTCAGGAGGCAAAAGTGCACAATCTGACCTAGTGCCGTGGAAGTAGAGAGCCAGTAACTCAGATTGTTTGAGACGGCTTTCCAGCTGCTGGCAGGCTGGTAGGCAGCCCAGGACTCCTCGACGGCGTGATCAATTGCATTGCTACTCTGACCGGTGAATCTCTGAGACAAGTAGCGATGACAACTGTAGCATGCTTTCTGCCACCGGCGGTAGAGGTACTGGACTGGCGTCTGAAGGGAGTACAGGAAAGAATCGGAGAACTCCTGAATGCCGATGGAGCATTGCAGAAAGATCGATGCATTTTCGTCAGTTGCTAGCATGGTGCGCTGGAATGCTTCATCGACTGCGAAAGTATCGGAACATATCAAGAATGATTCCATTGCCCTTTGCTGAAATCTGATCTTGTTCGTATCGTCATGTATGTTCCGTGCCTTCTCCCGTAGAAAGGTCGCCCACGTGAAGGCTACCTTTCTCGCCGTGTACAAGTAGACAAGACATTGGTTTTGAATGTCTATTGACTTGGTGACAGTAAGCAAGCGACGTGCCAGAGCTATGAATGTAGCCAAAGCTGCCGAACATTGCCAGTTCTTCTCGCAACGGTTTGTGGACTCTGTGAGGCCTTGCAACATCTTACTTGAGAAGTCATCTTCTTCAACAATGATATGCGCCTCTCTCAAATCAGAAGTTCCACGCGGTCCTGCTTGATAAATGCATTGATGAATGATCAAGCTAACGTCCCATTTTTTGAAGTCAATGGTCGGTGCGAAAAGTTGGAGTAAAATGTTCTGCCAAGCGATTCTGAATCCAAGCGGTATCGAAGCGAGCGCTTTGTATTCGTCCAGCGACATGTCGTCTGGGCACTGGCTCTGTGAGGAGATGACGGTGTTTGGAGAGGGGCCACTCGGGTTCCGATCGGGTCGGAAAAGGAAGTCTTGCAAGGGCGAAGCAGTGCTGGAAAGCTTGTACGTGCACTTATGTCTTGTGATGTCGGGAAGCTCCATTGAGCCCGCGTAGGAAGACGCTTTGTGATCGGAGTACGCATAATGCAATCCGTTCCTAAGAAGGATATCGGATTCGGCGATTACACCCACTGCTTTTTCCTTGCGGTGTGTCACGGCGTTGGGTTTGGTGTTAGAAATCAGGCGGAGTCTTTGGGGCCTGGCCTCGCTACGAAAGAATTGCCTGAGCCCATCGTAACTTTGGAGGTCAAGGGAGTAGCCAGAATTAGACTTTCGTTGATGGGAATACTCGGTTTTGAGTACGTCGAAGAGAAAGAACATACTAGCCTCTCTCCAGTGTCCAAAAGACTGGGGTAGGGCGAGTTCAAAAACCGTTGACTTCTTGGCCAATACATCTGATGGCAGTGGCCACTCATGGATAGCAATTGTTATGCTTTCAGCTTGGGTTTTGTATAAACACCTCTTGCATTGCTTAGCGACGTGTGCGTAGTAGTGCCGTCTTGAGTGGTTGTCGAAACATTGCGTGTCATTGCAGGAATTGACCCGGTACCGTTGCATGAGGTTGTCGTACTGTGTGTGTCTTCTTAGTTGCGAACTGTCGGCGTTCTTTTTCTCTTTCTTTTGTTGCGTGCGCCTCAATCTTCCGGCATGACTCTCGGTGCGTCTCTGACTGATCGAATGTCCGAACTGCGAAGCATGTGCCCTCCCCGAAGGCCGCGTAAATATTTGACTTGGAGAACTGAGGCTTGCAACCCCGCAGCCGACTCTCGAGATAGTTCTCTGCCTCGAGTAACCTTTGCATGTCTTTCCTGGAGGGCAAAAGCAGATTCTGAAACATACCGATTGGGATCTTGGGGTCGTAGTCCAATAGCATAGGATGAGCCCTCGTGGCTGCCTTGTCGCAGGCGATCCAAATTTCGAGATTGGTAAGTATCATAGTCGATGTCAGTTCCGGATTTCCTTTGTATGAGCTGCTGGCCGCGCTGTGGTAGATTTCCATAATATTCCGCAACTGTGAACAAATCATTAAGGCGTCCTGATCAAGTTGATTCCGCAGCCAGTCGTTGAGATTAACCGCAATCCAGGACTCGAAAGCCATGAGATTGAAAAATCGATACTTTTTATCAATCAATTGAAATTGCAGGCCGTCCAAAGGAGGCAATATATCCGGTGCGTAGTAGTTCAAGGTCCAAGTTGGAGAAAACTCGCGCCCAGAAGACAATTTGGTCCGGTTCGTGACTGAATGGAGGAAGGCATCAAGCCGTGGAAGTCTTAGCATTGTGTCATTGGCGATGTCGAAAGTGTCTAGCTGCGACAGGTCGTGAGTGAGATCTCGGGAGCTGCTCTGTTGTGTCGCTGACCACCTCTGCATGAGAAGTTCATTGGCCGAGCACATACGCCGACGAACCACATCCAACGCATTGGTATTGACCGTCGAGCCCATTTTCTTCAGTCTTCTGGCAAGTTTCGCCGTCATCTGATACAGTGCATCAGAGTGAAGGCCCGTTTGTGAGGATTTATGAAGAAGCTCTGCCATGAAAGAAACCATGAAAACTTTGTACAGGTTGAAGTATGGTTGGGCGCCCTCTCTGGAGCCTCGGTGAAAGATGAGCTGTAGAACGACGCGGATTAGAAGCCACATGGGAGATCGACGCCATGGATGAAGGCAATCCTTCCATAACACCTCATCCCTCGTGTTCTTCCAAATTCTGTCTTCCTGGAGAGATTCTCCGGGAACCAATAGGAAACTGTGTAATAATTCTGTAATCATCTTCGGATGCGCTGTGTCTCGAGTCTCGTCATGTAGCTGATCAGCCTTCCTGACCTGAGGTAGAGTGCCTGGTGCGGCCTGGGTGCTCATTTTTGCCAAGGTAGCAACAAGAGTCTCGAGAAAGCCGGGCTCGAGGACTCGAGCTACGCCAACCGTAACGCCTCTTCCCGGAAAGCTTCTTCGAAGTCTCCCAATTGTCCCGGTTACAGCAACATTGGTAGGGAAAGTTCGAAAGTCTCAAACTGGAACGCATCTCTCGCACTGGTAATGAGCATGCCGGCATTCTGCTGCTTGACGTATAGGGCAATCGACTCTAAATGACAATCAGTTTCAGCTCGCTGCTCGATTTCCGAGACACTCACCTGGCTCTGGTAGAGTGGAGAGAATTTTGTGAAGGGATTGCTCATCAATAGCTATGGCATCGTGAAGCGGCGTGTGAACCTGAAGCATGTGTTGCATGGCGACACTGGCTATCTCAACAGAACGCGCAATCTCAGGTCCAAGATGGCGTTTGAACTCAGACAGAGACTGGCATACGAGCGTGAGCAGAGCAAGCTCGTTGTGAGGAGAGAAGTCGCTCTGCTGAGGAAGACGAGATGGAAGGAAAATGTGATGGAATAGATAGAGAGCAATCGCATCCGGCGTTGTCTCGCTATTCGCTAAGTTCTCAAAAGCCATTTTGATGCTGGTTTTGGTGATGTTCTGACGGTATGTGAGTGTTAACAGTGATAATACTATCGAGAGGTTGGTTGTTGAATAGACGAACGGCCTGAGGGGACTGCGCTGCAATCGTATTTGGTTCAAAAGTTGAGGAGAAATCCATCAGGTTCATTTTGGCTTGGACACCCTGTTGTCCGAATCCATCCACGCGTTGCATGGAACCTTGCGGTGCCAACAATGTCAAGTGTCTGCAGGAGGCCTTCCAGACTTTCTCTTTAGAGTTCCAAGGGTACAAAGGGAAAGGGTTTACAATGACCTTGCGGATGCATTTCGGACAAACAAAGTTTCCTCCTCGCTACATTGTAGGCCTCAAAGTCTGATATCAAAACTCCCATGCAAACAGTTCTCACGTAGCTGGGTCGTGAATATCATAATGTCGATGGCGTGATCATTTAGATAAGGGAGCCATCTTCCCAATGAAAGTTAATCGACATGGGCTTTGGAGTATGCCTTTTTACCAACGAAGCGCAGCTGATCGATGGATGTTTAACGCTGCACGTGAATATCTTGCTCAAAGACCATACAGCATGGTTTCTGCCTCACACCAGTCCCAAAACTTCCTTGCCAATGAACTTTCGCTGCTTGGAGATGATTGAAACCCATCGGAAATATCATCTGGGATACACCCAAAACGGCCCCATGGAACGATGTATGACCCGTTCTTTTCATTCGTCACCTTGGGGGAGCAAGCTGCGAAGAGCTCGCTGTAAGCCCCGAACTTTGACGGCTTGAAAACGACGCCCTACGTAGGTCGGCGTGAGATAAGGACTCTTGATGTTCATGTGCTCTGATACGTACCATGATTTTGCCCATTGCAGCTGGTGCATGTCTCTGCAGCTCTGTCTTTACAAGACCTGGGTTGACGCTCTGTGTATCGTGAGTCGCAAGACCTTGCTCGAAAGGGTGCGACGTCCACTTACCACCGAGATGATACCACCATTCTCCGTCTTATTTGCGAATTCTTTTGCCAAGAATACCACACCCACTTTACTTTGCATGTAATCACCCATCGAGTCGCCCAACTCCTTTGGTGCGTCATTTGCAGCATTCCAAACGACGCCACCTTTCGGGGCTCCCAGGGAAATCATGCTGGCGATCCACACAACTCTCACACTGCCCTTAGCGACTCCTTGCATCGCAGTTGTATCACGCAATCTCTCTTGCAAGCATCTGGTCAAGAGGAAGGGGCCCAGAGCGTTTGTACCCATTTGCAATTCATGGCCTTGGGCGCTCCTGCTGTTCTTGGGAGGCATCATGACGCCTGCATTGTGAACAAGAACATCAAGTCTCGTTTCCTTGGCGAGAAAAGAATCTGCTGCTGGCTTGATTGTTGTGAGATCCGAAAGGTCGAGCACTAGCGACTCGAGACGTCCTTGACTCGATGGGTAAAGTGATTCGAGTTCCTTGATAGCTGTGGCAATCTTAGAGGCGGATCTTGTCGCAATGTAAATTGTTGCATTGGCGGCATAGAGGATCTTGCAGAGTTCCAAGCCGATGCCGGAAACTCCTCCGGTGATGAAGAAGACCTAGCGATGTTAGTTGAGGGAGTAAAGTTGTGGCTATTGTGGGTGGGCGCTTACTCTGCCACTTTGGTCTGGCAACTCGTCTTCTGTAAATGTTGGCTTAGGTGGAAAGAGTTGGTTGAAGTTGCGTCCGGCCATGTTGATTGCAGTGTTGAGGGTTGAAAAAAAGTGGCTGATATGACGTTGTTCAATTGATGCTGAAAGATGAAAGGTACGTACAAATGATTTTATTATTCGTAGCAAGAATTCAAACCGAGATGTAACGTGGACTATGGATCAACGTATAAGTAGTCAATTCATCCAGTTCGATATCTAAAATATGTTGCGCGGCCTGGCGAGTCGGCGCACACGATCTAACCAAGTACGGCGCCGCAACATGGCTTCGACATTGCTCGGTTCACAATGATCGGAACTTCATTGAGACTGGCCCCATAATTACCGATCCTACGGGACGGATCTGCTCCGGCCTTGGCTTTCGCCGAAAAGTCGGGCGGAAAAGAGCTACTTCAGTGAAAAGCCGGCGCCGATCGGGTTTACGGGCATGTTCGTGCCCCAGTAAACCCGATCGCGAAATCCTTCGCGCTTGCAAAGCCCAGGATTCAATAAAAGTAACAAAGGGGGGCGCGAGCTGGTTTCGACATCCTCAAAGCAATGCGTACCTATTCATTAGTTCTCACTTTTGCTGCGTTATTTGACCTGGTTATGGAGCACCGGTTTGGCAGCCGCGCGTCCGACCGGGCTGTTTTCACCATTGAATGCCAATGTATGAAGGAGTCAGAGAGGCCACAAGACCAATCAATTTCTCAAGATTCGTATGTACAGGGAATCATGTATGTCCAAGAATTTTAACCCGCCCTCGTGATTTGGCCAAATGCATCAATCGTACTTGTATTTAGCAAGAGCTCGCGCCGTTGCCAGTGAAAGAACCGGACTGGTACGCTCCGCTGGCGTCGTCAAGGCACTCGGCTTAAATTCTCATCAGTACTATTCATCGATGCAGTAGATTATTTCTCACTTACCAACAGTAACCAGCTTGAGGTTGTTCTGCTTAGCCCAGTTGATCAACCAGGGCGTCAGGGTCTGCACCGTGGTGGCGTAGGTCTCGTGCATGAGAGGGATGTGTCCGTTGCCGCTGGCGCCGGCGGCCGTGAACTTGGCCTCGCTCTGCGCAGGGGTCTGGTTGTTCCAGTCGCCGCTGTCGACATCATCCGTGATGACCTTGTAACCGAGAGATCCCATGGTCGAGAGAACGGAGCCGCCGGTGGCCAGGTAGGGCGGGCGCATGTAGGCGGGCTTCTTGCCTATGATGTTGACCATGGCCTGCTCGAGCTTCTGCATCTCGGTGGTGAGCTGCGAGGAGCTCAGACTGCCGAAGTTGGAGGGGTGCGTCCAGGTGTGCGAGGCGATCTGGTGGCCGGAGTCGAAGGCCTTCTTGACGGCGGTCTTTTGGTTGTAGATGCAGCCGTAAAGAGTGCCCGTCATGAAGAAAGTGGCCTTAGCGCCGCCGTTGTTGAGGATGTCGACCAGCTGGGAGGTGTACTGGTACGGGCCATCGTCGTAAGCGAGGGCGAGGACGCCAGGCTTGGAGCACTTCTGGATCACGACGCCAGCGCTGGGGGCGCGCTTGATCAAGTCGAGGGGCGACTCGATTGGAATGGCCACAGCGCTGGTAGCCAGCAGCAAGGCGGTAACGGCGGACTCGAGGAAGTGCATGTTGAGCGATTGCGAATGTTGAACTTGAGAGTAGTCGGAAGCGAAAGATCGAGACACCAGGCCTTGGGGAAGAACAGGAGAACACAGGAGAGACCCGGCTTCGAGCTCGTCTATATATGCTTGTTTCGATTGAGTCTTCAACAGACGACAGTGAGCCCACTTGGACCACTCCAATCTCGTCGATCCAGAGAATTAGAACACGCGGGAGAAGCTCCTTTGTGGGGTTTTCGGAGCGAAAACATGGGAGAATCGGCCGGGCGAGATCCCATTCGGGAGTTCGCTTCACGGCAACAGGAAAACCTTGCTTGTTCCAGGGGCTGAATACCACTGCAGCAGGCCGGCAGTGAGGGGCTCAAGGGGGTTGCGAGATGGTCGGATGGACTCGCATCGGGTTAAGTGCGATCATGGAGCAATCTAAGTGAGCCGGGGAAAGCACAGCGAGAACGGCATTGATTGAGCAGTCTCATTTAGGCTCTTTTCCAGGCCACCAGTGCTTAATCTGGAACGGAGGGTTCCGGTCAAAGGGAGATTTTGCGGGTATTGAGCTGGTGATGCGCCGGGATCGCCTGCAATGACCGGGGTCCGTCAGGGGGCACGGGGGCGGCTGTTTGGTGCAATATGACGGCTCTTCCAGCTTTGGTACTGGAAACTCTGGACTTCTCCGCACGATAACCAGTCAACTGCCAGACTTTAAAGCTGGGTTGATGCCTCCTGCGCGGCTGAATCGGCATGCCGGCAGCGGGTGGCCAAGGGAGATCATCTGGAACCTGGGGAAGGCCAAATCCAGGCCACGAGAAGTCGGTACCGTCGTCCGTCGTCTACCGGCTAAATAAAATGCTTCAAGCAACGTGACGTGCTAAATCCAGCGCTGGGACGGGAATGTTGTAGTGCTGCGGGGATGCGGAACTCAGCTGTCAGGGGTTGATGTTGGTGGTCAAGACGCTTACTCATCAACATGGTTCATCTCATCATCATCATTCAGTTGCTGGCTCAATCTTTTTTTTTTTTTCACGCTCTGATCAGAGCTCACTGTCAAGTGAGATTTCATCTGATTGCTTATATACTCCTGGAGTTTCTAAATATCGTGCTCTGTCTCGAAATTGCAGCAACCTGATTTGACCGGCAATCAGCCAACCATCTGATCGACATGTCTTTTCTGGGGTGATTAGGCGCGCCCTTTCGCTGTCATGGCTGAGCCCAAAAGGGACGCGTCTCATTCTCCTCATTTTTGGCGAGCAGAGAACCTACGGACACCAACGTCACCAATGTAGCAAACCAAAAATCAATTTCACCACCTCCTCGCCAACTTCTTTGTCACTTCTACTTAGTTCATCATGGACGTCGAATGTCAATGCGCCACAGTGACGTTCAAGACGCCGACCCTCGAGCCCATCGACGTGTACTGCTGTCACTGTTCTCAATGCCGCAGGCAATCATCGTCAGCATTCGGCACTTCCGCCATCTTCCCAGCCGAGGGCCTGTTTCCACTGTCCGATGAGCTCAAAGAAAAGTTGCATATCTGGACGCGACCGACCAAGAGCGGTGGACAGATGGATTGCTGCCTCTGTCGCGTATGCGGGTGTCGCCTGTTCCACCGCATCCGCGACATAGATGGGACGTTGAGGCCGACCGTCAGCATCAAAGGGGGATCAGTTATTGGGCTCAAGCTCGACAAGGGAAAGCATATTTGGACCAATAGCGCCGTGGTGGATATACCCGGGCCGAATGAGAGCTGGCCTGAGTCGCCTTATACGCCCCCGGGCGAGCAAGAGGTTCTTGGGAAGTAGTGATATCACCAGGTTACACAGGCGCTTGCCAGTGTGACGCGTTGATTAAGTAAAGCTTATCTTCAGTCGTTTCGATCCGTAGAAATGACTTCCGGATATTCTTTTTAGTATGGTGACAGGACCTCCGGTCGTCGTTCGGTTGTGGTTAAAATCTATGTACAGGTATTCAACATGGGCAAGAGAAGCAGAACTGTTTTACACAAAATGTCACCTCATGATCTTCACCTCCTGAACATGTGGCGTTATCAAGACAAGCCATTTTATCTTTCCAAAGACATTGGTCAATGCGTCTCTAACGCAGAGCGAGCGGAACGGAAGCGCTGGCCGATGCTGCGCTTGCTGCTCATCATCTTAACGCTCTCATCATAGTCGCTGGTACCGTTGTTGGGGTCAGCATCCTTGGCGTTCTCGGCACCGCACTTGGAACCAGCATTGTACGCTCCATCAGGTCCGTCGACGCCGGCGAACTCGCGTTTGTCGTTGGCCTTAAGCATGTTCGTCGCGGCCTCGGGAAGCCAGCCGTTAATAAAGTCTCCGTGGGAGCAGTACGAGCTACCGCACGCGAGCTCGAAGGGAGGCGTGCCGTTCCAGCCGTCGGGAAGAACCTTGCGGAGATCGTAGCGGATGGAGAAGCGCAGCTGGGGCATGCGCTTCATGTTCTCGGGGCAGCGGTTGGCGGGCTTGAAGCTGTCCTTCCAGTTCTGAGTGCCTGAGTAGGCGGATTCAAGGGTCTGCTCGTTCACGCAGTCGTGGAAGAGCAGCAGGGTTTGAAGGTGCGTAGAGCACGTCTTTGTGGGGAAGGCTGCAGCATCCTTCGTTTCGCCGTCGTCGCCCTCGCAGAACCACTGGATACCGGCCAGCTCCTCAACATCAGCTTGGGATGTTGCTTTCGAGTTTCCGGCTACGGTCTTGTAGTTTTGGGGGATCGCGACTTCGGCATTCTCGATGGAAACGTAGTAGGCTGAGAAACGGGAGAAAGGGACGGGAGTCATGCCCGTGTCGTTCTTGACATAGAGCGTAGGGACCCCTTGGACATTGTTAGCAGATGCTTCTCTTGAAAAGTTCAGAGTCAAGCAGCTGTAGTAATAATATAAAAGAACTTACAGTAAGAGGAATAATCGTTGGGGTTCTCGGCAGTTGAGCAGCCGGCCTGGAGCTCCGCAGAGGTGTTGGTGTTGAGGGTGACGGCATCTGAGCCAAAGAAGGTGTGCATATGACTTTTGTACTGGCCGGGAATAACCACCGGGTCGATGTTCTTTCTCATGAAGGGCTCGGCCACAGCAATTGTGTAGGCATTGGCGATGCCAGCACCGGCAAGCAGAAGGGATGTAGCGGGATGCATGTTGAAGAGGGCGATGACGAAAGCAAAAGGAACGAACGAACAACTCAAGGAGTTTCAGTAAACGTACTGATGGAGAAGAAAGGAATGACTGGCTTAGAAAACAAAACTCTGAACAATCAGACAGGCTGACAGCTCCCTATAAAACTTCAGCTCGACTAGTTGATAGGGCGGACTCGACGTTTGTTCATCCCATAATCGACTGCATCGCAAATGCCCCGCCGGTATCTCGTCGATCCTGGTAGATTCTGCAGGGATTAAGCGCACCGTTCTGCGGGCTCGGGCAGCTGAAACACGTCGTCAACTTGGTTAGGCTGTTAGAGCCGTTCGGTCTTAATTGCACCCAGGGCTGGTTTCTACCCTGACTGAGGCCAATATTGATCTATCGCGTACCGCTGCTACGTGAGTCCTGTTTTCGTATTCAAAAGGTAGGCAGACATCTTCGTACACGCAGCTGGTGGGGGCTGAATACCACTTGGGTGGGTGTGAGTGACGTCGAAAGTCCCCGTATCTGCCGGGCAAGGGCCCCTCCCCCCTAACTCACGTCGAGGAGAAACCAAACGCGGAGAGAATGCGCGGAAGTCCATAGTCCAATGGCTGCGACTCAACAGTCAGCAACTACACATTTACCGTGAAGGATTTCCCGGACGTGTTGCTTTCTCTGACACTTGACAGCTCGGGTTCTCAATCACCATAGCTGGGATCACCCTGCCGGTAAGCGGCATGACGTAGAAACCCGCCTCATGTCCGCACACATAATTATAGCATGCAAAGCTTAAGTTGTAGTATAATTCAAACCATTCGCTTCTCTTTTCTCGGAATTGTTTCCACAGGAATGTGTGGGAATGCACATCTAGCTTGAATCACATCAGGAATCCCCGCCTGCAAGTTCTGAGTCTTCGATACTATATCGACCAGTATCATCAGATCGGCAACCAAAGACCGGAAACTTAAGTCAGAAATTGGTATCAATGTTATGGTTGTAGATGATCTGGAGATCTGCTTTTACAGCTTAGACACGTACGTGACCAGGTGACCACAGACAGCATAATGTCAGTAGCGTCGTTGTTATCGAGCAGACGCAAGTGTGATATAAGTAGCCATATTAATACAGGGGAAATGTGTCCAAGGAATCAGTCCAAGCTCGTAACATCAAGCTTCGCCCCTGATATTGGGTCCCCGTGAGAAGAGCTAAAATATTCCCTGGTGATTTTGTTTGGGGAACTTTTCGGCGAGATTGTTTCATATTCACGGGGCATGCTTCTCGATCTACTCCGATGACAACATTGCCATTGAATTATGTGGCTCACTGGAGGAACTGAACTAGTTGTAGAACAACTAGACGTTTAAGGATCGGCCTGAAGAATAGAAGTTGGCATGACATCGGCCACAAGGTGCCTCGTTGAAGTATGGTGCATTAGATGAGGAAGCAAGAAGTTCTCTTGAACGAAGCTAATTTTCCAAGACAATATGCTCGTTGATTATTGAATTGTATAAGGAGAGCTATAAATGAAGAGAGTGACTATTCATCGGCCGCATTGACCAGCAACGAATTGACGTGGCAGCTCGTTCGGCGGGATGTTTAGTCCGCACCGGCGGTCGGCACCGCAAACTCCACTGAATTGTCCATTTGTACAAGCTTGTCCTTTGACGCTCTTTCCCTGAGGTGCTAATTGAAGGCAATTCCTGTCAACCATGTTCTATCCAGGTAAGTAGGCGTATGGTAACATGACTTACTCGCAAGGACGCTAAGCGCAGAGCAAAGGACCAAAAGAGTGGCGTTGAGAACCCTCATGTTTGGAAACTCGTTGAAAGTCAGGACTCAGGTCAGTGTGGATTAAGGAGAGAGTAAGAAGGAAAGGTCGGCTAAGGAGTGGCGCCGTAAGAGAAAAGATAGGAAGGTCGAATAAAATCTGTGCTCGGCACTAAAGAATGGAAGACTGGTGATCAGTTCAAAACATGGCGTATCTTTGCGGGTGGACTTCTCGCCTTTTATGGACAAAGATGCCCAGGTACCCGAAAGATTTAACCTTACATCGTAGCCGTCTTCCCGCCCGGAATCTATCCCGGTGTTTCCCACATTCCTCGAGAAGGTGCAGCCTGCGACGCCAGAAGTTTGGATGGCATCGCTGTTGACACAGCGCACATCAGGTGAAACCTCGTTAGCAAACGAGTCAGGCATCCCCCGCGTCACGCAGCCCTACGATTTTCGAAATGGAATGATGTACAGCGTAATCGTCATTCAAGAAACAAAACAGCAGCTCAATAGTTGTTCATGCCTATGATGTCCTATCGTTTGCCATTGGCTTACTCATGTTGAAAGACATTGCACGCTCAAAACATGCCTAGCTTGGCGGTTTGAAGATTGTCTGTTGTCTGATACACGACTTCAAATAGACCTTGTCCTACCATATTGAAGCAAGTTAGTTTCGTTATCTGGCCATGGTGTTCGAAACGGTTGGACAAGAAGCATGAAAGACTTGTAGTGAAATCCGTTGCGATAGCGAGAAATTCCAGGTATTGATCTATGCCGTCGGTTGGTTATTGGCATCTTAGGTCAGTCACTTCTTTTTCGAAGGTAGGGTACCGAGTAGATTGATACACCACCACTTGTGCGTCGAAAGTAGCACAGCAAAGTGACCTCTCGACGGATCTCAACGGCTTCACATCGTGCGTCAGACTCTCGGCTAGCAAAAATAAGTCCTCCGATAGTCATCATTACGCAATTTTAACTTACTAGGCATGAGGCTCCTTCTTAGTTTCAATCTCTTAATTAATACCTAATACTAATGCTTGTAAGATGTTCTGTGACGTTTAGTGTCAACTTAGCACGGAAACGTATGTCGGACGTGTCCCCGGCCCGGTGCGGGTCTCCTTCTGCGCGGCATCGCGACCCAACGCCGGCACATTCGAGACAAAAGTCGTCTAAAAGACTTGCTGCTTCTCGAGCTTCTACTTCGAATGACACCTGCAAGATGTCGAAGCGGAGAGGCACCCTTACACGCTCACTACCCAAGTCACGTGGCGCACTGGTTGCGTGACAGAAGCTCAGCTGCTCAAGAGACGAAGGACCAACATCGCTACGACCATCAGCTCTGGCACCACTTGACAGTACGCTAAGATCAACAGATGAGTCTGTAAGGAAAAAGACAAGACTTTCGGGTACGGATTGCGCTTTTGAGATACCTGTGGGACAGCACAGAGGTAGGCCCTGACCTTGCGGGAGATCCCAGAACTGCCAGCACCAATGTGGTAGGCCTGAGCTGCGGGAAGTTCAACGCTCGAGATCAGCGAGATGCTGACCCTGAAGTTGACGTCAAAGACAGACACGTATACTGTATTAACGCTGTTTTTTCTGAACGAGATATAGACGTGGTCGCCCTCAATGAGCTTGCCTTCGCCGTCCATCTCAATGATCTTGTCGGGCCGTCTGTTTTTCTTGACGCCAAACGTAACATACAACGTGTGTTGGAGCTTCTCATGCCTGTTGCAGGCGAGACTCAGCAAGTGACACGGCGGCGGCAGGCACTTCGAGAATGTTGCGGGGCACGGCTCCAGCATGGGATAGATCACGAGCCATGCGGCCAGAGTGACAACAGGCAAAGATAGTGGTGACGTTTTTGGCGCGATTGGTGATGAAGCGCACCAAGCGTTCCAGCTCCACTTTCAGAATGCCGTTGAAGGAAGAGGCCGCAACAGCCGCGGCATGGTTTCGAAGCAGGAAGTACATTAGTACAAGGAAATGATAATGCCATTATTGGTGCTCGGTGGAGCTGGCTTCTTTGTCGACGCCTGGTTTATTAATATCCTCTTCGACGATCCCGCCGTGGCCCGAATAGTAGATGATTGTTTGGCCGCGAGACTTTCACGATGCGTTCCCACTCCCTGAGGATGCCTGCTCGGGTAGCAACATCACCACACAGCATGGAGATATGGAAAACCTGTTGGCTGAGAACAAATGCCATATTCCCGACATCGTTAAGCGGGCTGCGGAGGCCCCCGAACGGGCTGGCGATCAACAAAGCCCGCCTTGCTGCAGTCATCTTCAATACTTGCAAGAGGCTAGCGGGATAAATCGGAGTGCGTAGAGTATGATAGCGAGCGGGTGAGGATTGCGTGTTCACCAGGCTATTCATGGGACTCGAATGGAGTTCTCAGATACGAGCATCGCTGTTATGTTCGGGATGACCAATCCTGATTTTAACGAAGGATCAAGCGATCTGACCATACTCTGCGGAGACCATACCAGTTGCATAGTAGATATCTGCAAGCTTGGCAGGTCCATACATAAGCGCAGTAGCGTTGCATTGCTAGCTTGTCTGAGGCTCTGTACCTGGTTGTGGTTTCGCTAGTTCTCGTTGAATTCGGTCCAATGACCATCAACCATATCAGTTTGGTCTTGTAATCACAGCACATATGACTACTCACAAAGAGTGACTTGCACGCAGACCGGCCCTTACAAGGCAAATTGGAGGCATCTGCTAAGCAATAGTACCCTGCTACACGGCGTTCCCGAAGGAGTTCTCCCCAGTCTCTATTTTACGCGATCCCATTACTGAGGCGACTGACCTTCGAAGAGCCTTCTCCTGATTGCAGCCTCATTGACACGTGAGCCCTCCGCGACTGGTTGATGTCTTCCGCGTCACGGGTCAGGCATCAATACTTTCAATTGGCGCTATTGTGATCCATCTCTCCCAAGTTTCAACACAACCGCACCATTCGCAAGCGAGCCGATTCAGACGAGTTGCCAATATTCACCCCACCCAGGCAGGGGTTCAATTTTTTAAGTTTTCGATAACCTGGAATCCTTCATCCTGCTGGTCAATCCTTTCCCCTCCTGCTCCCTTGATGTCTCTCCACAACCCGACTGGCTGCGACTGTGCGAACTGACAGTGCCAAGCATCTCAGCTTCTGAATTCAACCTGTTTTGGGAAGCAAGTATTCATCTTCGGTTGTGGTGCATTCCGATGTCCAGCAGGCGCGCTAGACGCGGCATCGATACCCTCAATTGTTTGTCTACTTACCCTGCAACCCCTGTCATTGAGGGATTTTTGCGCTCTTCTGCACTGTACGAATACCGGCCATTGGGTGTTGTCCGATGAGATCCTGATACCCCACAGCATAGACGTGGATAGAGCCGAAAGAGAAAATCACATGAAAGTCTGTGGTCTTAGCTCCCGCAGTTCTGTCCGGTCAGAAAGCGTTGTCTATTCCAGTGACCAAACCAGGCGCCCCTGTTGCTCCTCTGCAGGCTAGAGCCACCTGAAGGATTTGAGCACGTGAGGGCGCATTATCCATGTTCTGAATACTCATTCGCAGCTGATGCCAAGTTGCTACTCAGCCGCAATAACAGAAAGCCGCTATTGCGGCGGGGAACGGTGTGATCAACAGTGACTCAAAGCCCAACGAACGTCGTCATGCCTGAAAAGACCAGCAGATCGGGTTCCATGTGACATGTCGACTGATCGACAGTCAGACTGCGATTGGGGAGTGTCCTCTTGTATTTGCCTATAGCTTTACAAGACCACAGAAAACAATATGCGCAGTACAAGTAGATAACAATGAGCCTGGCGGCTTGAGTCACCTGAACGCACGTATCGTATTCCAGGCAATCAAGTGACCTATATATTATAGAATCAGTACATTCTTTGCGAACCTTTGCTCACATACCGAAATTGAGCCGCCCTATCAACAACCCAAGCGCCCACTATCGAACCTCCAAAATGTCATTCATTGCGGATATTGACACCGCGGTAGATGAGGATATCGTCAGTCTGCAAGTGAAAGTCAGCGCAGTCGCATGCGACGATCCCGAGAACCCCAGGCTGCACTACAAGCTCGCTCAGTCACTGCTTGAGAAATACCAGAGGTATGGAAAGGCAGCCGATGATCTTTCCGCTGCCATCTTCCAAGCCACCACAGCTGTCGAGAAGGCCGACATCCTGGATTCTGCTGAGCGGGATGAAATGGCTGCGACTCTTTCTCGCATGGTCTTTCTACAGGGGGACCAACTGCGAACGCCGGAAAGTCTAGAGGCTGCCCTGGAAAGGGGACTCCAGACGACCACGCTACTTTCGGATTCCTCGCCACATTTCCCTATGTTATGGTACAACCTGGCACAAATCTTGCTTTGGCGTGGGAAGTCTCAACAAGATGAAGATGACCTAGAAGCAGCCCTCCAGTATGCCAAGGATGCAGCTGACTGCCAGAAGGAGGATGATTTCTACTATCCCTTGTTCTGCTACACCATTTCTGAGATATTATTTCGGCTTTCTCATTTGAGGTCGAGTCCGCAGGATCTGGAGGAATCCTTATCCCAGCTGCTGGAATCGAAAAGGACGATGAGAGTCGACCATCCCATGCAGTATGGGCTGCATAGATCACTCGAGTCGATTTACAAGGAACGATTTCGCTACACACTGGATTATGTGGACATTGTGAAGGCATCATGTTACTTCACTCAGCGGTCTAGCATGCCGCCCCCGCCCACCAACATCCATGAAGATGGATATCGCCCTTCGATTGTTCATTTGCGTCGCTTTGATCGCTCCAAAGATATCTGTGATCTCGATGAGGCAATCCGGCAGACCAAGAATGAGAGGATCTCTCTGAGCCAGAACTCTGTGAAGCGAGCTTCGGCTTCGTTGGAATTGGCAGAGATGTTCGGGATCAGGTTCAGCCGCCTTGGTGAAGTACAAGATGCTAAAGAAGGCATCTTCTTTGCCAAGGAAGGACTTGATCTTAGGATGAAAAACAACATGGAACCTATAGGTGCACTGCAGTCCCTTTGTTGTCGTCTCTTCAATCACAATGAGGAGTTGGATGTCAGCAAAGATGTCGAGGAAACTATCAACATCATCACGAGCATGATCCCGGTTTTTACAGGTATGGAAAACCAGGCAGACCTCCGTACCTTGTTAGGGATGATGCTCAGGCAACGGTCTCAACACGACCATCAGAATGTTGGGGACCTCGAAAACGGAATAACGCAATTGAGAGAAGCTCTCCAACTATCCCAAAGTGAGACGCAGAAACGGACCGCACTCGACATTCTCACAGCTTGTCTCCATGACCATTTTAATCGTACCGGAGACGAAAGCAGCATGAACGAAGCTGTTACCACTGGAAGACGTCTGGTGAGCCTTCTCAACCGAGAGCACGAAGACTGGAATAGGGCATTCATCCAGTTGGCCCGACAGTTAACCAACCGGGCCTTGAGAACTGGAAATGCGGCTGAGCTTGATGAAGCCATCTCAATCTACGAAGATGTCAGTGATGCTCTACCCGATGATCACTTTTTACGCCTACGAAACGTTGATGCTCTGTCCACCATGTACAATATACGATATGACCGCAAACGACAAATCTCCGACAACGATAAGGCCATTGCCATGCTGAAAGATTGCATCAACCGTACAACACAAGCGTCTCAAGAACGGGCTATCAAGCTTCTCAACTTGGGAAGCAGCTTATCCCGTCGCTTCCGGCGGACGAGACTTTTGACACATCTTGAAGAGGCAATCTCAAAGTACGAAGAGGCGCTCGAGACGCCCTTCACACAAGCAAACCAAAGCGTGAAGGCTTCCTGCCTGTACAGTATGGCACAGCTTCGACATCAACGTTATGAAATGACAGGAGACGTGGCTCATTTGGATATGGCCGTTGAGCAGGGGAGGTCAGCTGTGACAACTCTGGCGGATTCTCATCCAGAACTGGCTAGAGCTCACCTCAACTTGGGCAGCTCACTCCAAGACCGAGCAACAGAAACGGGGAGGCTTGACGACATCGACTCGGCTCTCAACAGCTTCAGAACTGGAAGCCATCTTCAATCTGGCGAACCGATCATAAGAATCAATTGCGCGCATCGTGCAATGGGCATTCTAGCCGAACAGAACGATTGGGCTGAGGCTGAGAGGATAGCAGACGTTGCTGTCAGTCTCATACCACGAGCCTGCTCGCGAAAGCTCAGCCAAGATGATCAAGTGCACGCACTTCGCAACATTTCCGAGGTATCCGCAGACGCCTGTTCGATCTTATTACGGTTAGGAAAGGTTGAAAAGGCCTTGCAGCATATCGAGTACGGCCGTGGCCTGGTTCTTGGTTATCTCATTGATGAGCAGAGCGATCTGTCGGACCTGAGAATGCGAGACTTCTCCTTGGCGCAGGAATACGAATGCCTGCGCACCAGGGCTTCTAGTGCAAGCACCGACTTGGAACCTATATATCAAGAGATGGACGTCTGTGAATCGAAGATTCGTCAGATTGAAGGCTTCGAAAGGTTTTTGCTGCCGCCCTCTCTGGAGGAATTGCAAGATGCCGCTTGTGAAGGCCCAATAGTTGTCGTCAACACGTCCAAATTTGGAGCAGACGCTATCATCATCACCAAACATTGCTTCAAGGCTGTGGCGCTTCCCAAAATGTCATCCAATTGGATGATTAGGGGCGCTGGACATGGAACGGAAGAGCAGAGGGGTCAGCGAGACATCAAACCAGAACGTGCTCCAAGATTGAACGATATGGCACTGGAGTGGCTGTGGTCTGCTTGCGTCCATCCCATTCTCAAGCAGATCACGAAAGACCTCGACCAAAAGCCGAGTGCTACGGACCTGCCCCGTATATGGTGGATTGGTGCTGGATCTGCTAGCAGCTTTCCGTTTCATGCGGCCACAAGTTCCAACGCGGAAGCTCCTGGCAGCACTCTCGACGTGACTATTTCGTCGTACACGTCGACCATCAAGGCTCTGCAGAACGCTCGAAATCGCGCTTTGAGAGGACAGAAACAGGACCGCGTCGATCCATACAACCTTTTGGTGGTCACTATGCCCAGCACGCCCGGTGGGACGCCTCTTCCTGGCGTAACACGTGAGCTTCAAGCGATCAAGGCTGCCGTAGATGGCACATACAGCATCACGGAACTTGAAAAGCCCAACGCCCGTCAAGTTCTGGATGGTATGCAAGACGCGCAGATTGTGCACTTCGCGTGTCACGGCACCTCTGATCCTCTCGATCCATTGCAGAGTCATTTGTTACTGCAAACTCCTGAGCAAGATTGGACAAGCTCACGGTCAAGTCACTCATGGCCGCGAAGGTTCAAACCCGGGCTTGGATCGCTTACTTATCCGCATGTTCAACAGCTGAAGTGAGCGCGTCCAACCTGAAGAACGAGGGTCTGCACGCAACAAGCGCCTTCCAAGCTGCTGGATTCGGTCATGTGATTGGCTCCATGTGGCCAGTCAGCGACGAGGTTTCCATCGAAGTTGCCCAACTCTTTTATGAGTTCTTGAGCAAACCCAAATCCGAGGTTGTCTCGCCGAACAGGTTGGTTGCAGAGGCTTTGAGGAGCGCTGTAATCGAGGTTCGTAAGCGCCATACTGACAATGCTGATGTCTGGGGGCCATACATACACTATGGCGCATGAAAGGTAGCGGTATCTACAACTGCAGTCCGCATCGAAGATGGTGGTCATCTCGGAAATGTCTCTTCCACCGCGTGGTAATACCTTGGCAATCACGCCTACCTACGTAGCTTATTTCGCAATTGAACAACTTATGAGAGGAGGTTTAGAATCTAGACCAGAGTGACATCGACGTGACCCTGCCCTTGAGTTTGAAACGCTCCCAGCCATGCGCTTTGGGCTGTTCGATCCATCACTAGAATCTCGCAGGTTGTCGAGTCTGACTGAAATGATGTACAGCTACCTGACTTGGAGGCTTGCATTTGAAGTGAGACGCAAAAGTCAACAGGGAAGCTTCGCCCAAAACTCTGGTCGTCTTCGGTATCTCAACTCGGTACACAGATATCCATGGTTGGCTATCAAGTCTGATCAGTTCTTTAACATGGTCAAAATCCCAATGAACCATTGATCAATGTTCCAAAGCCCTGAGGTGTGGACTGTCTGTGGTGCAGCTAGCATCCATCATGTTGTTGCAAACTTGGCAGCATGCTGGAGGCAAGATATAAATCCAGAACGTGTTGGACGGGAGAGATTAGGGCCGGGGGATTTGCAGACGAAGCGCTCCACATTGTCAGTGCCTTCCAAGTTGTTGGTCTTGGCCACGTCACCGGGTCTCTTTGGTCGGTTGATTAGAGTCGCTGAGCGGCAGCAATGACCACGTCACCGACCGAGCAGTCGCAGAGGCGTTACGAAAGGCTGTAATGGTCCATGGAAGTCCGCAATAGTGGAGAGCCGCGTATATGGGCATCGCACGTTCATTTTGGAGCTTGATTTATACCTAAGTTACTATTACGTCTTCTCTTGTCTTTGTTCGGCTCTTCTCTTCAATTTATTGATGTTATCATTCAATTCCCTGCCCTAGGTAAACACCCTCCAACCACTTCTCTGAACATGATTTGAAAATGAAAGCTTCCCGGAAATTTGATGAATCACTCATTTTGATCATGCGAGCATCGGTTGCAGTAGAAAATGGAATTTATTTCTTGTACTCGGTGAAAGATATATACAAGTAGACAAACATCTACAGAACGTATTGAATAATTCTCCCGTGATTTCATGCTCTAAGACAGAACATCGGCGTATTCGGGACTGTTCATGGGGCCGAGAACGCTAGACAGCGGGGTCGGGCGGGGGAGGTTTCCACGTGGCGCCCCTGACCAGGTCTCTTTTAACCTGGTGCCGAGCCAGTAAAATCACTGAAAAAGACACTTTCTTCCTTCTCCTTACTCCGCATCGATTCCAACCAAGCTGAGACTGTGCTGCTGTTCCCGGACTCCGAGAATGGACACCTCCGGCCCGTCATCGTCCTTCTCGGCGGCACATTACTTCCCGGCACGGCGCCGGGTGTGGCAGGCATGCACCAATTGCCGGGCCCGCAAGACACGATGCGACGCGGCTAAGCCGAAGTGCAGCTTGTGCATGACGCAAAACGTTGAGTGTGTCTATCGAGATTCGAATCAACCACGCATTGAGCAGAACACTCGCATCTTGTTAGAGAGAATACAGATGCTGGAGGACCGCCTATTCGCATCGCCTGTCTTCTCAGCTCAGACTTCTCCACAACAGACTCAGTACCAGGTGGATTCACAGTCGCCTCAGGTGGCTCAACAGCCGACAACTCCAGGACCGGGACCGAGGACGCAAGATACAGAAACATCCGACGAGCACGCAGACACGGGCGCTTCACTAGGACACGAAGGTGACGCTCAGATTCAAATTCCACTATCTCATACGGCCAGCGCCAATCATGTTCTTGAATGGCCAGTCGTTCAGCAATTGCTGGATGACTCAGAGCCAATACCCCCACGAGCAGTCATGCCAGCCGGTATACGATCCACAGAAGCAACAGACATGTTCTTCCAGGAATCTTCTGATCAGACGCGGTCAGCCCCTCCCCCAGAGTCTTGGAGGTTGTTCCGGGATCGAAGCTTGCCGGTGTCCATCGATGCCGCCGATAGATATCGCGAGGTTATCCATGAGTACTTTGCGGAAGTCAACATCTTTTTTCCACTACTGTCCCTCGATGACATACTCGCGACGTTCAACGAAGTTGTGTCATGCGAAAAGTCCCCGGCCCTCGAGTCTGACTCTATGTCACCGGCGAGGTACTGTCTTCTTCTCCTTGTTCTTTGCATGGGGTCTTTTGTGTGTACAGGGGAATATCGAATCTCCTTGAACGAGGCTGCGGGCAGAAATGGTGGTCAGGAGCCTCCGTCTCTAGGATCTGGATATTTCAAAGAGGTCACAGGGCTTGACGAGAAGCTCTGGCAGAAGGCTCGTTTACTCCTCGGTTTCATCTCCTCGGAGATCAATCTTGAAGCCGCTCAGTGCAGTATGCTGGCAAGTCTATACAAGGGCGCCAAAGGCCGAATGGCAGACTCCTTTCATTGGGTTCACGCGACGGCGGTAAAGTGCGAGGCACTAGCAAGAAGGGCAATTGCAAGCACAAATGATGCAGAACGATTTTCAGACGCTTTCAGACGGTTGTATTGGGTCTCGCTTATCTATGAAGGTGACTTCATTTCAGAGGTTTCCATCACCCTCCCATCAGGCATTGCTAGATACGAGGATGTGGTGCCTTACCCTGCCCCCGAGACGCCCAAGCATCGACAAGAACATGCGGCAGCATTCTCCACACCAGAGACGAATCCTACCAGCCCGGTAACATCGACATTCTATCGAACGGAAGAACTAGTCGCATTCCAGATCAGCACCAATGCGGCCATCCGGCGCTTTCTGAACCGCGTCAACAGCGTGATTTACGACAGCAAAGATCAGGTCCGAATGACAAGAGATAGCTACGCAAATTGGCTGCTTCGCGTAACACAAGAACTATGGTCTTATCATGGAGCACTCTACCGCAACTTGCCAGATTTCCTTTTGACGAGCCAGCCGCGAAAACGCACCGACCAAGAGAATGCAAGCTCGCCGATGACACCAGGCATCATCAGAGTCGAAGAGCTCGGCAACAATCCATGGAACGTCCTGCGACTCAAAGGACGCTACTATGCTGGACAGTACATTATCCACCGGCCTTTCATCGAATATGTGCTACTCAACATGGCTCATTTTGATACCCATCCCTGCAAAGAGGCGATTCTTCACCGTTGCAGGCTATGCTTGGAAGGAATACGAGGGTTCATCAACGTTTTTGACATCGATCCGGCCATCAGTATTACCGGCCTATTCTCCAGTGGTCTTGTGTAAGCTCTTCCATTTGCCTCGATTTCGATCATAAGCCTAATTTCATTCAGCACGTTTACCATGGTAATGATCCTCAGAGTGGCAACGGTGTGTCCCGTCTTTCGCGACGCCCTACCATCAGATATAGAGCAGGCGATATTCATCGGCAAGCGAAACTTGAGGAGGTTTAGCATCAGTGTTACAGAGTTCCAGTGGCACCTAGGGGTGCTGGAGCGGCTTGAGGCATCCTGCAAAAATCACATGACGATGTAGATGGAAGAGAGCGCGGTAGCTGGGGCAGAATGTTCCATGGTGAGTTAGATATCCATTGGTAGATAAAGATAAGGTGATACCCATGAATGAAAATGACACGGCTGGCAACCAAATGATTCACCAGGTTGTGACTGTTCACCACGGCGAAATTCATTCATTCTAATTTCGTCTATTAAATCCAAAGAACGCCGATTTATGCATTTCGTTTCCGTATTCTCGAAACAGAGATTTGATCATGAGGCAACAGCAACGGGTGTGCCGTTCGTTTGCGCAAGCTTCTTCGCCTTTTCTTCCGGCGACAGCTCGAACACGCCGACACCGGACACCGTCTCTTTGGGCTTGTCACCGTTCTTCTCGGCCTCGGGCTGGATGACCTTGCCCTCCAGTCTCTTATCCTCTGGCGTCATGGGCGCATACAATTGGAGCAACTCATTCAGTCGCTCCCGCTGACAGCAGTTCTCGTACTTCCAACTGGCCGCCAACTCGTCAAGCTCCTCAAAGGTCCTGTCCTTGAAATAGCCGGCCCACTCGGGAATCATGTACTCGGCCATGGTGATGCCGCGGATTCCGCGGAAGACGTGCATGTGCATGCGCCACTGCCACGGGTACTTCTTGTTGTACTGCGCAGGGACGTTGTCCTCGAACCACTTGTGAAGTGGGCCAAAGAGGTTGGGTTGGAGATGCGCGTCGTCGTAGGCCCAGCTGTCGACGGCGAGATCGCGCTTTTTGCGGATCATGGGACCGAGAAGCTTTAGCCAGGCCGAGTCGGGAGAGAGGTAAGTCATTCCCATAACGTTGACGTCCTTGTAAGCCCAGATGCTCCAGGCTGAAATTGGGGTCAGCTAATGGTTCTCAGAATCCGACTTCCGTTCCGGCTTACCGATGCCTTCGGAGGTGTAGATCGCCATTTGTCTGTCCAACATGTCGTATCTCTCCTCATTGTGAACCTTCCAGTCAGGGTTGTACTCTTCTCGCTCGTAGATCGGACCGAACTCGCCTGTATAAAGATACCTCTGTCAGCAGATGGAAAGATTCGCGTGCACAGAGAGCGTGCTTACCGTTCCAGATGGGAACATTGTGTTCCTTCATAAACGCAACCTTGCGATCGTACATCTGCCGGATATACGCGTCTTGGTCCTTCAGACCCTGGTATCTGCCAATGCGGTTCGGGAATCCGAAGCCGCAGTAGTCGTGGACCGCATACACGGAGTTGGGGAACACCTTGGTGAAGCCGGAGAAGTCCATACTGAAGGTGTTGCCCTCGAGGAAGAGGATATGATCCGGGTCGATCTCGCGGATGGCAGGAACGATGCGATCGTAGAAGGCCAAGAGCCGTGTCCACTCGACATCGGCGGGCTCATTGAGAGGGTTGAATCCTGCGATCCACGGGTTGCCCTTGTAGCGTTTTGCGAGAACTTGCCACAGGTTGATGACTCTGTCCTGGAAGTGCTTGTGATCCCAGAAAGCAGCGTATCCTGTGGGGTTGTCTGAATGCCAGTCCTGGTTCTGGCCTCCCGGGGCGGAGTGGAGGTCGAGGATGGTGTAGATTCCGTACTTGGAGCACTGTGCAACGAAACTGTTAGAGCCAGTTGTTACGGGACACATCTCGGGGCCGGTTAAAGACTCACAATTTCAATTGCGCGATCGAGATGCTTGAAGCCCTCTTCCTTGATGACGAAAGGGTTCATGTCATCTTCAAAGTGGTGGTAGTTGAAAGATAGACGGACGCAATTGAAGCCGATCGAGGACAGAAACTCGGCATCCTTCTCCGTGAAGAAGTACTCGAGGAACTTGTCGAAGAAGAATTCGTACTTCTCCTTCCCAAGGACCTTCAGGAGCGCTGCGCGGATCTGGTGTTCGCGACCGGGGAAACCGTTCATGAAGTTCTCCATGAGCATCCAGCCACCGAGTGCCGTCTAGAGAGGAAGTCAGTGATTGACCAGAGCAACATTAGAGCTTGCGACCATCTTCTTACCCCTCGCAGGCGGACTGGGTTACCTGAAGCATCGACAACATCAGGCCCAGACGTCTTCAAGATACCGTTCGACATGTTGGCAGACAACTGAGCGGTGATTTGGCGACGAGAAGAGATAGAAGACGTAGAGAGAATGCGGAGGCCGAGAATATCCTCCGACTTCAGCCAGCAGGACCGCTCGAGCTCCTAAATATGACGGCCTTACATGCGAAAATCATGTTTAACTAAGAGCCACGCGACGAGCTATCACCTGCGTTACGGAGAAGTTGCATACGTCCCACAGTCCCCATGACGTCCGGTGCCACAATTGGGGTCCCCTCATGAGGTGATCGGAGACAGCACTCGTACATACGCGCTTCCGAGGCCATGAACGCGACCAAAGGACGCCCGCGTCAACCATCGGGGAAGACCAAGACGCTCCCCCGACCCCACGTTCCAGCTCGGGGGACTGTCTTGGATGCCCCGCATAGGCGCGGACAACTTCAACCGAAGCGAAAACGACGCTAGGGGTATCGTTTTCGTTGCCCCGAAGTGACCCACGTTGAGTCGGGGGAAGACTTTAGCTGCCCCGACGAGCCATGATTCGTCAGTTCTGCCAAAAAAGGGGCTTCCAGACTCAAAGAGGAATCTCAGGCTTCTCCACATCGCCAGACGCTACACAACTTGAACAAGTCTCGGCGCACTTTGCTATTCTCACTTGACAACTGCTGTCTTCCGCGACGCAAAGATGCCGAGTCAGACGAGCGTGACTTCACCCGCAACCCCTAATCATTCGTTTTACCCCATGGAGACTGGTCTCGCCTGAACGACTATTCATCTCATGATGTTCCTTCGTGTGGGGATTGGATTGCACTTTACCCCAGCCCCCGGATCGCCCCTGCTTCTTCTCCGCATCCCATCATCCGACTGGTGATCCCTGTCGTGTTGTTTGTCCTCGGCAGGCCGACTGGTAATTCCAGCAGTACGGTTCTGTCAGGAAGACCATCGAGCTAGTTCCCGCGCCAATGGCGATATCGCCCGATCGAATTCGTTTCATTTAGCCCCAGATGCCGACTTTACGACTTCGTCACCCTCAACTTAGACCCCAACCCGACGAGCAGAACCCGGGAATGGTGCGGGTGTTCAGGACAACTTCATCGTTCCACCTTTGCAGCTGAGAAGACTATACGCATATAAGGTCACACGGAATCCCGGTTTCCTGGTTGTGTTCGTCGGCTCAGATCAGCTCCATCAACCGCTGGGTCAACTGATGTCCCATCCCCCCTCCCGAATCTCTTGTCTGCCAACTTCCCAAGCATCGGTATCAGCGACAATGAACTTCCTCCGCGAAAGACTCCCTGCACCGAGGCAGAACCAGGCAGCTCGCCGAGCTCGCCAGCAAGGTGGTCCGGCCGTCGCAAACGAAACCTACCAGCCCTCTCGCATTGCCCAACTGGCTCAAGAGTCGCCGGCATGGTACAGATCCGGGGCTCGGAGAAAGTTGTACTTCCTCCTTTTCCCCGCTGCCGTTGTCTCGTACGCCACCAGCGGTTACGACGGCTCGATGATGAACTCGCTCCAGACAGTGTCCTACTTCGATGACTTCTTCGACAATCCTCGCGGTGCTGTTCTCGGCTTGATGAGCGCCATCATGGCTTTGGGCAGCATCTGTTCAACACCCATTGCCCCGTGGGTCGCTGACAGGTTTGGGCGACGATGGGGTATCACGGTGGGAAGTCTGATCATGATTGCTGGAGCCATCATCCAGTGCGAGAGCACCGAGTTTGCCATGTTTGTTGTTAGTAGATTCATCTTGGGCTTTGGACTGTCCTTTGCAACGACCTCGGCCCCTAGCTTGGTCAGCGAGTTATCGCATCCCAAAGATCGTGTCACCATCACGGCTATATGCAACACCTGGTAAGCATCAGGAACAGCTTATCCTATCTGAGTACTGTCGGACTAACGGAGACAATCTTTTCAGCTGGTATCTTGGAAGTATTGCTGCAGCTTGGATTAGTATGTCAAATCCCACTCTTGGATTAAGTCGATCGAAAGCTAACAACGAACAACAGCCTTCGGAACTCGAACGATCCCAAGCACTTGGTCGTGGAGAATTCCCTCGCTTCTCCAGATGGCACCAAGCGTGGTTCAACTCTCGGCTGTCTGGTTCCTACCTGAATCTCCTCGATGGCTCATTTCCAAGGACCGCGATCACGATGCTCTTGAGGCTCTCAAGCGATATCATGGCGAAGGGGAAGAGACGGAACTAGTTAGGCTCGAGTACGAGGAGATCAGAACGGCCATTGATAATGAGAAGAGTAAGAAAACCCTCTACGCAAAGTCCTGAAGTTTCAATGGTTAAACCCATTTATAGGGCTTGGTGCGACGACTTGGAAGTCAATGGTTTCTACTAAGGGCAATCGCTATCGCATGTTCCTTGTTATCTGTGAGTCACTTATTGTCTCTATTCATCTTTGATGATAGCTAACGGCGATTTCAAGGCATGGGCTTCTTCTCTCAGTGGTCTGGGAACGGATTGATCGCCTATTACCTATCACGGTAAGTTGTCGCCCGGTGGGATAAGATTACATACTTATAGTAGCTAGGATCATGGACACTGTGGGAATCAAGAACAAGAACACCCAGGCTCTCGTAAACGGACTCGTCAACATTTGGAACTTCGGCCTTGCCCTCACAACCGCCTTCTTTGTGGAACGAGTCGGCCGACGACCGCTGTTCCGAATCTCCACGATCGGCATGCTCACAGTCTTCATCGGCTGGACTATCGCTTCCGCCCGTTTTGCAGAGACGAACGCTAGCTCCGCCGGCATCGCCGTTCTCGCTCTCATCTTTGTGTACCAGATCTTCTACTGCATTGCATTCTCGCCCTTGCCGGTCGCGTACTCCGTCGAAATCTTACCGTTCTCCATCCGTGCGAAGGGCATGGCCACCTACGTGTTCTCGACCAAGGCTGCTGTGTTTGTGAACCAGTACGTCAACCCCATCGGACTCCAGAACATAGGCTGGCGCTTTTATATCGTCTATGTTGTCATCTTGGCGGTCGAGAGCTTCATTGCGTACGGATGGTTCCTCGAGACTAAGGGCAAGGCATTGGAGGAGATTGCGGTCATCTTTGACGGTGAGCAGGCCAATGTTCGACTCGACGAAGGGGGGAAGGGAGACGGTCCGGTTGATGTTGAGGAGAGTGAGCACGCCACAACCAAGGTCTAACGGAAGCATCATGTTTTGGTCATTAGGATGTGACTCGAATTGATAGTATAACGCAACTATCGCCCTTAACATCAAGTATCTAATTCCTGCTGAAGGCTTCGACATCTTTAAAATGATGGTTTGCGTCCCATTGACCGTACTAACCGCGATTTTGGGTCGGCATCCCATGGCCCACGGGATATCAATCAATGATCCATCAAAGCTCAAAAGATCCGCGTAGAAATATAGCATTATTGTGACCTGCAGTATGGCAGTCGCTTTTGCTGTTATTATCCCGCCATAGGCTCACAGATGGCCCCCCTACTGTCTTCGTTGAAACAGCATTGTCCCGAGCCGGGACCCTTCTGACAAACTGTTTTATGCCCTTGACACCCATAACACCCAAGACCCGTGTTGCACTCTCCTCTACCTGAGGTGCAGGGTTCTCCAGTCACTCTCCCGCGCCTTTCGATCTTTTCGATCCCTTCCCGCCCTTGGATCCTTTGGGGCCCTTCCCGGGACCCTTCCCCTTTGGCCCTTTGTCCTTCGAGCCTTTCTCCTTCGACCCTTTTGCCCCCCTCGCGCCCGACGTCCCCTTTGCGTTTGACGACCCTTTGGAACCCTTCGCCTTTTTCGGACTTTTCGCGTTTTTCGGCGGCGGACTCTTCGGGGCTGGTGGTGGCGGGCTTTCTGACGGACAGCTGTGCCAAATTTGATTAGCAAATTTCCCGTTTTCAGTAATCGAAGGCCTGTACAAAATTCTCACTGCTTCGTCGCCGCGCCAGGCAATGCCCTCAAACACTGCGCCCGGAAACAAGTCCATGTCTCCGGTCTCAGCCGCCGGATCGGCCAGTGCGAGGCCGACCGCTGCCAAGAGCAGCAGAAGAGCCTGAAAGACCCTCATATCCGCGGTCGCAAATCAGTCAAATGGTCTGAACAGGGCGCCGAGAACAGTTGACTTTTTTGCAGGACTTGGATGAACCCTTGGTCAAGGGGATCAAATGATGGGTTGAGTAGTTGTTTTTGAGTTGACGCCAGATCAGCGACATCTGAGCGCGTGGGGCGGGAACGCCGAAGGTGTTCTTCTTAAATGTTTCCGGTGCACAAACCTCTTAGCAGCGTCATTCACAGCCCCTGTGCTTCAGCTTGTATCGTCTGATGTGAAGACGCTATTCGCAAACAAATGCACGGACGCCATGGCAGCATTCGAGGCCGTGGTGCTACCGGCTGCCGAAGCCGGCTGCAGATCCCATGCCGAGATTTCTGTCTTTGAAAATTTCCGGGGAGATTTTCAGTCATGTTTTCAACAGATAGATTCTCGCTGGCATATATTCTGTACGTCTGAAAGATTGAAGACCTTGAACAGCAGGCGACCAGTTGATAGAACCATGAACAGCAGGTTGTTTGACGCTAGTGTCGTGAAGTATCGAGATCCTTGTAGCATGGCGCGCAAGACTCGCCGATATTGATGGGTGTGGGTGTGGTCTTGTCTGTGTTCCACCTATTAGGTCACCTGTCAAATAATGATGGCGTCCTCCAACCCCTCAGATTGGACGTTGTCAAAATAAAGGCAGTTCGGTCCAAACGAAACCGAGTGGCTTGGCCGCGCAATGCAACAGTCTGAATCAGCTCTCTTGTCCCACCGGCATCAGCCGACCCGCCCTTCGTATGGGAAACTTGCCTATGTGGGAAACAAAACCTTAATTGGCACGTCAGCGTGGAGCTGGAGGGGCAGCTACTTATGGTCGCACTGTCGCCTGCAAACATTCTTATGTTACAGGTGCAGCCTTTTCTCCGGTGATTGTTTCCTTCAGATGAATCGAAGTTCGGCCGAAACCGTGGCCTCGACCCCGATCGCCCCTTACGACAAGGACCATGAGGATCCGAACGGTCCTGGCGATGCTCGACCCACGGCGTTGAAAGTCATCCGAGACCAAGGACTCGATGGCAAACTTCAGGGGAAAGTCTTTTTCGTGACGGGGTGCACGAACGGAATCGGGGTCGAGACAGCCAGGGCGTTGCATGCCACCGGCGCTGATGTCTACATCACGGGTCGTGACACGGCAAGCGGCGAAGAAGTCGTGAAGCGGATAATGCATGACGGCAAGCCGGGCAAGGTGGTCTTCATTGAGATGCACCTGGACTCGCTAGCCAGTGTTCGAGATGCAGCATCAAAGTTTCTGCAGTTGAGCGACACGCTGAATTGTTTGATTTGCAATGCTGGTAGGTTTTGGTGTGCTGTTGACTACCATAATGCTCAATCATAGGCAGGTGTTGGGATGCACCCCAAAGCTTTGACTAGAGATGGATTCGAGATGCACTTCGGAACCAATCACTTGGGACACTTTTGCCTCTTCGAAGCTCTCAAAGACACTCTTCTCAAGTCCTCAAGCCCATCGTACCCGTCAAGGCTTGTCATGGTATCTTCGCGGTCTCATCTCGCGAGCTCCGTGGACCTCGACGATTTGAATCTCGAGACGACGACGTATGATGCACACAGCGCATACGGAGCCTCAAAAACAGCTAATATCTGGATGGCGAACGAAGTCGAGCGACGGTACGGCCCACATCACTTACACGCCACCTCCGTTCATCCCGGCGCAGTGGTCTCTGGCCTGAGTCGCCATGTCGGGGAAGACTTCATGAAGAAGTTGTTTGGACCTCCTAAAATCGCGAAGCTCATCAAATCCGCCGAGCAAGCCGCGGCCACGACAATCTGGGCTGCTGTGGGTGCCGAGTGGCAACATCAGGGTGGCAAGTATCTAGCTGATGTCCAAGAAGGTGTCCCGTCTGAAACGTGCACCGAGGGCAGAACAGGACCTGGGTACGCGCCGCATGCTTTCGATGAGGAGAAGGAAAAGCGGCTATGGGAATTGAGTGACAAAATCGTGAGAGCTACCTCACGTGATCTATGTTACCTGCAAAATTCTGTAGGGAGTTCAGAGTAGTTCGTTGCATGTTCGTTTCCACATCATGCTATCTAGGAAGGATTACTCGTAAAGTCTAGTTCCGCAGCCTCATCATGATAGTCTTTGTGGGATCTGGAACTGACTGCGATAATATCATTAGCTAATCCTCAAAGGCAATAGAGCATGCATACCTGAGATCCGAAAGTGAGATTCTTGTACCTCTCGGTACAGCCATCAGGCATCTTCAGGTCGTATTTCAGGAACGTAGTCGCCAGAATCATCTTCATCTCGTTTGCTGCAAAGAACCTGCCAGGACAGGCGTTCCTCCCGTATCCAAAGGCAAGACTTGTATCGCCCACACTCGCAAACTGATTGTTTGTTGCTGCTTCCGCAAAGGCGTCCTCCGCTGACATCTTACTTTTCAACGCAGCTTCCTTTTCCTTTCGAATCTTGTAGAATCTTAACGCGTCAAAGACGTCCGGACTGGCGTGTATAGTTTCATCGTAGTTGATGGCATGTGAAGGGACCTCCAGGATGACACCGGTAGGAATTGTTTGCCCGTTTGGCAGAGTGACTGGCTTCATGACCTTGCGTTGGAATGCCGCTGAGGGGTGATATTTAGCCGATGATTGATCTCATAGGTGAAGCATGTGTCTTACTGGCACTTTGAGGGTAGTATCTCATGATCTCCTTCAGGAAGCTGTCTAGCTTCACCATTTTTTGTAGTGCGACTGCGGTAATATTGCCATCTGTCTCAGCAAGGACCTCCTCGACCTCTTGTCGCAAGATTGCCACGAGGTCGGGTGTTGCCGCAAGGTTATAAAAGCTAGATGAAAATCAGCCATTGTCAAAGAGAAAGACTTTCAATTGAGCCTACGCGTTGGTCAATGCTGCCGTTGTCGTGTGAATAGCTGCAAAGGTCAGGCTTAACTGATACTTTGATATCGCACGATCACTCTGTTGACCAAATTTGTCTTTGGAGTCCATCAACCACTGCAACATGTCATCTGGCTTGTCCTTCTCATTGAGGCCATGAAGTGCAGCCTGACGGCGGGCTGTGACCACAGGCCGGAGGAAATCGTCAGCTTGCTGGAAGCGGTGATGCAGTTTCTTGACTTGCGGTGCTCGGGACGCTAGGAATGGACGCAGCCAGGGGGATATAAACCCCACAGCCTGGATAGCAGCTGTCATGTCCAGAGTGTAGTTGACCGCCGCATCGAGGTAGACCTCGTCTCTGCAGAGATCGGGCCCAACAAAGATTCGGCCTGATGTTTTGGCTACTATGCGGGCTAGCTTGCCGTTGATTCTAACATCCGACCAGTCCGCTGACTGAGGGAACTCTGTTTGGATCGCATTTGAGACTTCATCTAGAATGATTGGATTCAAACGGACTTGGACGATCAGCAGCAGATACGGGCCGTGATATGCTGGCGCCACTTACACAAAGCGGGATTGAGTGAAGTTTTGAGAGTATGCGGTATCGTGGGAATATTGCTTGTGATGTTGGTGTACTTTGTCTGCAGAGCCTTCATTGCCAAAGAGTTAGCATGAACTCTGTTCAGCGAACTCATCATCTCTTGCCTCTTCTACTGCCTCGTTGAAGCTGAGAACGTCTTCAGGTAGCTTCTTTAGGTGCTTCAAGAATTCCGGTGATACAACGACACATTCGGATTCTACACGCCGGGTGAGGTTCTTCATCGTGAGATGATTCGGTCAATGGCGGTTCGAAAATCTTACGTCTCGCAGTCATCATTCGAAAAGCACTGTCTTTGAACTGGCAGTTACTTAGTCCCGTTGAATTCATTTCCCAGCTCGCTGAACCGCGTACCTTCTTGTAGCCCTCGATATAGAGATCTCTGGCTTTACCGGAGAGAAACTCCTTTCTCCTTGCTTCTTTGCTCGTAGCATTTCCAACGACCGGAATATCCGAGAGTCGGACTGTCCTTTTGAAGAGTCTCGCCAACAGGAAGAGAGCGCCGACAACCAAGGCAGTCAGTCCTAGCGGAGAAGGGTTGGCAAGGACGTCGGTGAAGATGATCCCACTCATTTTGACCCCTAGTATCACGGTTAGTAGTGTTGTGATGTAGGTCGCTATAGCGTAGGGGCAGCGTGTGGTAGATTTTCACGCTTAGGTTGTGTTGACAGTGGGTGTGTCTTTTGAGCTACTTGTATCCATCACCGGCGAATCATTATCCGAGGTACTAAACCGCGTATTTTACACATAGCCCGATTAGGTTGCACCGGCAGCTCAAGAATTGCCAATTTTTCTACTAGCAAGTAATTCAAGTCCCGGTAAAGAGCGTCGTAGTTGCCCCGCTTGTTGAGAAACGAGTCAAGACACTTGCCGATTATGCGAGAGCGAAAAAGTCTAATTGCTCCTTCAATAAACCAAATACCTCTCGTCTGCGGCTTGATAAGCGTGATAAGAGTGCTTTCTGAATAAGTATTAAGGTTCTGACCATGTCATCCACTGTAGCATTGGATCTCCACCGAGAGCAAGTTTACAGTCCAGTGGGAGAACCTTCTAAATGAGCACCTAAGCTGAGATGGCTGTGTGAGAGAAGCCTTCAATAAAAGTCGACTCGCAACTCACTTGCCATTGCACTGCCACGAGCGTCATCATCGAATAATTCATATTTCATCACTATCATATACCCAAGCGAGGCACCGTCTCACGACCGGCCGAGATATCTCTTCTTCTTCTGCCTCCGTGTCGGCATTGACCTCGGTTCATCAAGGAAGAGTCCCATCATGCGACGCCAATGGAAATGCAAAGGGTTCTCCCCGAGTGGTGGCGTCCGCTCATATTTGAAGGGTGCCTCCTCTAAGAAATCCAAGGGCCCAGTGTCTGGTGTCGCGGGGTCTTGAAACCATCTCAATGAGATTTGATATGAGGGCACATTTCTGAACAAGTGAAGAGGCTTGAACCATTCCTCATGGGGCATCGGGTATCGGGCGTATTGCGGGTACATCCAAATTCGAAATTCCTTCAGCCGAGGGAGCTTGTCAGCAGCCTTCGACCAAAGGTCAAACCATTGCATCTTGGCTGTAATGGCCTCTTCATCCTCAGGGTCCATGTATGATTCTATGGAGGCGGCCCAGATGAGGTGAAGGGTGTTGATCCGAAGCAGTGATTCGGCGTTGGTTGTCTCCAAAAATCGTGAAAGAGCATCGATCCCGATGAATGAAAACGCAGTGTCATCGTACATGGAGTCGACCGCCTCCTGGTGCATGCGCTTGCAGGCTAGGAGGATGGCCAGAAAGGGGCTAAACTCCTTCACCATCGTCCGCCGCTTCTTCTTATCGCCGTCGCTATCGCCGATCGTATCACCCACAGGCCGAAGCACGGGCGGTTCCTCTTCACATGCCCAGTGGTTGCACCAGAGTGAAGCGTTGCGCAGTCGCCAGTCGTTGATCTCGTCACGCTGTGCCATGGCCTCTGCGGTGAAAGCGCCATCTCGGCATTCCGGCGTTTGCTCCGCGGGCGGGGCTTCCAGAACGTTGGTGAGGTTGATCTCGCGGACGTCTTCGGCGTCCGGATCCGAGATGCAAGCGCAGTGGGAGAGGGGCGCCAGCGGGGAGGGGCTGGCCTTGTAGACATGCTGTGTCGATCCGGCGGCTATCCACAAGTGCCGATAGATGTTCTGACGTATTTCGAGCGGCAGGGCGGAGAAGAAGCCGGACTGCGGCTGGGGGTTCATTGGCATCGCTTCGGATGAGGAGCCGGGCTCGGCATCATCGTCCGTGAGCCGTGAAGCTGGTTTGTGGTACTCTTCTATCTCTGGCATCTTTCTAAAGTAAACAGACATGCGAGTAAAAAGTGAATATGGATGAAAGGAGAGAGGAACAACAGGTTATCGATGTTGAAAGAGAGCTTGATGAGATAAGACAACGTCTGCCTGGCGTTCGATGATTCCCCCTCCACCCCCTGCATCACCTCCCCAAAAAGGCTTAACGCCGCTTACGACATCCGTCTGTCCAATTGTGACGAGGCACTCATGATGGCGAGCCAACACCATCTGTAGCAGCCCACATGCGCATGTTTTCGACACCAACGCTGCTGCATGGCCCGCAGGCGCGTGGGCTCAACGTCGCTGAAACTGTCATGAGTTCATCAAGGTTTTTCTTTCCATATAAAACGAGCAGACTATTACGTATCATCTGTCCATATCAAGCACACCTCACAAGGGTTGACCAATTCCGGCGGGATGATTGGTCAGAGTCAGGATTTCTGGGGCTGATTGCTTGTCTTACCCCAGATCCAGCACAGATCCAGGGAGAGCTCTGCTCTTATCTCCCAGGCGTACCCCAGACCGCCTTCTGTCACAATAAAGTTCTTTTTTGTTCATCAGCTCTTCGTGTCTTCTTCCAGACATATAAGAAGCCCGCCATTGATACTCTTCCGTCCGCCGTTGTTGATTCTTGGGAGAGCGATGAGCTGTTCATCGATCCGGCAGCTCGCCCTGCTACGTGGGGCGCCGGCTCAACGCGCTTTAACGCGGGCTGGACAGAGCACTTTCATCGCTGGCCGCCGAGCTCCCTCGACTCTCAACACGAAGATATCACGACATGCGGCGAGGCCAATCCAGTCTACGGTATGTTTGGGCATTCAATCGCAGCGATTTCTAAGCAGCACCGCTCGGAGGCGCAATGCTGCCGAGGATGAAGAGGAGACGGGGAGCTACAGCGAGGCCGACCACGAGCATGCCGTCATCTCAACGTTTGACCTGTTCTCCATCGGCATCGGCCCGTCATCTTCTCACACCGTTGGTCCGATGCGTGCTGGCAACATTTTTGTTGCTGATTTGGCAGAGGCGAATCTCTTGAACAAGGTCAACAAGATTCGGGTTTCCATTTATGGCAGTCTGGCGCTCACCGGCGAGGGCCACATGACACCCTCTGCCCTGTTGCTCGGTCTTGAGAGCGCGGATGTCGAGACAGTCGACACGGCCTACGTTCCGGAGAGGTTCACTGAGATCAAGAACACAAAGAAGTTATTCCTAGGGCACGGACTGGCAGACGGCAAGGGTAAGGAGGTTGACTTCGACTACGAGCGTGACTTCGTCTGGGAATGGGGCCGCAAGCTGCCAACACACAGTAACGGCATGCGCTTCACAGTCTTCGATGCGGATGGGTACGTCTTGGCGACCAACGACATGTTCAGCGTCGGCGGTGGCTTCGTTGTCAACGGCGCCTTGTCAATCAACCCCGATGTCTCATCCTCATCCTCATCGTCCGTCGCCCGCGTGGACTCGCCCGACCCGTCATCAGAGGATACTGCTGGTAGACATCCGGTGGATCTGGCAGAGAACCTCTTCTACAAGGAGATCAGACGATCCGATGCCGCGGGAGACCGTCGGACAGGCGCCGAAGTCAGGCCCGAAGTAACGGACGACACGGCTCTTTTGGGGAACTCATCAGACAACCTTTCACCGGTTGCATCTGAGGGAAATGGTGTCAACATCTCAGAAAATCCCGAGAATACGAGCGAGTCGGGCAGCCAGGGCCCTCGGTACCCGTTCCGAGACGCAACGAGCCTGCTCTCGCTCTGTCGCAAGCACAACCTCACAATTGCTCAGCTCGTCTACGAAAATGAAAAGAGCCACGGCTACACGGATGAGGAAATCTACCATAAGCTTCTCAAGATCTGGCAGGTGATGGACACCAGCATCTTGGAGAGCGTGCAGGCGCCGCTTGACACCAAGCTGCCGGGGTCCCTGAAGCTCCATCGGCGCGCACCCGCACTCTATCGGAGACTGACCCGAGGCTTGTATTCCACCGCCGGCCAGACGTCGCCCAATCCCAACGAGCAGAAGAGCGACGGCAAGAATATCCAGTTCATTGGTTCCTCAGGGTTGGCAGCATCCAACAAAACCCCTGCGACGATTGGCGACAGTAAGTCTAAGACGAGCGTCGGCCTCGGCCCGGGCCGAAGGTCGCCTCCGCGCGTGCTGGGCTCCCTCGACCACCCCATCACCCCGTCTCCCTCGCGCCGGACTACGTTCCCCACGATGGACTATCTCACGGTCTACGCTATCGCGGTCAATGAGACTAACGCAGCGGGCGGTCGCATCGTGACGGCGCCTACCAACGGCGCTGCCGGTATCATCCCCGCCGTGCTGAAGTACACCATCGAGTTCATCAGCGACGACCCGGAACGGGATATCCCGACGTTCCTCCTGACTGCCGCTGCCATCGGCATGCTCTACAAGCGCGGCGCAACCATCTCGGCGGCCGAGGGCGGGTGCATGGCGGAGGTCGGCGTGGCTTGTTCCATGGCCGCGGGCGCCTTCGCGGCGTGCATGGGCGCGAGCCCCGAGGCCATCGAGCAAGCTGCCGAGATCGGCATCGAGCACAACCTGGGTCTGACCTGCGATCCCATCGGCGGCCTCGTGCAGGCGCCGTGCATCGAGCGTAACGCTCTGGGTGCCATCAAGGCCATCTCCAGCGCCAACCTCGCTCTGAGCAGCGAGACGGGCACGCAGAAGGTGAGGTTGGACGACGCCATCCGCGCGATGCGTCTGACCGCCAAGGGAATGAGAAATGAGTTCAAGGAGACTAGTTTGAGTGGTTTGGCGACGAGCGTGCCTTTCAACATCCCAGTCAGTGTTCCTGACTGTTGATTTTGTGCTTGATCTGGACAATGATGAATGGGAGCTTTGGTTAGACTTGGAAAACTTGCAAAACAAAAATGCGGGAATCATAGAATTGGGATTTTATTTACACTGGGTTTCAACGAATTAACGGTAGATTTGGATCATACAATCGAGCTTCCACTGCTCTCAGCCGGCTCTGCCACAGGTGCTCATTCCGGCACTGCCTTTGTTTGGTGTGAAGATTCACATAGACAACCTTTACCTTCTTCAAAGCAGCAACGAGCAAAAATGAATGATGACAACCACGAGATTCGAACTCGTGCCTCTTTCGAGACCAGAATGCTATCCTCTTGGAGGATGAAGCGAACGCTTGAGTCTGGCGCCTTAGACCGCTCGGCCAGATTGCCCACATGCCTGATTAAGCAACAGGATGCCAGAACCGTGCTGCGAGGTCCACCAAGAACAGTCAGGAATGGAGACAGCCGCTAGCGAAATAGGATCCGCTGCTGATGGGTCAATCGCATTATGCAGGTCTTACGAAAACTTTTAGAATTTAGGAGGTAACAGAGATCTATTGAGAATCATCCATGCTGCTCAACATGTAGAGTATGGGCCTGTCACAACTACACACAGCGGGTACCCGACAAGATTGCTCGCAGCTCACTCCTTGTCTTCGAGACCAACAAGCTTCAATGAATCTCTCCACAGTCGTCCCTCACTCTCCTCATCATACACCCACGAGGCATGGTATTCACTGTCAAACTGGCCGCATCCCTCGACCTCGGGAATCGCCTCTGTGCAGTTGGTGAGGTATCTACCTCCCTTGTTGGCCCATTCCTTGCCAACTGCAGCCAGCACCGTAGTCGCAGCCCCCTGTTCCGGGGACTTCATCTGCTTCTTCATCTCGGGGCTGCTCAACAAAGCATCAATCTCCGCCTTGGGGAAGTTGACGGAGAGCGGCGTGTCAATGACACCAGGGTGGAGACTCGTCGCGTGCAGACCGCGAGACCCGTAGCGCCGCTCGATCTCGTTGGCCATGTAGATGTTGGCAGTCTTGGACTGGGCGTACGACATCATTGGCTCGTAGCCTCCCTTCTGGAAGTTGTAGTTGTCGGACGCGTTGATACCCTTGAATCGGTGGCCGGCAGAAGCAACGTTGACGACTCGGGAGGGGAACTCCGGAGTCGATGCCGCCAGGAGAGCCGGCTTCAAGAGCTGGAAGAAGAGGAAGTGGGAGAGGTGGTTGGTGCCGAATTGCATCTCGTGGCCGTCCTTGGTGAATTCGAGAGCTTGGATGGCCGCGATGCCGGCGTTGTTGATGAGGACGTTGACCTTGTCGGTCTTGGAGAGGATGGCTGCAGCGGCAGCGCGGACGGAGTCCAGAGATCCTTGATCCATCTGGATGATTTCCATGCGAGACGGGTCAAGGATGTCGGCGAGGGCGGTCTTCGCCTTGGCTACGTTCCTCGCAGTGAGGAACAGCTTCGCGCCGGTGGCCGCGATAGCACGGACGGTCTCGATGCCGATGCCTGATGAAGTTCCCGTGATGACAAAGACCTTTCCCCCGAGCTTGCCTTCTAGTCCTTCGTCTTTGATGATCTGCAATGCTGTTGGGCGAGCATCGCCCGTTCCCTGAGGGTCGGCATGGGCCTCAGCGTAGCGGGACATATTTGAAGCTTTGACTGATTTGTATGTGGTTCAGAAATTCGTCGATGAGAGTGTTGGAGAAAAAATGAGATTCTTCTTATTGCTACTAAAGATGATGATCTAGAATTCAGGGTAAAAGTTCGACTATGAATCGTCTTTATAGGTGCGACCAGATGGAAGCAGTACTGAGACGAAGTCTCCAAGGCCCCCACAAGATACACATCTCCAAGTTCCAAACTTCTTTCCCCACAGAGCTGTTCATTCTTGATTAACAAACCGTCCGAATGTTGAAGCCTTCGAGTGTACCATACTCATGGCCAGTGCTCTTACATGAATCGCGCAAAGTCCGCCCGTTATCCCCCGGGAATCCACCATTGTCTCCAGTCTTTCACTTCTCGCCTTGCAAAAATATGCCCTTCGAATCAACGAGCATAACGAGGAATTCGGGTTGGCATCGGGCTTCTTCAGATGCCAAGGCGGCAGTGACATTTTCACAGCAACATGGCTGACCTAAACTGCCGTTTAAAGCTTGAAGAGCGGATGCTGTGGGTCCAGGTCGCCGTTCGTGATAACGTTGCCAAGCGTCCACAGCGGAGTTCTGACAAACCGGCTGACTTGAATTGCCGTTTCGGGCGAGCCGGGCTCCGGCGTGCACTCCGCCCGCCGCGTCACGTTGTCGCTGACAGACCTGGCTGACCGTTTTTCCCCTTTTGGGTTTGGCTGACCCCCATCATATCGCCAGCTTCATCAACATTTTGATGAAATCGAGGGGCAAGCTGAGATTCTAATTCTAGCGAGAGTCTAGCCCGGCTGCTGCCCTCCCCGACGCAGTGATGAGTTCGCTTGAAAATCAGCCCGCCGCGGGAAGCGCGCAAACCGCGGAAGACAGGAAACAGAGAAAGAGAGTACAGAACCGGTTAAACCAAAGAGCACGCAGTAAGTCTGTTTGCATGCTCGAGTTGGGCTCTAGAAGTCATGCGATATCACAATGACGGCGCTGACCGGTAGCTGCAGGGCAACGTCTCAAAACAATTGCTGCCAATGCTACCCCAAGCCGGCGACCATTCCGAGTTGATCGCTGGCGATTGGGGGATGATGCACAGCCATATCAGGCGATAACGGCCTCATTAGAAGAACTGGGAACCCCTCCGAGTCAGCCTACGGACTTGGTTGTTTCCTCGCAGGAGCCGCGGGAGCAATCATCAGACATTGAGGTCATAACCCTTGACGAGACTGACCGTGACGCTTTTTCGGCGAAGCTTGACTCGTCCAAAGCCTTCGCTACAACACTCTACGCGGATTTCTTGCTCCATCTTATTGAGCACAATGTTTTCCGAGCTTTCGTATCTAACGCCAATCTTCTCGATGTGACAACGGCAATAGCATCTCCTCGGAATCTTCCCAAAGATGGATGGCTTGCCCCACCGGTAATCTATCAAGGCGACATGCGTTGCACAATCACATCAACCATACACCAAATCAATCCCAACATGCCCAAGTCTCTCCACCCAACTCCGGCTCAGGCAACAGACACTCATAGCTTTTGGATTAACGTGATCCCATTTGCACGAGTCCGGGATAATCTCATTCGCTGGGAGGCTTGCTTCGATCACAACGAATTCCTCAGGGATCTCCTGGGGTCAGTGATTCGCGCAGCCGCGGCTAAGCGGCGCAGGGAAGGGGGGATTTTATCATCATCAAGTTGTCCTTTGGTCATAGAGGACTCTGCAGATGATCCATCAGTCGGAAGGAATGGCTTCGTTGTCTGGGGCGAGGCGCACGATAAGCGGAACTGGGAGGCAACCCCTGGCTTTCTCAAGAAGTGGTCATGGGCCGTCGAGGGTTGTGACGAGATAGTTGAGATCAGTAACAACTGGAGGATTATAAGAGGTGAAGAGCCAATTGCATTGTCATCAGGGCCCGCATGCACCTCATAAAATTTGTTCGTTGTAGATTGAAGGCGTTTGGGTTACGCGTGCTACTTGAACGGCAAGCTCTGAATGATGAAGACGTTAGATTCATATATTTACCGACCATACTCATCTTTTCATCTCCGATGAGTCGGAAGAAGCCTCTCGAAGCTCATTTTATCGACACGAGGTTGGGCACGTTCTGGGGTCGCTGCACATAAACGGCGAGGTAACAAATATGAGCCCGGTCCAACTCGACCCTACAATTGAAAGAAGTTAACAGCTCTAAGTTGTAATGGGGCTCTCACTATGAGAGATGCAGATACAACTGGTCAGCCCTATCTTGGCAGGTACAAAGACTCCCCGGAGTCTCTGCCGGCTGGAATGAATGGTCGGCATCCCACGTGGGTACACTCACCATCGCGGTGACAGACCACATCGAAACATATAACGACAAGGCCCGGGCCGAGGTTTATAGACCAATGTCACCTAAATTTTCGTAATTTTCCGGTTCGCATAGCTTATCCGCTCAAGCTTCTACCCAACGGATACCGCTGATCTTATCCGGTCATGGGCTTCATGCGGGCCGTTGGGAGAGCTGCGAGCTTGTGACAGGGGTTATGTGGAAAGCAGCTTCAACACCAAGCTGGCCTTGTAAGATCATGGGACTTGGCGTTCCAATCGATCTCCTGCGCACAGTCTTTGGGAAACGATTTAAGCAAAACGACCTGCAATCTGTGTGACGTGAAGATCTTGGTGTTTGCTTCAGTCGTTCGGAATTACGAGCGACACCGCTGAATTTGACGCCTTGGCGTTGGGTCGCACCCCGCTTGTCAATCGGTGCTGCACTCCGCTATTGATGCCCGCTTGGATACAACTGAGGCTTTTGAGGTTAGCTGGGCTTGGCAACCCAGCAAGGTGGGATCTGAGTCTTTTTTTTGCTCCTTTTTCTGTCCATCTTGATACTCGGAGAAACCTATCTCAGTCCGAAATGTCAGTGGTAACTGCTGTTTTTGTGAATCGCAAAGAGCAGGGAAACACCATCGATGTCTCGTGAACTCGGCATTCTTCCCCAGACCCCGCACCCCGCATTCAGAATCCGTTCTGCATCCTGCATCCTGCGTCTTCCCCTTTCCACCCACACTGCGTCATGTGACATCGGCCAAACCCCTGTTCTAGACTGTTGAGAAAGCGGATATGCACTCCCAGGCACACACGTAATAGCTCCGGAAGGTAAGCGGACAACTGCCGCTCGGCCCATCGGGTTCGCCAGTCAATTGACCATGTTCCCTGCTCCAGTCTTCGTCCGGATGCTTGGTCTAGAGATCGACAGTCAAGCGAGATGTCCGCCCTCTACCCCTCAGGCCCCGGTCGTGATGGCTGGGAAGGCTCGGCATTGCGGGCTCACGGAGCTCGTCATCTTGGCAGCCGTTTATAAAAGCTCCCAGGTCGGATCGATCTGGCCAAGACTTCCGGCCCCGAGAGGTTACGCTCCCAGCTCAGCCAAGAATCCGTCAACAACATGGCTTCCTCTAGACTTGCTTCCGGCCTTGCCCTGCTCAACGGTCTTGGCCTTCTGTCGGGTGTTCGTGCGCAGTCGAACAGGACCTTGCCAGAGGCTGCCCAGATCATCGATCAAAAGAGCTTCAACGTCCTGGAGGAGGTGCTTCCTCCTTCTGAGGCTAATGCCACTACCGTGAGTCTCAATGCGCAATGTTCATCAGTCCGAGACTAACATAATATTAGACGTTCCTCTGGCCTGGTGTCACCCAGGAGTCTCTCAAGGCGAAGCCATTCCACGTCTACGATGAGGAATTCTACGACATTATCGGCACCAACCCCTCGCTGACTCTGATTGCCACCTCTGAAAATGACCCCAACTTCCATGAAGCTGTGACATGGTGGGTTCAGAGTTCGATTATTGCCGGTGCAAGCCCGAAACTGACGAGTGCAGGTATCCTCCCACGGAAGAGGTGTTTTTCGTCCAGAACGCCGGCTCTCCCGATGCTGGAACTGGTCTGAACAAGTCCTCCATCGTTCAGAAGATCTCCCTTGCGGATGCCGAGGCTTTGAGAAACGGCACTCTCGGCACGGAGGAGGTTACAGTACATGTTGTTCCTTCAAATCCTCAGGTCATCAACCCGAACGGTAACTCTTCCACATCAATTGATCACAGCTTTGCGCTTCAGAGACTAACGCAACCTAGGCGGAACCAACTACAACGGCAACATCATCTTTGCCGGCGAGGGGCAAGGAGACCGCATCCCCTCTGCTTTGTACCTCATGAACCCTCTTGAGCCGTACAACACGACCTGTATGTGATCAACGTCTTGCATTGAATCGGCCTGGGTGACGGACCTCAGCTAACCCTCGTTCCTGCTAGTGCTCGTCAACAACTTCTTTGGCAGACAGTTCAACTCCCTTAACGATGTGGCCGTCAACCCCAAGAACAAGGACATTTACTTCACCGACACCCTGTACGGTTACTACCAGTACTTCCGCCCTGAGCCTGGCATGCGAAACCAGGTTTACCGCCTGAACCCTACTACTGGTGCTCTTACCGTTGTTGCCGATGACTTCGTCCTACCCAACGGTAAGCTTCTTCTACTAGTGAAACCTTTCAATGAAAGCTCATGCATTCTAACTCCTTGTGTACAGGCCTCACGTTTTCTCCCGAGGGTGACTACGCCTACGTCACGGACACTGGTATCAGCCGCGCTCTCTTCGGCATGAACCTGACTCAGCCCGCATCGATGTAAGTCATCATGATTCCCGCTGCCTGCCTCATCATCGACTCACGCCCACATGACAGTTACCGATTCGATGTCAAGGAGGACGGCACCTTCGAGAACCAGAAGACCTTCGCCTACGTCCACGCTCGTGTCCCCGATGGTAAGTTTCCTTGGATCTGGCGCCAAAGCGGTCAACAAGTCAGCGCATGAACCCCGCAACTAACGCAAAACCCACAGGCATCCACACGGATTCCAAGGGCAACGTCTACGCCGGATGCAATGACGGCGTGCACGTCTGGAACCCTTCTGGAAAGCTTCTTGGAAAGATCTATACCGGAATCGTCGCTGCGAACTTCCAGTTTGCCGGCGATGGTCGCATGATTATCATGGGCAAGACGAATCTGTTCTACGCTACACTTGCGGCCTCGGGTGCCCCCCTGTATTTCTAGATGGTCTGACTTTGATTAAGACAATTTCACTGGCTCACAGTTTTGAGGATTGAAGGCTGAGATATTGAATACGCTTGGTATAATTAAGGAAAACCAAATGAAAGTAGATTGTTGGGAACTAGGGATGAATAGAGTTGGAGAAGAAAGACAATCAGCAAACGATTGTATGGCCTTTGTCCTCTACCAGAGTTTTAATTAGGTTGCTCCTAATGTACTCGGTTGACACAGGCGGCCTTACAGCTGTTAAGAACGCTTGAAGGTAGATATTGAAAAGAGTTGTCTCAGTGATTCAAACTTTTAATAGTGAAGGTGTTGAAGGTGCTATTGGGGGAGGCAAACTACTGCCATTCGTCCCCATCCCGCCGTACTTGCTGCCGCATTGCTAAGAAACCTGTAGTCTACTTGAGGTGTGCAGCAATGTGTGATGCTCTTATTATCTCCTACTTCTTCTTGGTAGCTTCAAGCAGCTCTTCGCCAGTGTATTGCTTGTATCGAATATGTTTGACTTCTTTGAAACGTGAAATTGCCAGAATGGTTGCGGGGTCGAAAAGCCCATGATATGTCGGTACAACCTCCTTCAGATTGTCTGCATACGATATGCTTGTGTCAAAGAGCCTCGAGCATCTGGTTGTTGTAGCAGGTCGCATACACGCTGGAGATGGGCGTCGAATTCCTCCTTGGTCATCAGGGCCGGGTTGATAATGTAGACGTCCTCGATGATTCGGTCACCGCGTCTGAATTTCTGGAGTTTGCCGAACGTTCTTAATTGTAACCAGGCAGGTTCAAATGTGTCCAACCTCCGTTTCGGCGACACATATGCCTGAGAGCTTTGGCACATGGGCGTTACTGTGGGTGGGCATATTATGGTGTGATAGTCGAAGTCAATGAGCTCGCGGTAAGCGTACTCCGAAATCGACATGCCGACAGAGAGGATAATGAAGCTATGTGTCCCATTCAAAGCTTCAAATCGCCGAGGCATCAAAGGAGCCAGGAAATATGATATCCAAGCTAACTGACGAAAGATCCAACCAAATGTCAGTATATTAACTTGTCCCATCATTGTTTCTGAAAGTTTGAGGCAAATGCTGGAAGAAGGTACTTTGAATGTATAACTTGATGTATGAGGAGAAGTGGTTAGAATTTCCAAAGAGGCTCCAAAGTAATACGTGCCTCTTTTTGTAAATTTGTTGTTTTTAATTATCTCCGATTCGTACCAGGACAATCTGCGTCACACCTTTACAGTCGACGCGGGGCCCATGTCTTGTGGACGGCCAAACATTCATCTCTTTCCTGCCAACTGTCTATTTCATGTCTCAAGAAGAAGCCAGCAGGGTATGTAGATGAGTTTGAGTTCTGGGACCGATGAGACAGGTCTTCGCCAGCTCTGTGGTGGCTTCTTGAAGCGGTGTCTTAACGTCCTAAAAAAGTTTCAGCTTGGGAATGAGCCAAGGAGCGTTCAGTGGTAGGCCGTCTGGCCCAGAATCTGAATCCTTGTGCCATTCCAGTCTGAATCCTGGTAACGGCAGCTAGTAGCGAAGTGTCCCATCACAGGAAAACCGAGAAATGGGAATACGTAAGCAAGTAAACCAGTGTCTTCTAAAAGCCAGGGAAAAACGGTATCTCAAAGTGATTCCACAAAAGTGTGCTTGTGGTAAAATGGCCTTCATGGCCAGCAGGGTAGTGAGGAGTCTGAGGACCTTGGTAACTCTGGCCTGTAGTATACACTAAGGCACCAGCCAGACCCATGCCCGGTTGTCAAATAATTCCGGGCAGATTTATTAATAAATTTGAATCCTCAGAAGATTAACAATTATTGGAATCGATTTCCACCCACCCTTAGATTAAGCCACTCCGCTGGCTTATTTATTACCTTTGGACCTCTTCTCACCATATGTCATCACCGCACAATGGTAAATTCTTTGGCTAATATGACCACCGGCGAGCTGGCCTGCCGCATCAGTGACTCGGAATGGTTGTGGCCACGCGTCTTGTGGCTACGCATCACTTCCTTATGGGGGTTTCTCAACATCTTTTTCGCGCGGATTACCATCTCACTCGCACGCATCAGCATCTCATATTTTCCTTCACGACCCATTCTCACTCTCCTGCGATGGATAGGAGCCACGTCAAACATTCCAGAACTTTTACGGGTCAAATTCAACAACAAAGACTGCGTATCAAGGTCCCCGTATGGCATCTGTCTTGTGGAGCTTCTTTTGCTGGGCATTTTACTCATCTTTGGCCTACGTTTTGCCATTTCTACCACAAGGTTGCCTACCTTTCAACGCACTCCTGAGGCTTATGCTTTCATCTATTTCATCGGCATGGGCTGTCCTGGCCTGTGGTTGGCCATACTGTGGTGGTCCTGTCTGGTTACCTGAACTAGGCAGCCCACGTATATGAGAAATCTAGGAATCCATCATCGAGTTAGAGACTCAAGTTATCACCTTTTTGAGACTTGTTCACGCTAACCTTCGGACTCCTAGACTATTCAGTTTGATCTTGGGTGCAGGAAGAGGTCCTACGCTCAATCTCACGAGTTCCTCAAATGGTTCAACACAGGATGACATAACAGTGTGTACGGGTCAATAATACCAGGCAAATGGCACATAGATATCTCTGGAACAGAGCCGTTCAAGTTTCCAGATGTAGGTAGGCTAGGTTACTCTCAGAAAGCAATTTTTCAAGATTTCACCTCCGTGGGCGGGCTTCTCGATCTCAAGACTCCAGACGCCTCGTGCCATAGGGGTACGAATATTTTGCAGATGGCTGCTATCCTGCGCTGTTGCCTGCCTGTCTTTGACTGACCGTTGGGAATTGGCATCAAATCCAATTCAGCGGCTTTTCCCAATTCGGGCGTTGAAACACTATTCCTAGCCAGCTATAAACTTCAGGCGGCCATGAATTTGTGCTATGAACCCAATAATGCCCGTGCAGACGCTGGATCTCCTTAAATTCGGCCAATTCAATCAAAAGTCATTCGTGGAAGCATTGCAAGGTGACCATGCATATTGATTTTGTGGTAAATCTAGGAAATCCACGTTCTGGTAAGGTCAGTCACCGACATCAACTTTCTCGCGGCCCGAAATGCGTCTAGAGAGCCATCTGTAAACGCACTTCGAGAATACCCGAAGCCAACTATTATGCCGAAAGAAACCAGAATCGCGATAGAGATCTCAAGAGTGGAGCAAATGAACATTCTGGAGCTTTTGGAAATGTATCGGTGAATGGGAGTTTGCAGTCCTGCCTTTCTAATGATTGACGACTTACTAATTTTCAGCTCGGTTCTGTTGGCTGGCAGTAGCCCGTTGGTGGCTGGCGCTCCCGACAAGCTGTGCGCCGCCAAGTGATCATCGCGACCGCGGGTTCCCCAAGCTCGAACAAGGCCTTCCCTGCAGGTAGGAGTGGGACATGTCAACACCGTTGTCCAATCAGAGAACGCCGCGTCGGATGACGTAGGCAGCCACTTGCGCACTCATTTGCACTGAGAGTTGCGTCCAGGCGATTGCAAGACCAATGTGGACTTTAAACCGACGACGACCTCGTTCCTACGGTACCCCTCGAGCCTGGCGGCCACTACAAAAATGCCAGAATCACAGCAGTCGGCGTGGTCATCACGCGTCGATGTCGTTCTTCGCCCTGTCGAGCGACCGGTCAGCTACCTAACGCGCGCCGGCATCGCCGCATCGTACCCTCTGCGTGGTATCTGGTACTTTCTGCGAAACAAGGAGTTCTACCCGCACTTCCTCAGCCGATTGCTACCGCTATCCATCATATCCTTCCTGGTATATTCCATACTCTTCACCTTTGCCTTCCTGCCGCAATTCGCGTTCTTGGCCATCTTCCACGGCTGGGGCGCATGGGTCAACGCGGTGGTGCTTGTCCTGGGAGAGGGAGTGGTGATTATCCAGGGTCTGTTTGAGGGCTTCTTTGTCGACGAATGCCGAGTCGACGTCTTCGATGTGAGTCTTCCATGCAAGCCAAAAACGAGCATTACCAAGTAAAACTAACGATGCGTGCTAGGCCACCCTCATCAAGAAGTCCCATACCGAGCTCGTTGCCCCGCACCGAATTCTCTTCCCCGACGCCCCGACCGCAGTCAAGATGCTTGGCAAGCCAACGACCTCTGCCATCTACACGCCCTGGAGCATGGTCCAGATCATCGAACTGATCATCTTTCTCCCCCTCAACTTCATCCCGGTGGTCGGCACGCCGGCGTTCATCATCATCACGGGCACGAGACTGGGCAAGCTTGCTCACTACAGATGGTTCCAGCTGCGGGGTCTGAGCAAGAAGGAGTCCAAGAGGGAGATATCGTCGAGGACATGGGAGTACGTGTGGTTCGGCACGGTGGCTATGCTTCTTGAGCTTGTGCCGGTGCTGTCCTTTTTCTTCCTGCTCACAACATCGGCGGGCGCGGCACTCTGGGCGGCGAGAATGGAGGACGAGAAGAGGAGGGAGGCCGTGGAGAGCTTGGTTGGAGAGCCGTTGCCGCCGCCGCCTCCCTACGAAGATGACCCGGTCTAGACTGGAGAAGTACATTCCTTATTTCGAATACCAGCAAGCAAGCAATCAATTGACTTCAATTCAACCTCTACCACAGCCCTCCTGCATGCAGCCATTCTGTGCTAAGCCCACCTCATCGGCGAGGTCATCGCCAGCCACTCACCAAACCCAGGACCACCGGGCTCCTGCTTCTGTTCTTCCTCCTTCTCCAACGCGGTGACCTGCCCTGCCCAAACGCGATTCTCTCCTTCCATCTGTCTTCCTGCCTTCGCGCCTCATTTCTCCTTCCTTCCTACCAAGGCCAGATTCCAGCCTGTTCCATGGCTGATAAGGAAGTGGGGAGCAGCTCTTTCCTGGGAAGGCACCGGACTTGTCTCCTTCCCGGCTTGACTTGGGTACAGTGCATGTGCCTCGCCGCGGCTGCCACCCCGACCAACCTGTTTCCCTTTGCGCGCTTCCTTCCTGCCCGCTTCTCTTGCGATACGGTGAGTCCATGGGACTGGTGAGGCGAGGACCTTCCCACGGAAGTCGTGCCTCCCTCAACAACTGGTCAACTTGCGGAAGGCAACGACCACTCTTGCCCCACTGGTTTCGAAACCAGGCCACCTGACTGACTGAACCATTCCAGGCGGTCCTGTTCACAGTCACATAAGCGACAGGTACTTGCCAACCTTTTCCGGAGAGCAGTTGCAATCCTCAATGGGCAGTCGCATGGTCAGACCGGTGAGGACTTCATGTGCCTCTGGAGGACGCCATATGGTGCCGCATTTGATCATGACCGATGGCTACGACATATCTGCTATGGACGAAGTTCTCCCTCCCCAAGTATGCTCGCCTCCGTCGGCTCTTCACTGGCCTGCAAAGTCTATGATTGTGCGCTCTGGCTTTCGTTGCTGTTTGACATGATGTCCAACCTTCTTTTCTCCTTCCGTGAGCTGGTGCTTGCCCGGCTCACGTCCTTCGTATGCCCCGCCGTGCCTTCCATCTACCTTAGAGTGTGAGGCTGGCAACTGCAGTGCGCTCCTCCCGAAAGCTTCCTTCCCAGAACTTTCAGACTGCAAGATCGAGGAAGGAGGTCCCTCCTGCCTCTGCCTCTGCCTCTGCCCCTCGATCACTCCCCCTCCCCCATCTATTTAAATCCCCTCTCTCTCCCATCATCCTCTGACCTCTTCTCTTCTTCATCCCATCCTTCATTTCTGGCGCCCGCCCTCGTTTGTCTCTGTCTTTTCTGTCGTCTTCGTCCTTTGTCTTCGTCCTTTGGCGTTCTTCTTCGTCCTTCGTCGTCCTTTAGCGTCCTTCAGCGTCTTCGTCGACATGCGAGCCCGAGTCATCGGCGGCCTCGCGGCCTTGGGCGTTGCCCTGGCCTCAACCTGCCCTACCCTCACGCGGACTGTCTACATCCCCGTCGTTGCTCAGCCCACTTCTCTCCCCCCTACCACCATCACCATCGACGCCTACACCCCTGGCAGCTCTCAGTACACAGGCCCCAAGCCTTGGGAGTCTGGCCCCATCATCACGTCCACTGTCTACATCGCTCCCACTCCCGACTCCTCAATTGCCAGCATCCCCGGCAACGTCGATGGCAATCCTCCTGCTACCACCCTTACTGGCGGCCAAGTTACCCCCGGCGCTCCAGGAGGCAATGGTCAAGGAACAACGACAGTCTACACGTTCCCTGCTGGACAGACTCCTCCTTCTTTCCCCTGGAACCCTACGGACCCTGGCACCAACTCTGACGGCGTCGTCGTCTTCAGCACCACTCTGTACAACACCAGACCTGGATCGGGAGGCACTCCAACAGTCGACGCTCTCGTCACCTGTTTCACCGTCACCTTTCCCTCTGCGACGGACTCTGGCAATACCCCTGGGGCTCCCGTTGGCGGTGGCTCTGTTAGCACCGTTGTCGTTCCCACAATGGTCCCGGGCCCTGATGGCAGTCTCTCCTACTCTCTTCAGACGCTTCTTTCTTCATTCCCTCCGGGCGTTGGCAATGGTGTTCCACCTGCTACCGTCGTTACCACCACCTACACCATGCCGGCAGGTGTTCAGGACCCCACGGCAGGCACCCCCATCATCGCCACTCTGACTCTCACATTCCCTCAACCTCCTGCGACTGGCGGCTCACAGCCTCCGGCATCTCCTGGCGTTCCTGGTTCTGCCCCATCTGGCCCTGCTACCATCACTGTCATTGAACCTCCTGGCGTTTCTGGCTCTGCCCCGTCTGACCCTGCCACCGTCACTGTCATTCAGCCTCCTGGCGCCCCTGGTTCTTCTCCATCTGGCCCTGCCACAATCACTGTCATCCAGCCAAACCCCTCGTCTCCTGGCATTTCCGGACCAGCTCTTCCTGTCGGACCTTCCACCGTCACCGTCGTTCAGCCAAGCGCCTCTTCTCCAGCGGGCTCAATTGTCACCGTCTTCATGACTTCTGACACTCCTCCTGCCGGAGATGTTCCGGGCGGCCCTGGTTCCATCTTGAGTCAGACTATATCTCCGAGCGACTCCATTCCTGGTGGCTATGGCGACTCGTCTCCTTCAGCTGGCCTTCCTTCTGCGATCACAGTCACCCTTCCAGCTGGCTCCGGCTCCGGCTCTGGCTCAGACTCTGCTTCTCAGGGTCCTGGCAATGCATCGCCTGTCACCGTCACCGTCCCAGCTGGTTCTGGCTCAGATGCTGGCTCCGGCTCTCAGGATCCCGCTGGCGCAGCACCTGTGACGGTCACTGTTCCTGCTGGCTCTTCTCCTAGCAGCATTCTTGGGGGATACAGCGACCCAGCGCAAGTAACTGCTTCTCCTGGTCCTCTCGGCTCTCCCTCTGTGGTCACATTGTGGCCCACTGCCCAGACCGATGCGGCCGCACCTGCTGCTCCAACTGACGCTGCAACTGCCGTTGGCTCTGCTCAGCCTGGCGCAGCGAGCACCAGCTCTTGCACATCAACTCTTACACCGCAGCCGACCCCGACGGCAGTCAGCTCCATGGAACCCATCTCGCCCAGCCTACCGGTTCCAAGCTCGACAGAGACGAGCTCTTCTCTGCTCACAAGCACACTGGTCAACGTCATTTCGGAAGCCACAACCACCTACTCTTTCCCATTCGAGTCCCTGGTCACTTCCATTTCGGTCATCACTGTGAGCCCGGCAGACCCCGGCAACGCCGCGGGTGGCAGCCCTCCCAGCGCCAGCGTCAGTACCAGCGCCAGTACGAGTGCCAGTGCCAGTGCCAGCGCCAGCGCCAGCGCCAGCGTCATTGTGAGTGCAAGCACCATTGCCAGCGCCGGCGGCAACGTCCAGAGCTCGCTGGTTCTCAGCACCCTGGTTCAGGTAATTACGACCACGCCAACCCCCACGGCAGGAGCTGCCCTCGAGCGTCGTGCCTTCCAGAAGCGCCAGAACGCAACTGCCCCGATTTCGGCGGCGACCCCCATGTGCACGGGTACCACTGAGGTTGGGACGCTTTCCTTGGACGTAAGTTTCTTCCTTGTCTCCATTGTCGTCCGGCGTCCTTGGCCATTGCTGACAAGACTTGCAGTTTGATGACCTCTCGGTTGGCCCCGTCTACAACCCCTACCACCGCTTCTGGTTCTCGAAGGGGTTCCTCGTCGGTCCTCCCCCCTCGGACCCGTACCTGCCCTCCTCTGGCGGCCGCCTCGTCGAGTTCGTGCCTCCCATGCTCTCCAACACGACTGGGTTCTCTGGCGACACCGCTCAGATTGGCATGGGCAAGACGGCATCATCTCCGTGCTTCCAATTCGACTTCTACGGCATCAATCTCGGCTGCGACTCTCGCATCGCCGGCCAGCTCTGCGAGTTCACGTTCACGGGCTACCAGTGGAACGCTACACAGAGCAACGAGACGGAGTTCGCCAGCCAGACTGCCTGGGTGCCTTCCTGCCCTGCGATGAAGGAGTGCCCTCTCACCGTTTTCAAGGCCACTGGCTTCTCTGGTCTGAGCTCCATCACCGTCACACTTCGCGTGGATGGCCAACCTCGCACCTGGTGGGCCGACGACCTCCTTGTCGGCTGGAGCAAGAACGACTGCGAGTCCGCTACCTGTCGCCAGCAGACTGGAGTGGACGCTGTCACCATTGACAATGGCCCCGTCTGGTACTGGACCTCCTTGGGCATGAGGCTTTTGAAGCCATCTCGGGTCAGCAAGCACCTTTGATCTCGCGGAAGAGTGATTGATACGACTGGGCAGTGATGATTTGAAGGATTTCTTGGGAGACTCGCGAAAGTCGGAGCATGAGAAAGGAGGAAATGGGCCACTTGCACCTACCTGATGTATGTTACTAGCATGTCAAATGAATTGTTTTGGAGGTCCATTGCTTCTGTTGTCTCTGTCCTTCGTCGTCCTTCGTCGTCCTGTTCTTCGTCGTCCTTCGTCGTCCCGCTTCGTCGTCCCGCTTCATCTTACTACATTGTCTTGCTCTCGCGCCGTACTTCTGGGTGCTCTTGACTTGATCTTCCTGCTTCAGTGCCTCGCCGTTCTGCCTTGCTGTCCACGTGGAATGACAGAATCATGGTCTTGTGAGTGAGACACAGACTGTGTCGAGCAACCCAAGTCCCCAAGTTCTCGTGGGAAGCAAACAATAAAACAGGATCGCCTACTGATCCATCGCAGCCATCATAATGCTCGTCATTACTACTATTAGACAAGTGGGCTGACCAGAAAGAACCGCGAATCGTGAAAACAAAGACAATTTGACAATCTGAGCTAGCATGCAAGTGGTATCATACAGAAGTAATCCGAACACCAATGAAAGAACATTCCACGTTGCCATCCCTTGACACGGAAGATCAAGCAACATTCTGAGCAAGTATCCCATCCGATTAATTCAATACTCCGAATCTGACTCCACCTGAGGGTCCTCGCCATCGCTGCCCATCTCCGACTCGTTGTACTCGATTTCGTCGTCGTCAGCATCGCTGTCTGCGTTCTCATTTTCGCCCATGTAGTCCAGACCGAAATCATCCAGAGGCTGATCATCTGCATCCTGTTGAACCTTCTGGCGACTGATGGGGACGAAAAGCTTGTCATTCTTCTCCGTATCAGTCTTGCGGAAGAAAGGGTGGGTAGTCTGGAGAGGCTTTCCCTGGGCGATGAAGCCCATAGGGGTAGAGACAAAGTCCTGACCACGGCGTCGAGCAGCAAGCCATTCTTGGCAAAATGTCAATGGACGAGGTGTCAGACCAGTCTTGGCTGGCTTGGACGACGGCTTAGATTCGACTGCTCCGTCAAGCTGTGCCCTCTCCAGATCTTCATCAGAAGACTCTTCCATGTCTTCGGAAAGAGAAGTCTCGTCAATACCGAGCAGGCGGCATATCTCTGCATACTCGTCCCACTCAAAGTAGAGCCGTCCGGCGTATAATCCCAGTTCAACCCTCAACCACATTGGCGCTTCCCAGTCGTTAGCAAGAGGCGGGATACTGAGATAGTCAAGTTTGCCGAAATGCAGCATCTTGCGGGTGACGGGGGCCGAGTATAGAATGAGATGTGTCATATGCTTGGGGCCCTTGTTTCTGATAAGAGGCAGAAGCATCTCGGCTTCCTCGGGGACAACGACGAGAGCGACACCAGTGACATCGCTCCAAAGAATCCAATTCACATTGCGCTGTAAATCACTTGTCAGAACTGCCGCCAACATGAAAGCTTTGCGGAATGTACTTACCAGGAAATTGTCATTTGTCAAGTCGAAGGTGAGCTTGATTGTTCGCTCGAATTCTGTGGAAACGAACAGCCGTGCCTGTGTTGATCGATCGGCAACCTTGAACTTTTTGCCCGTACCCGTCTTTGCCAGCGACTTGAGAACTGGCACGAAGCTCTGAGATCCAGCGGGAATTCTTCCGTTCAATGCGAACGACTCAATATCTTGAGCAAGACCCGGGAACGACAGCGCTGGGTAGTGCTGGGGCTTTTTGACTTGGCGAACAGTCTCCACTTCGAATGCCACTTCTCGCTCTTGCTCGACCTCCTGCAGAGCTGAAGCATGAACAGCCCGACCCGTATCTTGGAATGCTTTGCGTCTCGTATTGAGCTCCTTGACAAAAGATCTGATCTTCAGGTTCGAACCAGCTCGGAACTCGCCAGTGCCCTTCACCTTTCGCTTGGGCTCGTACATCTGCTGCAAGCTGAACTGCTCGTTCTGCTTGATTGTGGCCAGGTAGTCTTCCCTTTGGGCCTTATCTCGCAGGAATTCGGGATGTTCAACGGTGGCCTGCATGCGCCGGCAAAAGTCGATGCCTTGGGCGTAGTAGAGGGGCTGCAATTGCTCAATGCCATCGCAAGTGTTGTCCAACAGCCAGCAAATTCTGCACACGGTCAGTGTGGTCCAGTGCATGTGTGTATCCATGTACTTACACGTCGTGAGAGTCGACAGTGGCACCAAGGGGTTTAGACTGCAAATCCAGGATGCTCTGATATACTTCTGGTGGAGCAAAGAACGTGACGGATTGGGTAGTTCCCAGCTGTCTCAGTCGCATGGCAGCTGTTGGCGATGGGTCAGCCTCTTCCCAAAACCATAACATGGGGACGGCTCCCTTCACTCACCTTGAACGGTATGGTCCTTGCTCTGACCGAGGCCGAGAGTAAGTGCGCCTCGAGCACTAGGGGGAAACTTCAGGTCCGTTCCTCGAGTATGTGCCTAGAGTCATTCAGCTGAAATTTCAACATAAGACATGACCGTCATCTTACCTCGTCCAAGTACACCAAACATCTACTGAGGTCATCCGCGTACGGCGAAGCAAGTAGTGGGGTCTTTCTGCCAGTTCTCTGAATGACCCATGGTTTGTTCTGTTCGTCAAAGAACAAAGCAGCGAAAGCTCGCTGGTCAACTTCCAGCCATTTCTTTGCAAGGGTGACATTGTCCATCTCCAGGATCTGAGCTCCTGCATCGATCAGGATATTGATGTCCCGTCGCCTGAGCTCTTGCAAAAGGTCTGATTCAGTCGCTCTTTCCCCTCCCGAGCCTTCAATCTTGCGACACTCACGAGATCGCTTATGTAGAAGGTAAGTAAGGACCTCAGCGTTCGTGTGAGATAGGCCGGGAAGGTCTTCCTGCTTGATCGTCAGAGGCAACATCGTACGATTGTCATTTGTGCCACTAAATCCAGTTGTCAGAGCCCTGGAAATCTCTTGGCTGTCTCCATTGTTTGAGGAGGGAGTGTCGACCGTGAATAGTGGAATATCCCATCCATTGGACTGAAGCTTGACTCTGAACTGCTTAGCGTGTTGAGGAAAGACGAAGTTGTTCATGAAGTAGTCAATGGTTGTCATATTGTACCGTACAGCCTTCCAAATTTCGACAAGCTGCAGATCATCATCTACGTTGATGGAGTTCCATGCTTTGAGGGACTCGGGAAACGATTCGGTGGTCTGAGTCCATTTGTCATACTCAGCCGATGGGTCATCGGACTTGAGAAGGTGCTCCAAGGACTGGGTGAGCTGCGAGACACTGATGCCGTCGTAGTAGAAAGCCAGGCATGTAAACAGAATAGCAACATCTGGATGTCCCCATTCAGACTGCTCGCTAGGAACACCCTTCGCGTGATAGGGCACAGCGATGGGGTCGCGCAAAGGGTGTAGACCGTACTGGACGTTCCATCGCTTCTTCAGAGTCATCATCAATATCCGATTCGCCAGAATTCCCCGTAAAAGATAGACTGTCTGGCGAACAGCGGGCCGATCCGGACAGAGTTGACGAATGCGCTGCAGAGTGACGTCCCGGGGTTTGCCTGTGAGGAACTCCCGAATCGCAAGACGGTCCGCCGCTTCTAGACTTTGGACCGGAAGGATCCCATCAGTACCTCTCAATACGTCAGCGGTGAGGCCGCGAATGAGTTCTTCCTCGACATCTGACCGGAGGAAGAAAAGTAGAGGAAAGCCACCACCAGGCCGTCGAACCACCTCAATCGAGTTGGGGAATGCACTCGTCAGCCCGTAAGAATGACGATCAACAAGTCGTAGAATAGCTTGAGTGACTTGCCATCGTGAAGGATGGCCATCCACAGTAGTTTGCGAACCAGAGGGGTAGATGAGCTGTGTTCGTACAGCCAATGTGTGGTCGGACTCATCGAGAATGTCACGGCACCGAGTGCGAAGCCATGATTGAACATTGATCATGGGACCAGCTTCCGGAACTCTGTTGTCAAGAAGGCGCTGCAATCCGCTCAACATGAATGAAAGGTTATGCTCTGGTTGGCATACCATCACCCCTGCTTCCTTCATCATAGTTCGGTGGACTCTGTGGTACGCCCGAATGATATGCTCCTCGGTGGGTGTTCGTCGGGAAAACGGAAGGTGGCGCACTTGACGGTCAAGTAGTCCACCTAGGCGACCTTGAAGCAATTGCGACGTCTGGAGGAGCAGAGCCTTTGGTACAACCACTCTGACGAGGTTCTGCCGATTGGCGAGCGCTGCGGCAACCATTGGGATAATGCAGGATGTCTTGCCTGAGACACAGTCAGTATGCCACTAAGCGACAGATGGAAAGAAGGCGGAGATAATCAGTCAACTTACCTTGACCCATGTTCATTTGAAGAACGGAATTGTTTCCCGAGGCGGGAGAAATCGTAGCCAGTGCTACATCGACCTGATCGGGGCGGATGAGAAGGTTCGCTTCAATCTCCAAGAGCAGCCAATCTGGGTGGTCGCAAGGCTGCCAATTGGAATGTCCATGGTTGCTCATCTCATCTTTGTACCTTCCAGCATCACCTCGACGAACAAAATCATTGATTCTGAGGTCTCTTTGCGTATTCGTAATTGCGAGGCCAAAGTCAATCAACGTCTCTTTCGCATATTTACCGAACGTGATGGGCTGCGCGGTTGATCTCAGCTGTTCTAATAGCGTAACGTGAGTGATTGCAGGCCACAACTGTCCAGCCTTGAGCCAAAACAGCTGTTGAGATGAATGGGTATCGTCGGGCTTCTCAAGGGCCTGTTGAATCTTCTCGAATCGGCGCTGGATAGACATTAGCGATAAGGACGCCTCCCTTGCCACAAAGGCAGTTGGTTCATGGTTTGTCGACTCTTTGGGTTGTTTCCTAGTCACAAAGGCATCCAGACTTCTCTGCAAATCCTCTCCGTACTTTTGGCGCACCATCGACGGGGACTTAGAAAACGAGGCGACCATTTGCTTCAGCTCAGCTGTCGAGTCACTGGAAGGAATAAGCGCGGTCTTTGAAGACATCCAGCTGGGGGCGAGGACATTCGTTCCGGTGCTTCGGACGTTGGAGGACGGCAAGGTGATGGGTTTCCGAATGTGGGCTGGATGGCGGGCCTCGTTCGCAGCAGGCGTTGTCTTGGTTGCAAGTTTGGCAGGCTGGTTGCTGGGCTTTCTTGACTCTGGATCGATGCTTTGCAATGCTGGGAACGTCTTTTGGAGCAGATCTGTTCTCAATCGTAAGATCTCGCCTCCTCGGAGACGCTCTTCGAAGAGCTCCTCGGAAGCAATGAAGACCGGAGCCTCGTACTCGACTTCGGACTGTCTGCGATCCAACACGTTTTGTACGGCATCGAGATGAATAGAAAGATCCATGTTTTGGTAGAGTCGCTTCCATTCAACCCTGACAAGTTTCAATGCAGCTCCCACATCGATGAGCAGTGATTTAGCAAGTTCCGCAACCCCTGGTTCTTCGCACGGCCATTGGGCCAGCAAGAAATTCGCCAAGTATTTGCAATCCTCATCTGATCGTCGCTCCCAGGCGTCTCTCTGTTCTCTCATCTTGCGTAATTGCTTCGCGCTAGCAAATTGCTGCAATTCTTCCCCGTCATCTTTTGGCGGTGGCATCTTGTGAAGCGCGATGATGCGCATCAACTGCTCCAGCTGAGGCAGCTGGTTCGGTTTGAAGTTCTCGTACTTTTCCCACATGGGAAGCTCGATAACTTTCAGTTCGTCAAAAATTGCAAAGGCAGCTAACGTTTTGATCAAACACATATCCACCTTGAAGCTGAAGGCAATCGGCGCCACGACGAACATCAAAGCGAACGGGCTTTGTTGCTCTCGGCATGCCTTAACAAGAGATCCCCAGTTCTCCAATACGTCAACTCCCAGACGATCAGTGAGAGACACCCTGTCGTAAGCCTCTCTAAAGCCTCCAACACTACTACCCATAGACAACTGAATGGACAGAGATGATGTTGTCGAAAGCTGCTCTGGCCAGGTTCGAATGAGGTGAGCAATTTCTAGGGTTTGGCAGTGCCGGGTATTGGAGGGCAAAGGACAGTCCCGAGATCGATACCTTTGGTCAGAGATGCCAATTGGCTCAGTCCTGTCATCGAAGCATCGCTCAAAGGCTTGTCTCCGTGATTCGGCCCTATGCCGTAGATGGTCATCTCCAGGCGCAGGCAATGCGGCAAGGCTAGTCTCCGAGGTGAGAAGCGAGAAGGTGTGAAGCTCGTCGGAAACAGACAAGATCCTTTCAACAAGAGGTCTGAATCTCTCATGCTGAATGCTCTCAGTAGCACTGTCGTCCCACATGTCCGTTTTCATCACTCGGAGATCTTCCGGATAGTACTCATGACGAGGGCTCAGGTGAGCGATCTTAGCAAGCAGGTTGACGTGGGCAGATCCTAGAACCTGCCACGGCTGACAGACTCCGGAAGACAACCACTGAAGGGCTTCCTCTGTACCTGTTCTTCCAGTGAGGGGATCAGGGAAAACGGAAGACGTGTAGGCATGCAGCAAGGCTTTCATGTAGAGTAGCATGGGCTCCGCCGCGCAATCCAATCTTCCCAAGGACTTGTTGATGTTGAACCGCCCGTACATATCGGTAGGGTGTGTACGAGCGATCATGATGTCTTTCCCTTCGATTCGCCTGGCTTCGAATGGTCCCACGGGAACCAGAATGCTTCTTTGTGAGGGATCACGCGGGTTTCGGAAGACAAGCTTGCTACCGAGCCCGTACCACGTTCCCGCGTCCTGATCCAGATCGATCTCAGAACCAAGCTGGGGTGATTGGAGGACCTGACGAGGGTTGACATAGAAAAGAAGCTGAAGTCTTCTGATCTCCACTTCCAAATGTCTTGAAGCTGGCTGATACACCAAAATCTGGCCCTTGTGCTCGAAGCCATCGAAAATTCTGCCCACACGGTTGAAAAGAGGGCTGTAGGTATCGACTATTTTGTCGTATCCTGCTGAACCTCGGAATCTTTGGCAGACTCCGCGATGCACATCGAGCGTCCAATTCCTAAGGTGGATGTTCCAGATGTCGGTAGTGTGAGTGATGAACACTTTGCCGCTTTTCAAATCACTACCATATCATTAGCAAAATAGATTGGAAGAGGAAGAGTGGAGAGACCTACAGCCAATGCCAGCAGTCGTCCAACAGCGGTCCTGGAAGATCCCACGATGTCTCTGTCCGGAAGACTTCTCTTGGAATGAGTTGGAGATATTGATTGCCTTTGGTGGCGCGGACAATCATGTTTCCGGCTTCAAATCCCACGTCGACACGATAATTTCGGGGTGTGAGGCACAGCGTGTAATCCATCCCCTTTTGGGTGGAAGGGAACGTTAGCAGGGCTTGATCACCGAAGAGCTCGTTGAGGACTTCTATGTGCTCGGGCGCCTTGGGAAGCTTTCCAAGAGGCTTATTGTCGACCAGAAGAAGCCCTTGCACGTAATTGTAGTGAACTTGAACAAGGTTGCCTTCTTCGTTCTCTTGGATGTCGCATGCGACCCATGAGGGCTGCTGTGAGCACAGGTTGTAGATTTGCCGGGGGCGATCTTCGGGCTCGGGCCAGACAGCTCGAATAGCCAACCGAAAGACGTCTGGGCTTTGGATGATGGAGGCGCACACCAAAGATGCGAGACGATATGACAGTTTCAAGTCGGAGACAACAGCATGCTGGAGCACCTGGGGCAGGGCGCCGACTTCTACCACCAGGTTGTCTTGCACAGTAATGCAGCACTCGATGTATGCTTGGAGAGAAAGCTCGTCCAAAAGGGTTGCCTGGCTGCGATGAATAACGAATGTTCTCTTGCAGAGAATTGCCGCCCACAATGCGTACTGCTGGCATCTTCGAGCTGCTTCTGTGTCGCTTTCTTTGTATGTTTCTGCTCGTAGCATCTCCACCCAGCGCAGACAGATTTGACGTGCTCGAATGAGAGCACTCAATGCTTTCAGCGAGGCATTCGGATTCGTGGCAGTGAGGGTATGGGTGCGCAAAAGGATGGTGATGACGACGTCCATCAGGTATGTCTCGCGCCAATTGGCCTCCAAGCTGTCCAGTCGAATGATCAGTTGCTCCACAAGCCGATCGCAGAATTGCTCCTCGCGAAATATTTTGTGGACTTTCCGCAGGACATCTCTCCCGCGTTCACCGCCGGTGTCATTGCCGCTGATGCCATCGTCATCGGCTGGTCCGCTCTGACACACAAGGTTGGAAACCACCAGCAGAGTAACCTCGCTGGAGAAGTTTAAGTTCGTTGATCCGAGTTCGGTCAAGAGAGCAAGCCAACGCTGTGCTTTCCCGGACATCAGAGTTTGCATCGCCAGGTATTCATGAACGTTGACGCCAGCGGGACAGCTAGATTGGCTGGCCATGATCTCGTAGGAGGATGGCCCAGGAGCACCAGGGGCGAAAGACCTCTGTTCGAACAGTTTGCTGAAAGGCGAGGACTTTGGGAGTGTCAGAGCCACGTGGTGCGCAAACGTGGGACGAAATTTGAGTCTTCCGGGCCAAGTGCAAGTTCCTTCGTCAAACATTCCCAGCTTCATCCCATTTGGACGGCAGACACCCTCCCGGCTTCCTTGCCACTCTACTGGAAATGGAACTGACGTGTAGTGTGTAGTAATGACTGACGACAATTAGGTTAGCATGGCGACTTCATTGTTAGGCCCGGCCTCTGGAGCATTCACAGCAGGACATAAGTCGGGAGTGAACCATTGGCGGAGGCATTGATAGTGGGGAATTACTTACATGGCTTGGTGGTAGATGCCAGGCCAACTTTGCTCCGATTTGGCTCAAAGAACGGCTTCAGCTGCAGATTGTCCTTGAGCAAGCAACGAGGTGGGTTTCCTTCGTCATTGAATGGTGCGGCTAGTTGCCGGAGAATCCACCAAGTTGTTTCGCGGTACACTGCGAACTCCTTCGGGCAGGCGAGCTCAAAGACTGTTGCTCGCGTGACGACTGGGTCCGAGGGAAGGAGGTCCTCGAAGATGGCAATCCGCATTTTCTGGGCGCTCCACATCTTGGAGCATCTGGGACAATTTGGGTCATGCTGCTCACGTCCCAAAAGATCGAAGTCATCTCTCAGGTACGAGCAAACACTGGTGTCGATCTGGCGGATTAGATCGTCGTACCTCTGGCTCTTTTTCTTCCACTCAGACTCCTTTGAAGCTCGCAAATCATCTGCCACCTCCACGATTGATTCGTGTAACTGTTTCAAATTGTACGCGTCTGCTGATTCAGAGTAGTATCGCTCACCGAAGCATCCTGGAGATGGGTCTTCGAATATGTTCCGACGTTCACTATTTGCCCGCTTGACACGGTCTGAAAGAAGGAGCTGGAGCGTGTTCAGCCGAGCCATATCGGTGTATTGAGGCAGCAGAAGAACATCGAGCATCTGCGGATGTAGAACAGGGTGGAATTCCTGAAGGAGGGGAAACCAGTGACAGGCAATTGCGTCCATCCTTTGCCACATCTCCATAATTGTCAAGATCATCTGACTCTTTTGCTCGGGGTTGCCCTCGTAGAGTGGAACAGCCATGTTGGCGTAGTCCGTGATACGCTTTGCGATTTCGGAACAAGTCTCTCCCGGCAAGTGGGAAAGCTCAAGCTCTCTATCAATCAGCTTGTGGTATGACTGGGCGTAGTGGCTGAGATGGTCTTTGGCGGCTTCCGCAAGACCTTCATTGGGCCTTGTCTGCTGCCTTCGTCGGTAGCGAGGCATCTTGAATCGTTCCAAGGCGTTATGGAGATGAGCACGGCTGATCCGAAGGCTCAAGCGAAGATCGGCATCCGCGGCCTTTCGCGGTAGCAGTGGAATGTGTTTGTGCAACGAGGCCCTCTCTTGAGCCAAAGCGACATTCAAGACCCTGTTGCAGTTTTCAATGGACTTGTTGAACTTGGGTCCAAGAAAATCGAAGAGAAAACCGTAGCGAGAGACGATGGAATCGTTGACGCAGCGCTGTTTGTCGAGGTCAAGCTTGACCAGACGTCTGCAGATCTTTTTCTTCAGGAAGTGCACTCTCTCAATGCCGATGTTGTAGCTGGGCGCTTCGTCAAGAAATTTGGACAGGACCACGGCGATGTAGAACTTGTACTCTAGGCGACCGGACTCTGCATCCAACGCCATGGATAGATAGCGCTGAATACCGACGCGAATGACCAACCACAGAGGGAGTCGACGCCAGGGTTTCTCAGCTCTGTTCCAGCATACGTCGTCCCGTACTCGCTTCCGCAAAAGGGTGGGAGCAATCCTGCGACCGTTCTCCTCAAGAATTGCCATGAGCATAGAAGTGATGATTGACGGATCACCGGTGTTGCGGTACTCGTAGACAATGGCGCCGGCCTTGAACGTATGGGCGGCAAAGGTCTTGGTGTTCTCAAGCGAGGCTTGCTCAATGAAGCTCGCGACGCTTGTCTGAAAGTCGTCGTCGCTGAAGGTGGTGTAAGGCACTGCAACAGCGATGCCAGGAAAGTCCCAGACCAGGGCGGCCTTGGCGGCCAAGACGTCTTCGTTGCGAGGAGAGGCTTCGAAGGCCTCAAATACGACACAATCCTTGAAGATGGGGCTAAACGGTTGTTAGCGACGTGGAAGCTGTAATGGCTGGGGTGCAAACACTTACTCCTGGGCTCTGCGGACGATCAAGCCAGCATTCTGACTTTCGACATGGAGAATGAGGCACCCCGAAGGGTCGAGGTTCTGGAAACGACGCACCAGACTGGACTTGTCGATTCTTCCGGCGCGATTGACGTGCTGGCAGGCGATAAGGGTCTGGCGAAGTGATTGCCAATGGCCGTGGGAGGGGTTGTCTGCCTCGCCGCCGCTCATGATGGTGGCGGCGCCGATGAGGCGCTCGAGGAGAGCACCCTCGACGAGACGAAGCTGTCGATCATGTTCCTGGCGCTGTGGAAGCTGAGCGGGCAAAACCAAGTGGTTGAAAAGCGCGTCGTTGACCGCCGCTGGCTCCATCTTGGGCGTTTGCAGCCGCTCGGCTCGGGATGCTGTGGGGATCTGAACTTCTGGAGTCGTATGCTTATGTGTAGTGTTTGTTTTTGGGGAGAGAAGGGAATGTTAGAAGAGATGAGAGGTGGTTCTCGAAAAGGCGTCAACACACGAAAATCGAGTGGTGGTGAAGACGCGACGAAAGTGTGGGAGAAAAGAAAAGGTGAAGGTGAAGTCGACGAAGTGCCCTGTGTGGTGTGGAAGCTGGAGGCAGATGACCCACTTTAGTCCGCTGGTGCCAGTGTCTGATGGATGCCTCGAGCCTTTTTGGGCGTCCAATGCTGTCCGGTAGGTCTTTTATTCCTGGGACGAGGCAAGAGCAGCCTGGGAGGGTGCCTGCCTTCCCGATGTGTGGTGGGTAGGTCCCTTGTCTGCCTTGTCCAAGTCGACAAACGGGCGTCCGATCAACGGCCCTGCAGGAGGCCGACCCAACGAGAGAAAAGAGACAACGACGACGGAAACAATAAAATAGGCAGCAATAGCGGCAGTCAAAAGAGACGACGGCGAAGAGGGACAACGACGAAAGGGACGACGAAGAAAAAGACGACGATGGCGAAAAGGGACGGACAAAGGGGACGAAGAAAATGGACGACGACGAGAAATGATGACAACGAGGAACAGCAGTATCGCCCAATAACTGGCTTCCAACATCTTCCTGTCTTTCATACCCAGACGATATTGCTCAGTTCCGTCTCACACTTCCCAAGGACGAAGGGTGACTCTACGAGGATACCAAACGCAGTACCAATCACCTGAAATTCTCGAAATGCTACCTGAGCTCCTACACCAGGTTCCCATCACAAGAACACCGGCCATACCAGCAAATGCCTCACCAACCTTCTCAAACCTTGATCCACAACCACTTCCCATGCTTCCTCGCCCTCGCCATCCTCGCCGCGATGAGGAAACACATTCCAGCCAACATACACGTCCCCGCGTACGCCTGCGCCCCCGTGTACTTGCCACCCTCAGCCGAGATGATGGCGCCCGCGATGGGCTGTCCGATGAGCACCGCAAACGAGATGAGCGTGAAGGTCATGCCCATCCGCGTCCCCTGCTTCCTCGGGTCCGCCGTCAGCGTGCCGATGCCGGAGGGCATGAGACTCTGGATCGCCCCCGTGAAGAAGCCGTAGAAGGTCGTCCAGACGTAGAGCCCCGTGACGGAGGACACGGCCGGCCAGCAGAGCATCATGATGCCGGAGATGAACGACATGGGGATGAACATGTTGACCGTGCCGATGTAGTAGGATGCGAAGTAGGCTGGGATGAGGCGCCCGGGCACGCCGGTGCCGTTGAGGAGGAGTAGGAGGTTGAGCGAGGATGTGTAACTCAGTCCGACGATGTCGCGGGAGTACGAGGCGATGTAATATGATGCGAAGAAAACGCCGAGGTAGTTCTGTCGCATCAGGTCAGCCTCCAAACGTCACTACCAACACCCGGGGAATTTTACCAGCCATGACCCAAGGGCATAGAAAGAGTACTCCAACTCCTTGAAGGCCGCCCACTCGACCAGACTCCCAGCCTTCCTCGGCTTGATTCTAGGTTTCAAGATGAGTGACGTGACGAGCAACGTCACCATTTGCACCAGCGCGATCGCCCGAATAGTCCACCCAAAGCCGATTTTGGGAAGCAGCTGCCTCACCATGCTAGGATAAATCATACCACCGGTCGAGCTACCAATCGACACAAATCCTAGGGCAAGGGCCTTCTTCTTGTCAAAGTAGGTCGATGCCGTGGAGAGACTAGGGCAGAAAAGAAAGCCATTGCCGAGGCCCATGCAGATACCCTGCGCGAGGAAGAACTGCCAGTACTGTGTGCAGAAAGAGGTCGTGACCATCCCTAAGACTACAAGGATGAAGCCCGCGATGAACAGGGGCCGAAAGTAGCCAGCGTCAGTGAGCCGGCCGGTGAATGCGCCGATGAAGAAGAGGAGAAACACCTCGAAGGAGCCGATCCAGGCGATATCGGATGGTGGACGTGAGAGGGTAGTGGTGTAGTAGGGTTGAAAGACGCCGTATGAGTTCACGATGCCCCTGAAGGTGTCAGCTACGGCTGTAGTGAAGAAGATCTACGAGACTTACCATGTATTCATGATGACGAGATGGGTGCCGAAGACTGTCGCCAGTTAACACAACACACCTCCAGATTGAGACCGTCAGCTACATACTAGCAAGCCAAGCCTTCACACCCCCATCGGGCGGCGGTCCTTCCCCAATGCTAGACGTTGTAGTCGCCCGGCTCAAGACACGGTCCACACCTCCGGATTGAGGTTCGGCCCTCGGACCCGCGGCGCCGCGTAGCTCATTGGCCCCGTCATCTTCGGAGGAGGACGATAGCGACAAGAAAAACGCAGGCTCCTCCGCTTCCCCGCGTTTTTCTGCATCTTTCCCGCCTTTCTCCACCTCGCTGCCGGGGACGTCAGTCACCTGCGGGGTCTGTTTCTCGGCATCATGGCTTGGGTCCGATGACGGCGGTGAAGGGGAGACCATGGCCCCGTTAGCTGCCAAGAGCGCGCGTGAATGATGGGTTTTCGGTCGGAAGGCTCAGGGCTCAAGGCTTCATGGTTCCGTCGTTCTAACAAAAATAACGAGAAGTTTACTCAATTGATCATAACAATAATTCCGCAATACACGCGATATGTCGAGTTGCTAAAAGCGTTTGATCAACATCCAACAAACAATACAAAACAATAGCCGCAGGCCAGACGCGCGACCACGCATGGTTATTTAAGCGGCGCCTGAGTCATGACATGTCGACATTTCCACCGGCCATCGGCCAGGTTGGTTTCGGCCGGGGTTAGTCCCCTTCTGAGATAAACGACAGTAGCACTACGCCGGGGTCGGGGTCCCTGAGTGGGGGTAACTTTGACGCCGATGCGACGCAGAAGCGACGCTTCATGTTATTTTTCGACTTTTGCAATTTCACCCGTCGGAAATCCTTGCCCAAAATTGCGCAGACAGCAGCACGTGAGAATCCTGCTCGGGGGTTTGTCGACTTTGCGGGCCCCGCAGTCCTTTTTCTCAATAGCCGTTGGTGTGGTGCATCAGCAGACTGCTGCAATTGGACCGCAATGGACCGGATGCGCTCAGTTCAATAGCCGGAGGATCGGCCGGGTCCGGTTCCGGCAGGTCGGGGGCCCGGCCCGCGCGGCACACACTGGTCAAGCCAAGCCCCCCAATTGAAGCCAGACCAACGAAGAATGACATCCATGATGACTAAGGAGTCTCGGCCGAGACATCTCCCAACTACCTAGGTCCATCGTCAGAGCCATCCCTCGAACCTCACTCGTCATTGCAAGGCCTGACATGTGGCCAAGCAGAACGCACAGCTCCAAAGTGGACACCAAAGTCGATAAACGCCGGCGGCCAACATCAACGTTTGCCGGGATCATCACTCAGCCATGGCAGCGACCGCATCATGACCGACCCGTTGTTGGCCCTCTCAGCCACCCAACAAATGTTTGACTGGGGCGGCACGGCGGCTGGGCCTGTATTCGAGTGCATCTGAAGCTGGAGTTCAAGCATCTGGCCGCGAGGCATATTTCAACTCTTTGAATTTAACACGTTCCTACCATCATATTTGGTGCTTGTCGCTTCCCCTGTCCGATAGCTTGCAGCCAGTCAGAGTTGCTTGTTTGCTTTTTGTGGTCGGCCTCCGGCAGGCAGGGGCTGTGATTGGCTACAATGAACCTCTTCGAGATACACCCACATTGGCCTCTCTCAAAGTTGATGCCACGGCGCAGCATGCGTTTTTAGACTTCATTTTAGTACCATTTTGAAAGAGTCCGTCATGTAAGGATAGCATTTGACGCTGCAGTTGGTTGGGCCTCATGATTGGCGCCTCTCGCACCAACTGCAGGCAGCTCGCCACTGCCCTTGTCGTGCCGCTTTTGTCTTGCTGGAGCTGAAAGCTCTCAATGGAGGCACCAAGTCGATGATACTAAAGTCGCGTCAATCCCGCCATAGTTCTCCTCCGAAATCCTTTGCACCTTCGTCATCACCTCTACTGCACAAGTGTCACGCCTCACTTTCGAAACCAATTGAGATGCCCATCATGGCACCAGTGCGTGGGTCAGTCAGGCCCGTGGTGTTGATACTTTCAGCTGCGTTTTCTGGCTAACTCAGTATAACAGACCTCGGTCCAACTCTCGATTTTCTTCTTCCGCCCCTTGCCGGCTGTTTGTAAACACCGGCCGGTGTCGCTTTGGTGGACACTGTAGGTTTTCTCATGATCCTGGTGCGGCGGCGAGCAACACTCGGAACACTGGCAGTTCGAACCGACCATCCGACCCCGAGCGAGAGAAGATTCATGCTTGGAAACGTCTACGACCGTCCCCAGCATATTCCAACGACGGGGATACAGCCAGCTACTTCCGCATGGCCCTTGATCTTGTTGAGCAAGACGCCAGTCTAGCCCAAGAAGTCATCAGAGAGATCGCATCCGACCGCAGACTCAATCTGATCAGGGACGTCCTCGAGGGGCTTTCGCTAAGCAAGACATCAGCCGAGAAAGCGAGTCTCTGGGAGTCACGCATCTCACCGCTATTCCGAGTCATCATTCACCCGGCGATTGTTGATTCAGTCGTCGTGGAACAGGAGACAACCACAATCTATCGGTCTTTTCTAGGAATCGATGCAACCCGCCTCAAGCACCTCTTTGACTTCGTCCTTCATCTCGTCGATCACTGGTCTGAGCTACCCTTCCGCGAATCCGGGGCATCTGGCCTCGAAGCCATCTCCCTTGCGTGTGGTCTCTTAGCGAAGGTCATCGACACGAGCGCAGCGAACATTGTCAATTCCCATTTCACCTCAATCGTCGAGGATATCCAACTCCGTCTCGACGTCTTCGGCAACAGTGCGGAGGCCTTCTACTCGATGCAGGCCTCAAAGTATCTAGACTATGTCCGGCGTCGACTTGGCATAGGCCGCACTTTACCCGATGTCGCACATAAAAATGCCAACTCGGGTGCCATGGCCGAGTTCATCGTCACCGAGGATCTGCCCGGGCGGCTCTCGCTCAGAGGACGTCGCCACGATAACGACCATGCCGACATCGCCAAGATCAGGATAATGCCCACTCTCGAAGAGACCATGTCATTCAGAGACGAGTACTTGCCCACAGTCAACCCCTCGCAGCACCACTTGCAAGGGCTTCGGGGCTTGCTAGATCGCCATTTCCGGCTGCTCCGCGAGGATATACTGCACGATCTCCGGAATGCCATCCGCACAAGGGTCGAGTCGAACAATCGGGTGCGCGAAATTAGGACGAGAATTGTAGTCTACGACTACGCCACCGCCGTCGAGACCACGTTTGACAAGCGGGGTGGTCTTGAATTCGTCGTCAAGTTCGACCAGCCAAAGGCAGCCAAGGATTTGGATAAAGCCCAGCGAGCTGCATGGTGGGTACAGACCAAGAGGCTCACAGATGGCGCACTCGTCTGCATCGTCGATGACATTGGCAACGTCTTCTTTTGCCAAGTCTCAAGGTCTACCGTCCGGACACCGCACAACCCGACCCAGCAGACCCAGCAGGAAGACGCGACAGACTCTCCCAAGTATAGCTTGCCGGATGACAACCGCCACGCGTTCGTTCATCTGAAGCTTGTGGATACCGGAGTCGACGAGGTCAAGCGCGCCCTTTTGTGGCTCAAAAACATGGGTTCAAGACAGCACCGACAAATGTTTGAGTTCCCGTCGATACTTCTTCCCGCATTTTCCCCTCTTTTGAAAGCCCTACAAACGATGTCTCAAAAGGTCGACCTTCCTTTTCAAACTATCCTCACTCTTCAAGCGGGGGATCAACCGCCCGAGATTCCACCTCCGCTGTACTCCATGCGTCCAGGCTTTTCTTTCGATCTCAGTACTCTTGCCAACGACGGGAAAGCGCTGTCGTACACTCCTGGTGAACCTGTTGATCCAGCCGAGCTCAGCAGACACTCCACGCTGGACCTGACTCAGTCAGGGGCTATACTAGATTCCCTCAGTCGATCTTTCGCTTTGATCCAAGGGCCTCCGGGCACAGGAAAGAGTTACACGGGTGAAGCTCTCATCAAGGTGCTGCTCGCCAACAAATCCAAGGCCAAGCTGGGACCGATCATGTGCGTTTGTTACACAAACCACGCCCTGGACCAGCTTCTGGAGCATCTCGTTGATGGGGAAGTCCAGAATATCGTCAGGATCGGCTCTCGATCCAAGTCGGAGAGACTCGAGCCTGTCAACCTCCGTAAGGTCGTAGAGGGGATGACTCGCACAAGGACCGAAGGCAGAGCTTTGTACGAGTCGATTGAGGCACTTGAGTCTGAAGCCGACTACGTGGCTAGTAATCTCACTACCTACAAGTACCTCAACACAAACGAGAAGATCCGAGCGTTTCTTGCAGCACAGCATCCTTCTCAACATGATGAGCTCTTTGGCCCAGAGCAAAGCAACGAAGATGCGGAAGATGGTTGGGAGACGGTCCGTCGCGGAAGGAAGAGGGCCATGGAAGTCTGGCTGCACGGTGGCTTAGTGAACAAAGTCCCCAGTCGCACCATGACGCAGCTTTATCAAACTAGACTATCAGAGATGAGCCGTCAAGAGCGCCTTCTTCTGCACCAAGATTGGGTCCGTCAGGCACTCGACCCCGAGCTGAAAAGGTTGTCTTCGGCGCATGAGGCATACGAGAGCATGCGAGACAGGAACAATCGCGTCAGAAGTTCAATCGATCTTCGTGCTCTGCAGCAGGCAAACATCATTGGAGTCACTACCACGGGGCTCGCCACCAATCTCGATCTTCTTCGGCGCGTCAACGGCAAAGTCTTGCTGTGTGAAGAAGCAGGTGAGGTACTCGAGGCCCATTTGCTGACCGCCTTGCTCCCAACCATTGAACACGCCATCTTGATCGGGGATCATCTCCAACTGCGACCTCAAATTCAAGACTGGAGGCTTCAAAGTGCCAATCCAGCCGGCAAGAAGTATTCGTTGGATGTGTCCCTTTTTGAACGTCTTGCAAACACCCCCAAATTCCCCTTCAGCATCCTCGACACGCAAAGACGTATGCATCCATCAATTTCCGAGCTTGTTCGCTCTACCTTGTACCGATCCTTATCAGATTCGGATGCGGTTCAGGAATACCCACCCGTCTGCGGATTGGCCAAGAGGCTCTTCTGGCTTCACCATGAGAGTCCCGAATCCGGCCGAAATTCTGACCAGGATTCGATTGAAACCTCATACTCAAACGATTTTGAGATAGACATGGTGGTGGGCTTAGTCTCTCATCTTCTGAGACAAGGTGTCTACAAGTCGGGCGAAATTGCCGTGCTGACGCCCTACTTGGGTCAGTTGAACAAGTTGCGACAGAAGCTCGGGTCTACCATGCACATTGTCATCAACGACCGAGATATGGACGATCTGGCCGGTCTGGAACCACCCGACACGAATGTTCAAGACTCTCCGAAGAAGGGAGCGGCAAAGTCTTCTGCGCTACAAGGAGTACGTGCTGCAACGGTGGACAACTTCCAAGGCGAGGAGGCCAACGTTGTCATTATCTCTCTCGTGCGAAGCAACAATGAGCGGAGATGTGGCTTCCTCAGCACATCCAATCGCATCAATGTGTTGCTGTCCCGAGCCAAGCACGGGATGTACATCATCGGCAACTCCCAGACTTCCATCCATGTTCCAATGTGGGCTAAAGTCATCAACCTCATGCAGCAGGAGGGAAACTTTGGGAACGAGCTTGAGCTGCAGTGCCCGCGACACCACGAAAACAAGAGTATGGTCTCGCACCCGGAACATTTCATACAATTTTCCCCCGATGGCGGCTGCAACCTCCCTTGCGACCGACGGCTCAACTGCGGGCACTCCTGCACCGGACCCTGCCACTCAGACATTCTTCACAACGCCTTCAAGTGCCTCGAGGACTGCACAAGGCCAAAAGAGCACTGTAATCATCCATGTCGCAAACGCTGCGGCGATGTCTGCGACAAGCTCTGTAAGGAGGTCGTCAGTGATACACGCCTTATCTTGCCATGCGGACACAAAGTCAACACGATCGAATGCTGGAAAACGAAAGACCTTGCCGCCATCAAATGTGCTGTCCAAGTTGAGAAGCTGGTTCCAGGCTGCGGGCACATGGTCCAGGTGGCCTGTCACGTCAACGTGTCTGCGGCCACTTACTTATGCAAGACTGACTGCGGTTTCGTTAGAGCGTGCGGTCACGTCTGCAAGGGCAGATGCTGGGGCTGTCGCACACGAGAAGAGGGGAAGGTCGTTAAAGAGGAGCATGGCAGCTGTCCACAAACATGCGACAGAAACTACACGACATGCAGCCACCGATGTCGAGAAGCATGCCATGAAGGGAAATGCCCGCCTTGCTCATCCCCTTGTCAAAACAAGTGCATGCACTCCAAGTGCAGCAAGCAGTGTCACGAACCTTGCCCCCCATGTGCAGAAGAGACATGCTCGTCTTGCTGCCCGCACTCCAAGTGCAGCATGCCGTAAGTTGCTTGATCTTCTGTGTATGCCATCAATAGAGCTAACTGAAATCTTACAGATGTGCAGCTCCTTGCGACTGGGTACCCTGTACTAAGCGATGTACCAAGTTTTTAAAGTGTGGCCACCAATGTCAGTGACCTCGTCAGTTTCCCCGTGGGCGCCGCAGCTAACCATTCGAAGGCCCATCTCTGTGCGGCGAATCTTGCCCGAGCGAGCAGTTTTGTCACATGTGTGCCTCTGATGACATCAAAGACACCATCGTCGACCTCATCATGATGAGCGACTACCGATCTATTGACCTCGACGAAGAGCCTTGCGTTTTTCCTGACTGCGGTCATTTCTTGACATACTCCACCATGGATGGGCAGATGAGACTTCAAGACGTTTACGACATATCCCCGGACGGTGTCCCAGTTGCTGTCAAAGGCGGCTCACAACCCTTCGATCTGTCAGAGACGATCAGCGTGTGCCCCAATTGCAGGGGTTCCTTGCGGAACATCTCTCGCTATGGCAGGATCGTCCGTCGAGGCCTCCTCGATGAGTCGACAAAGAAGTTCATCAGCTGGTCCAACAGCCAGTGGCAAAGGCTCTCGGAGGCCTTCTTTAGTGCCCAGGATGCTCTGCAAGACACAGAAAAAGGGGCTTTTGTGTTTCCCGTTCAAAAGCTGGAAGGATACAACCTGGAAGGAGCCCGTCACGAACAAATAGCCCACCTTCTCAAGATTACTGGCGGTAGCCGCCACAAGGCAATGAGAAGAGTCCGCAATCAGATTGTCAACTTCCTTGGACGGGTCAAGAAAGACGAACAGCCCTACCAACGCGTGGCCCATCTCGTCTGGCACGTCAACCGTCGCCGGCAAAGGGACACAACCAGCTTCTCCTTCGATGAGTCTGCTATTCAGATGAGAAGCTACCTCCAGGCAATGACACTGCTTCTACGGTGCGACCTCCTCCTCGTATCTGACTTTGTGAGTCTTTGCCGCAACTCCATCAATAGCGCCGTCAAGTCGGTGAAGGTCGATGTATCCACATACATCAAAGACTGCAAAGAGCTCATTCACATCGCCCACATCCGGAACTACGCTAGACAGGAGGTAGAAGGTCACATATTTGTGGGCATGTTTTGCTCCTTTGTCACGCCGCCGAGCGAGGAGCCGGCAACAGCAGCGATGGAGAACGGGCCGCAGCCAACAGCTGGAGATCTATCCAGCAGATCCCACGAGCGGATGAAAGAGCTCGGCTTGCATCATTTGAGTGTCGCCAAGGAACTGATGGAGAAGCATCCTTCGACGGCCGTTCTCGAAAGCGAGTACGACACGGCATGGCGCATGCTCCACGACGGCATCTTCTACAGCGAGGTCTCCAGCGACGAGATGCGTAGTGTCTACCAGGCTATGTCGAAGGAGTTCTTAGGGACTGGTCACTGGTACACCTGCCGCAACGGCCATCCCTTTACAATTGGAGAATGCGGCATGGCAATGGAGGCAACGAGATGCCCAGAATGTGGAGAGGCTGTGGGTGGGAGAAATCATCAATCAGCAGAGGGCGTTCGGCACGCGCGAGACATCGAGGCGCTCGGTTCTGGCATTTCTGGCATGCGAATCTAGTGACAAGGTCTTGGCTCAGTCTAATGGTTAAAGATAACATGAAGAGCGGTTACAATTCGCAGATTAATTAGAATGACAAAGTCACCGCTTTTCCTGGCACCAGATCGACACTGATTGTGCCATCGCTCTTGCTACCCTGCTTAAGTCTGTTTTGGGCGACTCGGAAGACACGAGTTTGGGGCTCAGTAGCTTTAGAAACCGCAACAGCCTCAACAAGCTTACCATCCTCCCATCTAATTTTCTGTATCTCCACAGCACCGCGAGCTCTTAAACCGCGAACCCCACCTCGCTGTTCCCAGGCGGGAAGGAGAGTAGGGATGAGGTCAATGATAGTGTTGCCACTGCCGGTCCCGTCATCGACTTGGCTCTGGAGCAACATCTCTGCTACTGCGGCAGCGAAACCAAAGTTGCCGTCGATCTGAAAGGGAGGATGACTCGTTAGCATGCTGTTGAGCAACAAGTCTCCTATCATCTTCTGGATGCCTGCGTGGGTACCCTCGGTGTCACGTAGGCGCGCGTATTGGCATAGGATCCATGCTAGACTCCACGAAGTGTGGCCACCGCCGCCTGCGAGACGGCGTTGGAGAGTCACCTTGGCTGCATCGTGGAGCTCTGGGGTGTTGAGTGTGTTGCCCGGGAACAGACCCCAAAGGTGAGATATGTGCCTGTGGCCCGGTTCGGCTTCTTCTACGTCGTCCTTCCACTCCATGACTTGGCCATGCTTGCCGATCTGCGGGGTCGGTAGCTTTGCAAGGACTTTCTCAAATTCGGACGTGTCCTCTCCGAGCAGCTTCCCAGCCTCGACGACCGCCCGGAAGAGATCCGTAAGGATCTGTCCGTCCCATGCGGGGCCCGCAGCGATGGATGCAACCGTCTTGGTCCCGAGTATGTAGTAGCTGTTCTCTGCCGAGGAGCTGGGACTGGTGATGAGTTTGCCGTCACGCTCGACCAGGAAGTCCTGGAAGAACAATGCAGACCCGGCCATCAAAGGGTACACCCTGCGGAGAAAGTCTTTATCACGACCGAAGCGGTAATGTTCCCACAGATGTATCATAAACCAGGCGCCTGAAAGCGTCCAATAGGTGCACTGCACGCCATCATCCTGGGGTGCAGTGTCGGCCCAGATGTCGGTGTTGTGGTGCATAACCCAACCACGACAGCCGTACATTGCCTTTGCCGTCTCGGCGCCACGCTCGGCGGTCCGCTCGAGGAAGCGGAACAGGACGTCGTGCGTTTCGGCTAGGTTCGCGACCTCGGCAGGCCAATAGTTCATCTGGATATTGATGTTGATCGTGTACTTGGAACCCCATACCGGCATATGGTCGCGGTTCCAGATGCCCTGTAGATTTGCGGGCAGGCCTGAAAGCGAACAGCTGATGAGGAGATATCGCCCAAAGTGGAACAATAGCTGGGCTAGCCCGTTGTCTACTGCGCCCTGCTTGACGGCCTGGATGCGCTGGTCGATAGGGACTGCAGTTTTATCGCCGCTACCAGGAAGTTGGAGCTCGACCCTGTCGTATAAAGCCGAGAACCTCTCGACGTGTGCTGACTTCAGGTCGTTCCAGGATTTCATCGATGCAGTTGCAAGCCGGTTCTGGACGGCTTCACCGGCGTTAGGGTTGCGGAAGGTGGTTTCGCCCGAGACGAGGACGATGACTCGGTCCTTGGCATTGACGACTACATTGTAGCCCGTGTTATCAACCTGAACCTCGCCATCGCCGGGATCGGCAATGACGCGAACGCCCATGGCGAACTCGACGGCCCCTTTTGATCCCATGGAGCCGGTGATCATGTGCCCGCCATCGATTTCTTCGAGGCTGTCGTAGCGTTGGTTGAGCCGACGGTCCCATTCCGGGTGATCGCCACGGTTGAGATCGATTTGGAAAGAATACTCGCCTTCCGAGCTGACGCTAATGGCGATGACCTCGTCGACGGTGCTCGAGAAAACCTGCCGCTCGTAGTGTGCACCGCCAAAGTCGTACGAAACCGAGGATATTCCTGTGCGGAGGTCAAGCTCGCGGCGGTAGTTTTGCGGAGAGCGGTTCAGGTCGCGACTGAAGCTGTTCTCAAAGTTGACTATGCCCGAGACGCGAACCTCATCGCCGGGGGGGTCTTGGCCGTGACCGAATGTGAGAAAGACGTCGCCCAAGGGCTCATAGTGACGCAGAGACCGAGGCCGGGCGGTCTGGATCTTTTTGATGAGCTGCTCGGCCTCGCGTATACGATTTTGATCAATGAGCTCGCGGACTTTGGGCAGAGCATCGCGGGCAGCCGGGTTCAAACGGTTTTGGGGGCCTCCATACCAGACCGAGTCTTCGTTGATCCACAGCCGTTCAACATCGGTGGTCCCACGTACCATGGCACCCAGCCGTCCATTGCCGATTGGTGTGGCATCATCCCAAAGGTTGGCCGGTTTGTTGTAGAAGAGCGTGTGCTCTGCCATTGCTTTAACCGTGGGAATAGCAATAATAGCAAAAATAGTTGAAATCCAAGATGTGTATTCGCAGATCTGCAGTAGCCCGGTTACAAATTTGATGTGTCAGGGCCGAGTCGACCAAAGAATCACGAGATAAGCGGGAAATCAGAAGAAGATATCTCGCAATTCAGGCCACCGAATAGTTCGTGCCGGACGGAGGATGGGCCTCGGTGCCAATCAGTTCTCGTTACGAGATCCCTTGCTCCCAACGCGCGTTAGGGGAGTGAGCACATCCCACGGCCATGTACAAGTCACCTGCGCACCATTGATCGCCTGGAATCTGAGGGGAAGAGGGAAAGTGCAACCCGCTGTTAAAAATATCCGTCGGAAATTTGCAATGGCGGAGTTAGTGTAACGAAGTGCCCTTGTAAGAGCGCTCCGCTGATCACAGATAAAGTGCCGACGGCTTGCCAGTTCAGTCAAACCGGGAGGCGTGGAGAACGCGGGGAACAAGTGGGGGAGAAGCGAGACTGGGGAACGCAGAGGAACATCCCGGGACAACATCTCCGTCATCGCAGCTTAATAGGTTTCGATCGGACTACCCTCATCATTGGTGTTATATGGCGAACAGCTGAGTCTACGTGTCAGCTGACCAGCTGCATTGTGGTGCAAGGCGTCATTAAACAGCCTTTTGGCTCGAAATACATACACTTTTGACAAATTTCTTTCTGTTTCATACCCAACAGAGATGCTCCCATGTCTTGTTGCTCTGTTACAAGGCCAAACCCGTTGATCCATTATTCCACCGGTACAGCGACAGTGCTCTCCGACGCGCTTTGCTTTCTTCCATGCTAGAAGTTCCCGCGCTTCGCACGCTGTACAAAGTTGAACGCAGGATTTTGCGGAAATGCTTCTGCAAGCATTGCGGGTTAATCAACGCCTGAGGGATCAGAATCGATTAGATGGAAAGTCTTACCTGGAACTCGGTGCTAAGTGTAACCACGCACACCTCGTGGGCGCGAATGATAATCTCGCAAGCCCTCTCAACGGACTCATTTAGACCGATTTGAGGCATACGATCGGCAAACAACAGCAGTATGAAACTGCCGTGCAGAAGGTAAATGCCAAAGAGGTATGGCATGAAGGAAAGCTCCGGATCGCAAGCTAAGATGCGTGAGACAGCATCGGACGCAGCTATAGCGTGAGAAGCGCACTTCATGAACCCCACAGAGGGTATCCAGCCGTCTTCATTATCCAACATAGAAACGGCGTCCCATTTTCCATGCAGCAGAACATGCAGGACGTTAATGATGAAAGTACTGTATGCGGTCACAAGCTGTGCCTGTGCATGGTGACGGTGGGCTGTCGTCGAACTCTGGTGTCGACTTGCGTCTGCGGTGTCGTTATTATGCCGATGATTCATGGCGTCATCAACACTGATCTGAGCATGAGAGCTGTTAGAGGAATGGTTCTCTTCGTCACGGGGCGCAAATCCCGTCGAGTTCGGGGTCCAGACCTGGCTCGCCGGGATCCCTGCATTATTGAGGGCGTCAACGTCGTACCGAATTGCCAGGTCAACAATGCTCTGTGCACATTCAGACATGACCTTTTCCACTATTAGATAAGCCGGGTCTCCTTCGATGTTACGATCATGGCCTTCGTGTGCCTGATTGTCCTGGGCGACGCCGTTTATTGGAGTGCTCTTTGACCGTTGTAGATTACCAAATCGTGGGTGACTTTTCCGGCGGTGTAGTTGAATGATGTCGCCCAAAATTGTCATCAAGGGTAAAAAATACTCAAAGAAGCCAATGCCAACGACGCGAGTCGGAGCACCAAAACTGCGTCCCAGATGGTGTTGTTCCTGTTGCGTGCCATTGGCGGCTTCCGGGTCATGATTCGTTGTGATGGGGCTCTTTGGAAGCGACAGAGACTCCCAAGCCTCATCTGGCATAGGTGCGTAGAGTTGGCACTCGTCATCTAGAATACGAAGAGGAGAGTTGAAGGAGAGTGCCAGATGTCGATCAAGGCAAAACATTAACCAGAAAGCCCGCCTGCGCTCTTCTTGAATTTCCGGGACTGACAGTCCTGTTCGTACAGCCTCACAAGTGCGGCAAGCACATGTCGAGCTCGTTCTGCCTCTAGTACATAAGGAGTGTTCCGTTGACGACATGTTCTTTTGTGTTGCGTCTTCTCGGTTGAGTCTCATTTTATGCGATAAACTTAGTGCTTTGTTCCACCATCGGAAACAATCCGCTTTGAAGTCTCCGCCAGAAACAACAATGGTAATGAGAATAAACGTGAGCACATCGTCTACTGAAGGTGCCGGAGGTGGCTCCGAAGCCACACATGACGGTCGCTCGTGTTCGTACATACTCGCATCATTAAAGCCACCAGGCGTCATGGCAGCTTTTGTAGTAAACTCCAAGCCCTTTAGAAGAAGCCCCTCTGTACGATAGACGTTAGTTATAGTGTTATCAATTTCGATTCCAAGACCATTGGGATTGAACGAGTGAGGGTACGGGAGGGTTTACCAGTCGTCCTATGCCAGAAATCAGGATCTCGATCCTTAATCAAAGCCATCATCAACCTCCTCAACTCTTCACAGACTCGTGACTTCTGTCCAGGGAGAAGAAAGAGCGAGCTCTCGGCGGTTTGAGCGCTGACCCACAGCATCGTGACCATCAATGCTGGAGTAGATCTTCTCGGATTAGCGGAACGGAGTAGAGATTCCTTTCTCACAATGTGGGCCAGAACATAAGGTGAGGAACATCGAAATAGCGACCCTCCAGGCTCGACAAAGTAGAGGTCCAGTAGCTCGCATGCAAGTTTGGCGTCGATGATGCCTTGTAGCATTGGAATGATGGGCTCGAGGCATTTGAAGCGACATGCCCGGTTTCCATCCACTTCTGGCTCTCGTAATGTTGTTCTTGCTGCTGAAGCAGCACCTGATATTTCACTACTACTGCTTCCGTACCGTTCATCCATCTGCGAATTTAGCAGGGAATCTACTGTAACTGAATGCGTTGTGTTCTCTGCTTGTGGAGCTTCATCGCGACAGTGACTACCTATGGACAATAAGGCACCATGCAATTGTGGACCTGGATTTTCCGCAATGACACTTGACACGGGCATTGTCGAAAATTCCAAGTCAGCAGAAGATACAGAGTGATGTTGATTTCCGGTATACGTTGAACTGGCTGCTACTGACATTGTCGTGTCTACCATCAACTCTGATGGTACTGTGTCAGATGATCCTGGAATATGGCCGTTCATAGCTAGATCTGTAGAGGAAGCTTGGAAATGGCCACCGCTGCTACTCGCGGTAATCGTATGATGAGTGGAAGCTAGGTCGTCATAATTGATGCCACGTTGGGATGCCGTTTGGGATACTGAGCCTTCTTGTTCATATTGCTCCTGCTGATGACGATGATACTGTGGTCGGTGTTGCGAAGATATGCCTTGCCCCGAGTCTAGATGGGCCCCCGATGAGTCGCTTTCGCCATAGTGGGTCTCATCATCTTGTTCCTGTCTTGGGTTGAATCTCGAAAGTCGCTCTGCTGGCTTCCTAGAGCCTGGCTTGCGACCCCGCCTGCGCATGCTCCGAGCATAGTAACAACTCTGATCATATTCTGCAAAACCACAAGAGAGGTTAAATTAGCAGCAATGATTTGAGGCTTGGAGAACTTGCGGTACAATGCACCAACAACATCAAGTGAGACAAAAGCCGCAGTTTCCATTCATATCTGGCATCACCTAAAATTTGATGAGACTTTTTAATTGCTTACCTTGACAACGACGACTTTACAATACACGGTTGCGTTAGTTTCTTGATTCTTAATCGGTGCTTTCTGGCCATGTTCATGAATATGAAGACCACATACCATGGTTGAAGGCCATCACAACGAACCCGCAAAGCACTGCATCGGTCGCAAGCGCGTCTGGTCCTTTTGCGAACGCCTGCGGGAGGTCCAACTAGAGGTATTGACCCATCATCCTCGCCAGCCTGACGGGTCTCGGTATTGTTCTCTGCCTCCATATTTCCGAAATGCCGGGATTGTACGACCTAGAGTTCCGCTCTGTGTGGTCTTCATCCATCTAGTGTTTGTAGAGAGGTGAAATTTGCCAACGGAAACGGAGAATTGAGCCTATGGTTATTATCCGTGGGGTAATAAGTGCTGAAGTCTCCAGCAGTGATGCATGATCATTGTTCGTATTCCCTATCCAACCGCTATCGGCCAGCTTGAGATTGTGCCGCCCCACTCAGACATTGTCTGCGACGTCTGGCAGGTCATTTGATGAAGAGTCTGACACCTCCTGGTATGAGGGGTCGCTTTCGGTAATCCACCATAATGTACCGAGGGTCTCAAGCTGCACGTATTAGATGCTGCCGGGGAAGGTCCAGGCGCAAATAAACAAGGAGGTGATGCTCGGGATATTGGCATGCGCTGTGCTATTGGTTTATAAATGCCGGTAGCCGCAGCTAGTGCTGGATATGTAGCCAAAGTGCAAGGCTTTAGTAGCCGAAGATCGCCAACCTCCACATGGTTCTCCGCACAAAGTCCGGGGAAAGGCGGAGTTTCGTGCGGGGAAAGGCAGAGTTTAGTGAACCGCCGGTAAAAAGGCAAAATACCCTTGTCGGTCTATTGGAAAAGTTCAGCCTGGATTTCGAACTATCAGCGGAACCGGGGCTCCGATGTAGGCAACGCAGAAATCGAGTAGACTTATCGACGTGAGCTAGTCTTCTTCTCGTCATCTATACTGATCGGATGTGTCCGTGTGGGAACCAAAAGTGCTGGTCTTGATCACTAAATCAAGGGTAAAGAACGGTCTGGCGGTATCGTGGACGCCGTTCTACTACACGCTGTATAGTCCCATGCTTCAACCATTGAAATTATTAATGTCGACGTTGATCTTGGTATTATAAGGGGGAAAGTTTACCAAGTCAATGAGAGGGACGCATTAGGCTTTACGTTTTCAGAACGAACCTCTTGACATAACATTACTTAACCTCAATTCCCCGGACCATTCGCATTATCAGTGACAGATTACAGAGCAAAAGGCAACGATGGTACTGAAAGGAATAGTCCAATTGCATGAGATGAGCCTCTGTACAAGTTGCCATATCTGACGTGTCTAATCGTGGTTTCCAATACATATTGATACGTCACTAAGTTTTGTCACCGCGTTCTAAACAGCATGACATGATCATGAGATGCGGATTGGAGATATTTCTTCCTCTCCTGGTTGTAATTTTATGATATGAAACGCAAGTGTTACAGTTATTACTGCGAGGAGAATTGCAGTCCAAATTTCTCGATCAACTGATTTGATCTGCCCCTGGCTGTCTATTGTTGACCTTTTTCAAGTACGCTCTTCTGGCTCGAGAAGTCATAATCTACCCATTCTCCAAGAATTAAGCGAGCCTGCTCAAAAAGCGGCGCGTTGCGTTCCAGTGTCTGTTGATCCAGCTCAGTGTAATCTCGCAAGCTGTCGGATGCTTTGCTTCCAGCAGAAGAGCCATGTTTCAGTATTTCCTTCGCGGCAGCGACATTTTGCTCCAAGTCAGATATGCTACTCACGCCCGTGATTGTAGATACCGAGAAAGATGCTGTGCAATTTTGTTTCGCCTTCATAATCGCATACTGTAATGCAACAGACGAGAACGTCTCTCCATTTCCGTTATTCTCCACCCATTTCGCCGCTTCAGCTGCCGCTGCCCGTAGGCCTTCAGGTGCAGGGTGCCAATCGCCCGAAAGACCCGTGGGGATACCTCCCTTCCTTAACAGACCCACGGCCAGCGGGCTGGAGCAAAAGACACAATTGACTCCAGCAGAACGGAGCCTGTCGAATCCGCGCGTCTCTGCTTGTGTATTTTGGAGGGTGAGCTGAGCCCATGTCTGGACCACGTCCACGGGGCGACCATGCCGCTCCAATACTGTGGCGGCAATCTCTACCAAAACGTCGATGTCGTATCCTGATATGCCAACACGTCGAATGTGACCAGTACGCTGGAGATCAAGCAAGACACCTACAGCGGTGATGACATCTTGTTTCGGTACGAATTCAACGTCGTGGCAGAAGACGACATCCAGGTACGGGGTTTGGAACCGCTCTAGTGATCGCGCAACAGACTTGTAGACCCAGTCCGGTGAGTAGTCGAACTCATTCTCATTGATGCGACCGATCTTGGTCATGATCTCATAGTCGCCGCGGCCGTACTTGGCTTTGACGTCTGCATGTGCGAGGGCTGCCCCCATGAGCTGCTCGGAGGGCTCGTAGTAGGGCGAGGTGTCAATCGAACGTATGCCAAGCTCAAATGCCCGTAGAAGGATTTCCGTGATTGGCAGAGATTCTGGATCGGGGTGCAGCTGATAACTGAAGCCTGCACCTCCCATCACAAGCGGAGGGGAGCTGAGGCCAGCTACTGGAATCGCCGTCATGGCCAAAGTCACCAGTTGATCAAATGAATGTACAATGAAAGGTTTAGAGTGCCAAACTCAACCAGAAAATGGTAAGTAGGATGTCTCTTTTGGATTGAAGTGAGTTTTGTTCTTGTTTTAGAGATAATCTGAGAAACCTCGAACGAGCACTGTTCTTATAAATTCCCGGGCGAAAGACTTCGTAAGCCTACATGGTAGTAAGTGGTCATCTGTGAGAGCAGTTTAAGTAGGCAACGTATCCTTTACCCAGGTTTGTTTGGATCAGTTGTCGTCTTCTTGATAACATGGGGCATCAATTGGTAATAGAAACGATGTTTTGGGCAGCGTGTCATGTGGGCTTGGAGATGATGTCCGAGAAGATCATTTTGCCGTCGGGTAATAATGGAGGGGAACCAGAGAGGAGCTCCTCCGCGATCCTCGTCGCATCTCCAAGCCATGATCCCTGGAACTCGACAGTTTCTTCTGGGCAATCTCTCCACATGAGTCACCTGTCGGACCAACCATCTGCGTGCTGCCGTAACGCCGCGTTGGTTTAGCTTGTAACTTCGTCCGGACATTCGTCACTGGCGCATAGCCCTTTCATTGTTATCGGCGTCTTGGCCTCATGGCGGACCCCACCGGTATGGATTGAAGGATTCGCAACATTCTGCGGGGTCCCCATGAGGTATGGCAAGGTATACCCTTCCTCTCCCCGGATGGCATGTCCACAGACTGGCCATCAATGGCCTGACAACGACTTTCCTCCTGTCTGTGACCACTTAATCCCGTCGTTCAATGCGCTATAAAAGCATCAAGCTGGAGCTCATCCTTTCTGTCGATGTGTCGTGCTTAAACCCGACATTGCTTTTCAACAATTGCGATTTTATCTGACTTCACAGATCAAACACCAACATGGAACCCAAATCTGAGGTAGCCCTGGTGGAGCATGCGAATACTTGCAGCGATGACGACCACAAACACGACACGCTTGCTGCCGCGGAAGACGGCGGTAAACTCGACGCCACTGATGAGCAGAAAGCCATCCAGGCCACCCTCTCAGAACACGATTTGACAATCTGGGAAGCACTCAGGCGTTACAAGAAAGCGGCTCTGTGGTCGATGCTCGTCTCGATGTCGATTATCATGCGTGCCTACGATATTGAAATTACCGGAAACTTCTACGCCTTGCCGGCGTTTCGAGACCACCTTGGCGAGCATGTCGATGGACATGGCATGGAGATTCCCGTCCAGTGGCAGGTGGCAATGAGTATGGGCCCTATCGTCGGACAAGTCGCCGGTGCATGGCTTGCTGCTGTACCCATGGACTCCTTGGGCCGGAAGAAGACCTTGGCCATTTACCTCATCATGACTTCCGCCCTCGTCTTCATGCAAGTCTTTGCACCAAACCGCACCGTTCTCACCGTTTCAATGTATCTTGCTGGGATCATATGGGGTGGCTACCACGTTCTAGCCCCTGTATATGCGTCAGAGGTTCTGCCCTTGCGGTTGCGTGGAATCTTCATCGCGTACGTCAGCTTGTGCTACGTGATGGGCCAGTTCATCCAGACAGGCATCACACGAGCCTTCGTCAGCTGGAGCAGCGTATGGGCATACAAGATTCCATATGCCCTGCAATGGGTTTGGCCTGTCTTCATCCTCGCCTTCCTTTACTGGTGTCCTGAGTCGCCGTGGTGGCTGATTCGCCAGAACCGGCTGGACGACGCTAAGAAGGCACTCGATCGACTTTCTAGCAAGCAGTGTCACGCCCACAACCACGATGTGCTTGCCATGATGGTTAAGACCGACATTTATGAGAGAGAGCTCGAGGTTGGGGCTACATTCCGGGATTGTTTCAAGGGACCCAATCTCCGTCGCCTCGAGATTGCCTCTGCCGTCTTCATCGTCCAAAACTTCTCGGGCAACCCAGTGGGCTTCGCGGTCTATCTGTTTGAGCAGACTGGGCTAAGTTCAGAAAATGCCTTCAACATGGGTATCGGCCTCAATGGTGTTGGTTTCGTGGGTGTTTTCTGCTCCATGTTTCCCATCATCTGGTTCGGTCGCCGACGCGCCTGGATGTACGGCCTAACCTACAACATTGCTTGTCTGTGGGTCGTGGCGTTCATGTGTCTTGCCCCTGACTACAAAACCAACCAAGCCTATTCCTGGGCTCAGGCATCTATCTTGATCACGATGCAACTCGTCTATTCTCTGACTATTGGACCGTTGGCGTATGTCATTTCGTCCGAAGTTCCCTCGACGAGACTTCGGGCAAAGACATTGTCACTCACCGCCACTTTCAACGGAATGTCATACTTGGTCATCACTGTTGCTGGTCCTTACCTATTGAATCCCGGGTCCGCCAATGCTGGCGCCATGATCGAGTTTTTGTGGGGCGGGCTTAGTTTATTCTCGTTTGCTTGGAGCTTTTTTCGTCTCCCAGAGGTACGTTGCATTCCCGGAATAGTGCCTAGTTCCACAGCTATCATACATGAACATGATCCTAACATGTCACGCTGTTTTTTTAGACTGGAGACCGCACCTTTGAGGAGATCGATTACCTGTTTGAGAATCGTGTTCCCGCACGCAAGTTTCGGGCCTATATCATTGACGAAACACATATCTTTCCTAATATGAAGAACAAGGAATCGATTTGAGAACCAAAGAGGTGGAGGGTTAATGTTTTTCAGCGGGAAGGATTTGCAACAACCGCATAACAATCCAAACGAGAACCTCAATCAACTGATAAACCAAATCCAAGCTTTGAACCTTTTACATTTACATTTAAAGGCGAGAACTGCTTCACAAATGATCAAAGCAACAGGGACATTCCTCGAGCAGCTTTTCTCAGATCTAAAGGACTACAGTTCGATGTGCTGAACCTGACGTGTGCCTATCGCGTCAATTACTGTTGCCACTGGCTGTCCGGTCATTCTTCCCAGGCCAGCCACAGAGCATCTAGTATCAAAACTCCACATAGCTTGGATTCATTACTTGAGATAATAGCTACTTAGCAGATGAAAGCTGGCATTTCTTCTAGGAAATGTGAATAGTTGTTCTTTGCTTATCCTGTTGCTTTATGCGCAAAATCCATGAAATAGAAGGGTACAATGACAAACAAAGGCTAAGCCATATCTTTATCGAGCTCCGCGTCTCCTGACCGCGTATGCTAAAGTCTTCTCAAGCTTCTTCGCCTCCTGAGGAACCCGGTCCATCGTCCTGTACGGGCGCATTCTCCGGCTTTTGGGCGTACCAAAAGTAAAAGTTGAAGTATCGATGTTTGCTGTTGTCCTCAATCTCTTTCCTCGCAATTGCGGTCCACACCTCAGTCTCCACGGGCGAAAGCCCGTTGGCTTCAAACGGCTTTTTGAAGGCTGGCAAGACGTCTCTGATGGCATGCTTGAGATACAACCCACACAGTCGGAGAATTTCATCCTTAGCCCAGGTGCCAATGGGCACCTTCTTGACTTCGCGGCGGATGTCCTTGAAGCCTGCCCCTTCAAGATGGGGTCTCAGATCTCGAGCCTTGTGGAAATTCGCCCCGAAACAAAGAAACGACTGCAAAACGATGTCATAGAATTCCTTGAGCTTATCGTCTTCTTTCATGGTCCCATCGTCGCATTGGGGGTAAATATGGAGTTCCTGGAACTCAATCCAGCCCCCGGGCTTGAGGTGACTGATCAGGAGTCAGTAGAATGCCTGAAAGAGCCGCTATCATTCGACTGCAACTCACTTATACGCCTGGCCAATGACCTTGTCAAGATTCTTCAATACACTAGCCATAGTTCGAAGATGCACGAAGTCGAAATCGTCGCCATTAAGCCAGTCATCCTCCGCATCGTCAACGAGGAATTTGACGTTGGGGGGAATCCAGGTAGGCTGAATCGGAGACAAATCAATGCCCAAGACGTCCGCTGTTGGGAACTGATCCGCGACTGTAACAGAAAATCAGTTGGCTTCATCATCCACAGTCTCCGCGCCGCACCTAGTAAACATACATTCGATTGCCCAAATACCTGGTTAGAGCTGTCAGTAATGGCCATGCCAAGAGAAGTATTGATGCTGATATCACTCACCAGTACCAGTTCCGATGTCAATCACTTTATGGGGGTTGTCTCCAATCGGGGAGTAAAACAGCTTGCCGTCCTGCACGAAGGTTAGATCCGTGTCACGACGAATATCATGAAGAGGCCGATGCGAGAAATACCGTCAATTCAAGCATCATCGCATGCTTCATATCCTCTCTGCTCTTTTCTTCCTCGTCGTTTGGCAATGGATAGCGCCCGTGACGATAACTGTGGTATCGGCGACCAAACTCGTACTCATGAGCATGAACGCTAGAGGTCAGAGACGCTGACCCAACCGAGGAGGCATCCCATTCAACTAGGTCGAACTCGGAATCGTCGATCGGCCCGTCCGCGACCTCGATCGCCCCGGCGGGAAGCGAGACAGCTTGGGTGTCACTAGTAGACATGATGTGAAGACTACAGCATCGAAAGCTCACCGCCGAGATGACACGTAGATTTGAAGTAAAAGGCTGAACGATTGCAATCGCGGTTGAGGAGGGCGAAGTGGGGGCAAAATCCTCCAGACCAATACGTAGAAAAACGATGGGGAAAGAGAGGGAAAGCTCGGTGCTCCGGGAGACGACGTGCTCTCTGTTGGCTTGTTCGCTTGTTGTCCCTTCCAGCACAGGATCCACTTACATGCAGAGACGACTGCAACGACAATATGGCCTCCGACATACATAACATTTATGGTCTGATCAATGCCCTCTCGGTCGCAAAGGGCTCGGGATTGGCCAATGGGTGGTGTGAATACCGGGGATGTGTCCACAATTGGACACCGCCGATGCACGAAGGTCCCCTCGTCAGAAGCGACAAGATCTCTTCTATGCATGAGATTGAAGAATTGTTAACACCTTCGATCCCAACGTTCATAATTTCTTCTCCACAGCTGTTATGCAACGATCGTGCTTTCCAGAACATATCCTCTTAACACCTTACTAAAACCGTTACAACAGGGCAATGCCGAGTGGACATGAAGGCGTCCGTGATGTAACAAGTTAAGGCGACCTTCTCGTCTCTGCTGGAATTCAAGGTTGGTATTCTTTGCCCTACAGCATGCCTCAAGAACTCTTGAGACCATATGGTTCGTACGGGAACAACACGGAAACTCCAGGCATGCCAACAAACAGAGCTGCACAAACGTACAAAAGCGCCGGGGTGCCCGTATTGCCCTCGCTCGCAACCACCGCAGATATGATTCCCATGATCCTGTTGCAAGCAACAGCAATACTGTTTCCAGTTGCCCTGTGGGCACTGGGAAGAACCTCAGGCGTATCTTCGCTGAGAGTTCTATAGTAAATGTTGATGCAGAAGGCAATGACGCAAGTCAGCGTCAAGTCTTGCATGGAGGTCTGCACAACGTGTAGGCGGAGAAAAAGGCCATCGTGATCATCGTACCGATGGCCATGGCATGCGCCCGAGCTCCGTGTTACACATGCAACCGGCAACGATAGGACCAGGTATCCCACTGATGTTGGTGAGGGCGTAATTGCGCCACGTTTCGAACTGCGTTCGGTGGAAGATGGCGCCCTTGTTCGCAAGGTATGTCCTGATGATGGTCAACAAATCTTTTCCAAAACATCAATTGAAGATAGAAACGCTGCCATTCACGGAAGAAAAACGTAAAACACCTCAGGGTATAGGCCAGGCCTATTAGGGTCCAAGACAGGAAGATGCCACTCGTCAAGAAGCTCATCTTCTTGTTGCTTAAAAGGCCTCGGATGTGCAGCAAGGTCTCGCCAACAGAAAATTGTTCCTAACTATGGGCAGAGGTGACTGTTCCGCAATTCGCAAGATCTTTCTCGGTCAAGAGCACGGCAGGTTGTACGTTGTAGCCAAGTATTGGAAAGTCGTTACGACGGCGACTCATCGCCGACACCAAGCAGACACTTTGGAGTTTCCTTCATTTTGATGACAGTTACCCGAAGCACGGACATTACAAAGACAAGGGCGCCGCCGGTGAACATGGTATACCGCCATCCCCAGTTGTTAGCCTTGGTGCAACTTGCAGCATCGGAGCAGTTCCATGAGTTTGAAATCAAGAAGCCCCAGGCCAGGAAGCCAGCGACTGCATGAACGACCCCTCAACAACAAGCCAGAGCGGTGAGAGGCCACTGCTTGCTGCTTGGAAGTTACTCTAGGAAGACGGCCGTGTCCATGATGAGACTGCCACAGGCGCCGATGCCAACCATCGCAATGAAGAATCCCAGGAATTTCCAATTTGGCATGGCGCCGGCTATAATGCAAATGACTGAACATACAAGAAGGGAAACATTGAAAGCGTGTCTTCGTCCAATGATGTCGGCGCCGAAGCCCCAGAATAGCGCGCCGAGTAGCATTTCAACGTAGCTAGCGATCGTCAGGCCGTTGGCGTATCCATGTTCTCCAAACTCGCGGAACGCCTGAGTTGCGATACCAGACTGAAAGAGGGATATCATCGAGTCAACGGCATATCTGTATTCTGAGAGTCAAAAGCAAGTCACACGGGATCAGGAGCTTGGTAGTCATGGTTCTACTCACCCGAAGCCGTTAAGGAAGAACATGTACCAAGTCTTCGACTCTGGCCATCAAATTCGCAAAAGAGCGAACTCACGGGGATTCGCCCGTAGATATGGATTCATGTTCCCCTTCAATAAGCGTTGATATGTTTGGCCGCTGACATCGTATGCTTAGTATGAAATCGCCTCTTCGGTCCTAACGACTTGTCCCTTGACGCCTGAGATAGGCGTCTTGCGCAGGCTAGGATATGATATAATGTAGGGTTGCCAGCTTCCGATCAACATCTTCGATTGATCAGCACGTATGCAAGATAAGCCCCGCCATTGGAGACATGGAATGATAAATCCTGGGGTGAGAGGATACGCTGACTTCACTTTACGTGATCGTCAATTCTTGGGTACGGAAAGCTCGGCTTTGATCATGCATGTTTCTTTGGCCTTGGCCACTTCAGGTCTGTTTGAGTTGGCTACAACTGAGATGCAGTCGCAAGAAAAGATAAAAATATCTTATCTGTGCGCAATGGCAGAGCGACCTAGCTGATCGTCTTGGCTGTATTGCTCTATCGTCTTAATCTACGGACAGCCTGTCTTACTTCCTCACCTCTCCCTTTTGAATTACCAGCAGACGCTTACAGCGGTCTTCGTCGATGTTTTCCTCAACGAAGCTCTCGACACCAAGTTTAAGCATATCTTGCAAGTTTTTGATGGTTTTCTGTGAGAACCACGCAACATGACTGCTCAAAGTCAGGTTCGGCACAGCTGTCTCCCCGTTCGCAATGTCTGGGATAAGAGGGGTAGTTCCCACACCACCGGGTTCCGTTTCGAAAACATCCACAGCGGCTCCGAAAATTCTCTCCTCCTTCAACGCAGTTGCTAGTGCCTGCTCGTCAACGACGCCACCTCTAGCTAGATTCACGAGAAGCGCCTCCTTTCTCATTGAATGAAACTCCGAGTCCGAGATCAGGGACATAGTTTCCGGGTCCTTAGGGCAGCAAACCACAATAGTGGTAGCTCTCTTGATGAGATCGTCAAAAGAGGCTCTTCCTTCGCGGGGTTTGCTTTCGCCCTTGCGATCCGCAATCAAGACCTTGCCAAAGCCAAGGGCCCTCGCCAAAGTTTCGATTCTCTTCCCGAGGGCTCCGTACCCGATGATCCCCAGGACCTCTTGTTCGCAACTCAAAGGCGGCCCCTGTGTCCACCGAGGCGTCAAAGAGCCCTCTCGAATCCAGTCCTTCTCCGAACTCATAATCGCAGCATGAACCTCAACGACCTTTCGGCGGGCGGAGAAGTAAAGCGTCAGGAAATGCTCCCCAACGGCTTCAACGTTGCTTTGCGGGCAGTTGAAGACGGTGATGCGTCTTTCGACAAATGCAGCGCGGTCAAGCCACTCAAAACCGGTCGCGGCGATAGCAACGCATTGCAGATGACATGCATGGGCCAGGTCATCCGGAGTAATCGGCACGACGCTGGTGACGACAATCGTTGCATCTTTGATACGCTCTGCGACCTCGTGTGGCTGTGTGCGTTCATAAAGACTGCGTGTATGCGGGAAATCGAAATCCGGGAAGGTAGCCTCTGCGGCGTCCAGACAAACGACGTGATGCTTCATTTTCTAAGGCAAATGGTCATGAGGTGGTTCATTAAATCATTCAAGCCGTAATCGGAGTAACTCACTGGTTAAATATATGCTCGCCATGTACATGAGAAGATGCCCAGAGATGACAATGAGTGATGCGGAGAAGTGATTGGTTTTGTTATCAAGATAGATATCGGCCCTCTTGTTGTGGGGCCGCTTTCGGAGCCCCGGTAAAGGTAACTTTCCCCGGGGCATGCCTTTTCGTGCGGAGTGATATCGGAGATTTATTTGGGCTATTCAAGGTCACCAAATAAATAGCCCCTTCGTATTGTCCTACATCATGCGCGATCCGCGCAACCAAATCGTAGTCAGGGTGAAGGACTTACGAAGTATGGCCGGTTCGATGGCACGAGGCCTGTTGCCTACCTTGCCGTAGTCGACAAGGATTTCTGAGCCTATCTTGGGGTTGTGACGTTGGTTGCCGTGAGATGCGTTAGTGCACATGCAGAAGATAAGCTCAGGAGCTGGAGAGAGTCTTTCTACTCGCCGAGCAAACTGATAGATCGTCTCGCGGTAAGACAGTACACCGGCATCTCATTCCGGAAAAGGATAGAATTGCCAGTAATACACGAAGCACACGCTGTACCAATGAATTTGGATCTTGCCAGAGTTTATACCGGGACGTTTTCCTTGCTGCGGTCGATCGATGCGGGCCACATGTACCTTTGCGTCCTTGGAGGACGTGATGATACACCCTCTGACTGAATCACACGACAACACTTCGAGACGATAAGCTCTATTCGGATGCCTTTCACGACTAGGTTACTCTGTCTAAATTCCCTTATAGGTATTTCTATTCGTTCGGCCTGTAATTGGACCAAAGACGGCTGTCCTCTCTTGGGTCCTCCCGAAGCCTGTGATACTTCATCGTCAGCTGTGAAGATCAGCTGAGTTCGAAACTTTAAATTGACGACAGAACCCTCTCTTTCCTATGTATGAGCCCATCAACTTTGGCAATTATCAAACGTTTCTTCAGCAGTCTCTTGCACTACATCCAAACTAGCAGCACTTCGAATCGTCAAAATGGCCACCGTGACACTCAGCTGCCCAGATCCGCTCGCCAAGGCGATGCCCATGACACAAGAGCAGATCGAAGCGGAGCTCTATATCCCCCCCTTTGACCCCGCCATTCATCTTGATTACAAACCTCCTACCCGCCGCCATACTTTTACAGACCTCGGACTCCCGGTGCCGAAGGGATGTCCTGACATGTGCTACACGGAGCCTTTCCACCTCTTCTCGGAGGAGGGCATCCGGATGATTCGCCGGGAGGCCTTCAGACGCGAATTTCTGGATAAGTATATGAAAACGTACGGAGAGAAGGAGTACTGCATTATCCGCGGGTACGGTGACTCCAAAGGGGTGAGTATTTTCCAAAATAACTACCGAATGAGACATCACAGAAGCTCGTGATTCTGATATTTTGCAACAGGATGGTATCTTCGTGAAGCAAGCATGGAATCATCCTGTCACTCAGGCTGCAGTCAACAGCGCCTACGGGCACGCCTTGAGACTCCAGAGCGGCGAGGTCGCCTTAGGGTACATCAACGTACAGCTAGGCGACGGCGGCGGAGTCAGCAGCCCTTACGAGCTGCCCGAGGAGCCGATGAAGCCCAAGCCTCGTACGACCGACTTGGTCTCTGAAGGAGATCTGGATGAAGACGAGGTCCTTGATATGTGGCACAAAGATATGGCCCCCGTCGTAATTGTTCTCATGCTCAGCGATACCTCTACTATGCTCGGCGGCGAGACGGTCATCAAGATGGGCGACGGGCGAATGAAGAAGGTGAGAGGAGCTTCCGTCGGCGGCGCTGTCATGATGACGGGCGGATATCTAGAGCACTCGGCCATACGAGTGCGCAACTGCGGTGAGCGTCTGAGCTTGGTCAACTCTTATGACTTCCTCGATCCTGACGCGGACGACACGGCTACATCGCTGAGGAGTTTCAATCTGCGCTGCGACAGCCTTGTCAAGGGAAGGAATACTATCATGGCGCAGAAGCTCTGGCGGCTTCGAGAGCGGTGCGACCTGGCTATCAAGCGAGTCAATGAGCGTGATGCCGAGGGCGAGATGCCAAGCCAAGAGGAGGTAGAAGCATGGGTAAGGGACCAGATCCATCTTCTCAAGCACACGTCCTGGGAGATGTTTGAGCGGGTGCCGAATTACGTTGGCAAGGAGCTTCCGGTAGATGCATTGCAGAATCACTTGTCTGATGTGTAGATTTTGGTCGCAAACTCAACTTTAGCTCATGGGGCTTCAGCAATAGGTGATACACCCAAACCTTTTGTGGCATAACATGACTTCTTCGCGGTTGACTCGTGACCAATGATCTCCCAAAAGGAAAGAGACGGCTCGCTGAAACCAATCGAGGCGATAAAGAAGAGACCAAGGAGCAGGCTCTGGCACCCTCAAGTGGCAATTCGCTCGTAAATTAAGGATGCTACTTGCGACTTTGAATCCAAATAATGACACAGGACTAACGTAAGTCTTGCAAAGTGCGCCCTGGAGATAACATTATTCGCGTAAAGGATCTGAATAAATTTCCTTCGGATTAGGCGCCGGACATTCGGACAATACGTGACCACTGCATCATAGCAAGCTAGGACTCCGTGAGAGAAGATGGCTCCGTACAGGCGATGCCGATTGAACGCATGGTCCAATGTGGTCTGGTATTGGAATCGTGGATGGCATTACGACAGGCGCTGGTGAACGGCGCATAGACCAGGCCTGACAGAATTTTCATGTAATCTGCGCAGTCCCTGGCAAGGTTTCGTGTGAGTAGATAATAGTGAGTTCTGGGTAACGTAAGTTGCGCGTAGTCTCCGGCTGCCTCCGAGGGCTATGATTGAGCTCAGGAGTGGCCTGAACAACTACATGCGCCAAGAGCCACGTCGGCGAGGTCCCCTGATAATAGAAGGCAGACGTCTTGTGGGAAATTCGAGCCTGTGCTTCATTACCAAGTTTAGCTCGCGCAGATCTGTAAATATATCGCAGGATATGCAACAACCAGTTCCCGGCTACAACGCCCTATCCGCGGCCCCGCCAGCGACACTCCGGCCCCCCGCCCCCGTGTCGTGCCGTGGCGAATACCACACACGGCCCTTCTCTCATTACTGTCGAAGCAGACGTGTAAGATTCTTTACGTTGGACGGACGCGTGTCTTGTAGCAGCACATTCTTATGACCAACTCTCTACCCAACAAATACTATCCGGGACAAAAGCACGCACAGGGCGAAGTTATATCAACTCTTCACAGAAGTGCTCATGAATGCGATGGTGGCATCTTGGGTTCTTTTGTCATCTGTAAAGGCCAATTTTCTCGATGCGAATGATACTGCCGGCGTTGCCGCAATGAATGCTTCGATTGCCAATGATGCGGCCACGAAGCAACTAGCTGTAAGGCTATCCTATCATGCAGTCGGACTGCTGCACGCATGACCATGCGACCTCAGATTTCTCGCAATGATGCGAAAAATAGCCAAGTACGAGATTGCCAAAGACAAACGGCTGATATGATATCTAGATATGGGGCAAATCCGAGACCGAGAGCGTGGCTGACTCTGAGCACCGCACGGCCGCTGCTCTTGTATTGCGTACCGGGTCGTAACAACGAATGAGAATCAAGATCGACTTAACCGCTTAGTAAATCGAGGCGCAACCCAGTGTTCATGACTAGTGAGATACGCGGTTAGGTACGCGGTCAGAATCTTAACACTCTTGGCACTCTTGGCAAGTAGTTGCTTCTAAAGTGATGCACCTCTCCCTGCGGCTGCTGAAATGAAGGCTAACCTACAAGTCTGATTGATACTGAGTTGAGTCAGTCAAAAGGGGAATCTACACTACGCCAAGAGTCACAATACCCACAACCTGGCATAGGGCGCGATGAAGCGCGGTGGCTGAAGTCGGCGATACCGTCAACAATACAATTGCAGTTGAAAGTTTTGCTCCTTGAAGACGAAAGGGCGACTTTATAAAACCATCAGCGATTCGCAGACACATCGCAAGCCCGTCCGACTTCTAATACCTACAAGTCGGAACTAAAACTGCACAAGCTCATCACACAGTCTTTAGTCAGTACTGCCACTCGGCCCATCTCATACGCAAGGAGCACCCAGCTAACCGTCGCTGCCGCAGCCTTATTACATCACCATGAAGGCAACATTTGTTCTTTCCGTTCTCGCTTTCGCGTTAACTACTCGAGCTTGCGACCACTACAAGTACTGCGCCTGCTTGAATGCAGATGGCACCACAAACGATGAGATCACCGGCAAGGTGTGCGACTTTGGCTACACTCGCATCAACGATCAGCCATTTCTTGAATGCAAGCACTTTAGCGGCAATTGGTTCACAGGGTACTCGGCTTTCGATAACTGCAAGTTTCGAGAATCTTGCCAGTATGTGGGTGGTACGGGTGATTCACGATGCCGAGCCAAGTACGGTATATTCAAGGCATAAGTCTGAGTCAGACTTGATTTGTCCTGCTCCATGCCAGACGCTTGAGGGATTCTATGGTGAAGCTATCCAATATGGTAGCTTAATGAAACGAACTTCATCAGCGTATCGTGTAGTAGATCTTATTCCCTGACATGGCTACTCAGCAGATCCTCAAGTGACAGGTCACAGGTTAGCAACACCAGCACTCTAAACAAATAGTATCATCGTCATTAAAAAGCCATCAAACCATTCTGTGAACTGTTGAGTCTACATCCGAAGACTTTAAGCCATCGTGTCGTCAAGATCTCCTCCCTAGGCGAAACGAAGTTTAGACAATCATAGCTCACATAGATCAGCCAAAAAGGTATAGCACGGCATAAGACATACAACACCGGGCATTCGCCGGTCGTCACCGACCCGACTACTACTCCAGCCCTCATTGGCTTATCTATGGGAGAGCGGACGGGATCCCGAGTTCTCCAATGGGTATGGTCGTATGTGACGAAAGCACGCGTCTGAGTTGACTATGAAGACTTGACCCTCCCCATACTGTGGAGGGTCGTCACAGCCAGTTCGGATTCTGTCGCCATGCTTGGGGCGAGCTCCTCCAAATCCCAGATCTTTCGGTACTTATGCGTGTCTCTATGCGAGATATTAAGTCATGGAAAAGAGGTTTGTTTACGCCCGCAGATATTTGTCGAGGTCTGAGGACACCTCAAAATCTGGAAATGCTGCCACGCTAGGTGACCGCCGGTGCCGGAATGCGGGGGGTCCACTCCAGTCGGGACTCCGTGGCTTCGGGGAAACTTTCCCAGATCGGGCAGCATATGAACCGAAATATCTCGTACTAGTAACGCAACACTCGCCCTTTCCGAGGGTGGGAGGACTGAGTTGGTGGCTTTCGAAGGCCCACGAAACGGGCACAGATCACTTCATCAAATCTGAAATTAGCAGCATCAAACTCAGCATAGTGGACAAAGTCGGCGTCTTTCCCCAAAGCCACTGAAGAGGAAGGACGATGCACGCGCTCCCTCCACGCTAGGAGTGCGTCCCTTCACTATTATGGATCGCAGCGGGTTCGCAAACTCTAAAAATCACCTCATCACAAGATCTCGCATCAGGTTCCATGACAGTATTACAGAGAGATGCATTATTGTATGCATACAGCTATGCAAAAACATAAGTATTTGAACTCAAGCCATGACCCGTTCTTTCGGGGTGACTTAGAATTCAGAAGTTTTGATTTGGGTCGTGTTTCACAAGAATGATGAGCTTCAAGATGGCTTAACCATATCATTCAAGCAGTGTTTTGTTCCCTCCTGGAGCTCGCCTTTTACTTTCGTCAGTGGACGCGCAGCCCTGCAGACCGCAAGGCTTTTCCATACCCCGGTGCTCTCAACAATGATGATATTGATCCCATCAATGGACGATTGTGTCCTAGCTAGGTAGCCTGAACTCCGCTCAACCTTCAGAGCACGTGTTTGTCAGCATTCCTATTATGGATCTTTTTAGGTTCATGACTGCCTTACAGTCGGTCTGCGGCTTGCAGCACTTCATCGTTTCCCATCCGACCACACCAGGCTCGGATCGTTGCCTCTCGCCAGTAATCTCACAAGTCGTTTGGCAGGGCATATCTTCCGGAAGACTGCAAACCCATCCGGTTGTCAGGCCTCGTGAGATAGGACCAACGTCTGACTTGCACAGTTCGGGTGCCCGTCGGCACCCTGCCATAACACCGACAGCCAAAGAGGCAGCGATGAGTCCCTGTGAAAGCTTCATGGTGATGTGTTGTGGGAGAGTATGTTTCGATATGTCGTTGGGGCGCAATGTGAACAGTAGTATCTCTGTGTGTGAGAGAATGAAGATAGAAATCCGTTGTTCGCACTTGGGCTCGAGATTTATAACAGAATTCCGATCATGATAACTGACCGCTCCTTGGGCTACTTCGTACTTCGCAAATCTTTGAATATGCGGCCCCATTGATCAGTCTCCGTTGTCGAGTCTAATAGATTACCTAGCTCTGAGACTTGGCCTCATGTTGGCCTTGTTTTGTGGATCGTAGTCCTTATTACTTGAATCAGCAACTATCTCTACATGAGCGAGTCATAGCAAGTGAGACGAGCGAGTCAATTGCGACCGCTGAGCTTATTTTCGCAAACCCAATTTGGGCGCGGTGAGTAGGCCGGTTCGTCTAATACCTTGCATCGGACAGAGCCACGTTCATTAATCGGACACAAGCCCAAAAATGACCGTTCCTATGTCCCCGAGGCAATGGGCTTCTTTACTTCGCATGGCGACTTCTGAAGTGACGGAAACCCGGGATCGTACTATGAATTCCCATGCTCCTCCGTCGCATTCCCGCGCGAAGCCGTCCATTAGACACGTGGAAAAAGGATTTGCATGCTTTGCACTGTCAATACCCTGTCTTCACTCCCTCCACCTTGGCGTTCCACAACTTTGAAACTATGAAAACCCGAGCCGGCTACCGGCTCAAGCAGCGTATCCGAACCCGAGATAAACGACAAAGCTACCTCATTATCATCCGGACATGAATGAAGTGCACTGAGACTGAGGGTAGCTCTGAAGATATGGCTCCTGTGACTGCCTCGCATGGCAAGTTCGTCCGTCACATTCCAACCAGCGCAGCAGGTTGATTTGCCAAAGTTATCAACACGGAAGGATCAACAACGCTACTTGGCCAACGGTAGGGGCCGTTTGCAGACAGCAGCTACGTGCTCTGCATTGAAGGTAGTTGCAGGACAATCAATCACACTTAAGGTCAATTTCTTGGTCGCCAGCAGTGTTGTTAGGCTTAGAATCGGACGTCTTGAGACGGACGCAGACGCAACCGAACGTCTTGACTCATGTTCAACGAGTTCACAATCAGTGTCCACGATAGGACAGCTTTTATTTCCGATAGGACACATTTTCATCAGGTTAATAACGCCTTCGGTGTTTGTACTGAAGCTATAAAATGGCCGATGCTCCAGCAACTGCGGTCTGTTTCCGACTTCCAATCGTGGGACAGAAAGACGTCATAAGTCGATCACGGTGGACTCCCCTCGGAATGTTGAGAATTCGGAATACCACATGAGCAATTCAGCAATCTGCCTTTATCATCGCACTCTTCCGAGACATCAACAGTCTTGTTTGCTGTTACTCCTTACAAGCGAAGAGGCGGCCTGACGAACACCAGTAAAGTGATCGCGAAAGTATGATGGCTTCTTACTCACTTTTCAAGGTTCTTGTAGCAGCGGCTGTCAACGGGTATCATACTTGCGTATTTCAAGTACATTATCAACCAGACGTCAAGCCTCAGCTACGGCAAAGTAAGTGTTCAAACCCTTCAACTACCACATAGCGCCGTTCTAAAAACAATCATGAGGGTGAAGGTGCATACTGGTCCTTAACAACGTATCAACAACCCCAAATTACCTACTCATTCTTAGTGCGGCTTCGAGAAATGGTTCACTGTTAGCCCTGATCTCCTTGCTGGATCCCAATCTACGGCCAGTGTCCGAGCTTCCCAGGTAAGCACAACAATGAGGACGTTGTCACAAGTATGTGTAGAAAGGCCGCTATTGGTGCAAGTCACATACCCCCTGTGTTGCGGGTCCTTCTTGCCAAATTGATATCCTAATAAGGGCCTGCGTCAGTCCGCCCTCTAATTTCAGTTGCTGTAGTATTTCTAACATGTAGCAGTGTCGAAATTTTCCAATCAGGCTCACGCCTGTTGCATGCCACGGCTGGTGCTCGGGAATATACAACAATTCATCAGAAACGCGATGGTTCGTGCGACAGTCTTCATGATCGATGGTGCCATGTTGAAAACCTCAGACCCTAAACTCGATGGACTAGAAGAACCAGGTCACATCTAGACACTCGTATGATAACTTGTCGTTGATGTAATTCAGCCAATCCGGCAGCTTGATCAACCATCAACCTCCATTTTGATTGATTGAATCACAACACGTGGCCTAAATAAGAGGGGTTTCCAAAGTTTGGACTAGGTAATTGATGATGAATAGCCTCTTTATATTCCTCGAATCTTTTGCTTCTTTCTCATATACCTTCTTTGATGCTGTCGTCTGCCGTCTTCATCATCGCGACGTGACCTTCGGTGGCATATGGGAAACCCAGCCGAGACGGGAGTCTCGGAAAAGTTGCTCGACTTCTCACGACGGACAGTGTTGGTGGTGAGGGGCAGAGCACACGCAGGGCACGCCGAAGCATGCGGGGGAAGAACCAACGCCAGTCTGGTTCCCGTTAGCAGGGGTCGCCCGCCCATGAACGATGCTGGTTGGATGCTAAGATGACGCTGCTGGCCCGCCGTTGGATGCATCGTTGGTCGGACCACAATCCACATTTGCCGACTTCACCTCTGCACGTCTCTGAAGCTAACGGAAGTAGCTGATTATAAGTATGCCTCACCCGTCTTGTTCCTTCTGTCATCTTCGCCAGAGTTCCGGCAAACCGTGCATATTCAAATAAGGAGCTCACCCAGCAGCCGCCACATCCTTGTGTAAATCGAATCTTGTAACAGTCCATCCATCCTCATGGCCCCCATCGTCTTCCCCGCAAACCAGCCGCCGGCCCGGTTCTACCTAGGAGGTCCTCAAATATCATCCTTCCGCTCAGACAAGCCGTCCGGCCCGAATGAGCCCGAAGACTGGATCGCCTCGACGACGTACTGCCTCGGCTGCGCGCGCTCCAAGCTGGGCATGACGGTCCTCCCCGACGGCCGCCTGCTAGCTGACGCCATCGCCGCGGACCCCGAATACTGGCTCGGTCCGGGGCACTTAGCCGCGTTCGGGACGGACACGAAACTGCTCGTCAAGCTGCTCGACGCGGGGCAGAGGCTTCCGGTGCATGCGCACCCGCACCGGGACTGGGCGAGGGAGCACGTTGGCGCGAAGCACGGCAAGGCCGAGGCCTGGTATCTCCTCACGCCGGGGGAGGTGTACCTGGGTTTGAAGGAGGATGTGACTCATGAGGAGTTATTGGGCTTGGTCGAGCGGCAGGACGTGGAGGGGATGCTCGGGCGGATGCACCGGTTGGATGTCAAGGCTCGTCAGACGGTTTACGTACCGCCGGGGACGTCGCATGCCATCAGGGAGGGCGTGTTTCTGATCGAGGTGCAGGAGCCGGAGGATCTTTCCATTCTCTGTGATTGGAAGGGTTTCGACATCGACGGGTTTAAGGACGGGCACTTGGGGCTGGGGTTCGAGAAGGCTTTAACGGCTGTTGATACGCGGAAACTGACGAGGGGGGATGTCGAGAGACTTGTTACATCGGATGCGAGTATCGGGGTTGCACTACCGGATGTCGCAAAGGAGTATTTCGATTTAGAAAGGGTTGAGATTCGTGGGAAGAAGATGTTGAAAAGTGGGTTTGCTGTTTTGGTTGTTTGCGAAGGAGCTTTAGAAATGTGGGTTGCTGGAGAAAAGGCGTTGGATATAGACAGAGGAAAGACTTTAGTTGTTCCGTTTGGAGATGGAGATGTTGAGTTGAAGGGGTCCGGCGAGGTCGTGGTTCTCAGACCGCCGAGGGGCCAATGAGTTTAAGAGACATCCATCAAATTCGGTTCTACATTGTCCAAGTGAAATACAAAAGACGACGATGAATGGGGATTCGAACAGGCATTATCGAAGGAAAATGGCTTTATCAAAACTTTTGCTATCTAATGCGGCGATCCTATCCACGGCCTGTTATCATACAATCATCCCTTGACCATCCCAGAAAAGTGAAAAGAGACTTGGTTCTCCCTGAACCAAGTGAGCAAATCCATCGATGCACATGCGTATCCGCCAAACTCCTTCAGCCAATCCCCTTTTTAGAATGAAATCCTACATGGGTATATCCGTCACGATCCTTTGCTATGCCATCATGATCAAAAAGCAATTCGTCTCGTATCGCCCACTTCCAACCGAGTACTGTCGATATTCCCGGTATCATCCTTCACTTATCATCCGTCATCGTCATCTTTGGTATCCGCGATCGGCATTCATCGTCATTCATGGGACGTTGTTGTTGTTGTCGTCGACGCTCATCTTCACCCAGAACTGCTCGTTCCGTTACTTTTCGCCCGTCGATGTGCTCAGCGTCGGTCGAATCTCTTGGAAGTCTTCTCGTGGTATCCCGGGCCCTGTCTCATCATAGCCGACGGACCCTTAGGAGCGTAAGGAGACTCGTTGCGAGGAGAGTCGAAAGGGCGCTTGCGGGAGTTGGGGTTCTGCTTTTCTATCAAGAGATCGACATCTTGCTGAAGTTGGTTGATGGTTCGTTCTTGTTCAAAGATTCGCTGCTTCAGGCTTCTATCCTGCTCCGAGAGTCTCTGCTTTGTGATTGACTCCAGGGAAGCTAGTCTGTCCGCGACGGTTCCAAGTTCATCGTGGGTTCCAACCTGCCTACGGGTCAAGGCTCCAAGCTCACCGTCCACCGACGACTGTCTCTGAGCCAGGGCCGTCTGCTTCTCAGTAATGGAGCGAAACTCGTTGTTCGCAGACTCCTGCATGCCATTCTGTTTCTTGTCCATCGACTTCTGGGTATCATCCAAGTGAGCGTGGCGGTCACCAAGCGTCTGAACGGCATCGATGATGTTCTCAGAGAACTCTGAGAACGCGTTGAGTCTATCCTCCAAGGCGCTGATTCTCTCAAGGACGTCTTCGTCTAGCTTCGTCGGAACGGCTTGGTGGTCCACCGCGCACTGCTTCTCATTCACCCCCTCATTGCTCTCCGAAGCATTGAACACCTTCATGAGGAAACCAAGCATTCCGTTGATTTGGGTGTGGCTAAGGCCTAAGAAGGGGCCTGGCGAAGGCAGCGGCGATGGGGAGGCGGTCGTAGATGAGGACTGACGGAGAAGCTGCGGTGGCAGTTGAAACTGCGGAGCCATCGAAGCTTCCGGGGCCTGGGAATCGGACTTGGAGGTCTCCTCAGGTTGAAACTTGGAAACCACCCTCAGCTTCTTCCGAGCGATGGGTTTCTTGTCAGTCTCGACGGGCGACTCCTGGGCTTGGAGGTTCTTGGTGATGGCTTGCTTGGAGTCGACAGGGATGGCCGTAGCAGACTTCTTCGTGGTCGCCTTCAGCTTGATGGATCCAATGGCAGCATTGAGGCTGCCCTCATCGTCGCGAGTGGTAGACGCCTTGCGGGCATCCTTGCTGGGCACCTCGTTGATCCTGAGAGCCACTGGTCGGCTTCGGTACTCGGACATGGAGATGAGATGGCATCTCCAGTGCATTCTCTGCCACTTCTTGAACTCGTCCTTGTCGACTTTGACTGCCAACTTCTCCAGTTCCTCTCGGACATAAAAAAAGCAAGTCTTGATGAAGTCGTTCTCTCGATAGCGGTCGTGAATGAGCGCGGCAAGGAACTGCCGCTCGGTCTCATCTTCGCCGTGCTTCGCAATGCACCATGCGGCCCAAATCTGAGAGATTCTGGCAATGTTCTCCAAGCGATTGTCCTTGTTCTCAGGGTTCTCTTGTCCCGCCAAAACCATGATAGCAACAGCGCTCCGGATGATGGGATGGCCTCGGCCCTTGACGAAGACAGAGCGTGAAACAATGTCCTTGGCGTTGCTTCCGTATTCAGCAGACAGGCGCACGTGGTTGTCCTTGGTGCGAGGGATCTTGGGAGGGCTCACATGGCTGGCAAGCTTGGCGATCTGAACACTGTAGGCACGCTGGTTGTCCTCCCAATACATGTCTCGAAACTCTCTCTCAAGGCCAAGTCTGTGCACTAAGTCAAACCACTCACGCAGGGCGCTAAAGGACCAACTGTCGATGCGAATGAAGGTCTCTGCGAGAAGATAGCGCTTAAGATCAATAAGCTCATCGGCCTGCTGGTTCTTCATAGCAGCCTTGGTACGCGCATAGAAAGTGTTTTCGCACAAGACACGTCTCTCTGTCTGGGTGATCTCAAGCATCTCTCCGATGAGCTCCTGGACAAGCGGTTGCATGGCCGGGGTAGACAACAGCTCTCCACGAAGAGCGCCCTTGATTTCGTCAACGCCATAGCGAATTCGGACATGCTTCGAGCCGGAAGAGACAATCAGACTTCGCTGTCGCTTAGCATTGATGAACTCCTCGTCGTCGTCGCTGTCGGCATAGAGGTCGCGATCTCTCTTTTTCTGAGGACCATGCGAAGTTCCCGACTGTATATGGCCAGGAGTTCCGCTTGCCATGGTGCCTTTGTTGTGCTGCCTGGATTTGATGTCAATCAAAAAGGGTAAGGGGAGGCGCAGAGAAGCAAGTGCAGGATGAAAGGTCGCACAGAATAAGTGGGAAATGGCCCAAGAAAAAAAAAAAGAAATACATGGGTAACAGCATGTGAAACGCAAACCAAGAGTCCAAAGTAAAGCACTTACACACGATGCTTGATTTGATGATGGTTCTGTACAGTTGTGAAGGTGGCGCAGGTGCAAACAGCGAAAAGTTCACGGCGCTGTGTTGTCGCAATGGTGATGGCTGGGGAGCTTGGCTGGGGTGGTGGGTGGGAAGGTTAGAGTTGACAGCAGAGGGTGAAGTAAGTAAATACTAGGCAGACACGCCAACGCGTCGACCGCCTCTCGCGACGGGGCAGCTAGTTTATTTACTTTTCGGAGGTGAAGGTGAGGATGTGCGTCTGGGGAATGTGCGGTCGGAAGGTGAGGAGGGTGCAGACCAAATGTGACGTGCGGTGGTGGGTGAGGGTGAAGAACGAGGTGGCTGACCTGCCACCAACGACTGCGAGATATGAGAGCCTTCAGTTTCAAAAATCACATCTAATGATAGATGCTGATCTGTAACATACAGGCAGCCTGGTGGACGGGAAGAGAAAAAACACTTTCAAGTCCCAAAAGAACAAACTCCCAGGGGCTTTCTGGAGAAAAGCGCGATCACAACGGGGAGCAGGAGTGGGAAATGGTCGACCCCGCCGTATGTCAACTCGTCAGATGGCGAAAATTCACTCAAAATCCAGATGGATCCTTACTCGACGGCCAAGACGGATAGATGCAGACTGAATCCATCAAGACACATGAGATTGAGAACGAAGCATTGCCCCCTTTTCTCAGACCGCTGCTTGATATCCTGCAGACTCTGTTTGCTTCCAGGCTCGGTCCAACCAATCGCGGCCACCGGGGAGAGATATTGATAAGTACAGGGGTCCGTCAGAAGAAAGGAAGAAAAGAAAGTAAGTAAAACGGCTGTCACCTTGCCAACATTGACACCTACAATCAACTCATCACTTCGGCACCGACCTATGGCACCCGAACATCACAATGAAGAAAACCACGTGGTACCGCGATTTTTAATTTTCCTCCCACGAGGAGAACGCGTCTCACCAGCCAGGGAAAATTCACCCCTCTCCTCTGGCTCTGGGCAGCAATTGATCTTGACAGGTGGGTGCCGGCGGCAAAGGTGTGACTGCGGCTGCAGGGTATGCGGGTAGCCGCAGCGGCGCAGTTGGACCAACACGTCTGCCCTTTGCCATGGTGCCATTGCCTCCAAAAGCCCCAGGCAGGTCGCGAAACCATCTTCGAGTCCCTTCCCCAACGAATTGCGGCAGTAAGCTGGTGAAATCCAGAAACAGCCATGCAGTTCATTGTTCGTTCTCCTGTCTCGGCTTAGTGTGGAGCGCCGACCGGAGCAGGGCCCCGCAATCGCCTGTCCGCCCGGCCTCGGGGTATGGACCCATCTCACCGACCGACATTGCATGAACCCAACAGCACGCTGACTTCCGTGCACCCACGACGGATACCAACGACATCCGTAGGCCACGTTGTATAGTAAACGGCCACCCAGCATGCAGTCAATGCTCAAGAGCCAAGAAATCTAACCATACCTTGCCATCCCACACCCCCGGATCCCACCGGCCCCGCCTCCGTCCGCTGCTCACATAATCCCCTCCGGCCCCGGTGGGATGCCCACCCCTTCCTCCCGCTTCTCCAACATCGTCAATGACGACGACAACACCAAAAACCACAACCACAACGTCTTGGCCCAGCATCAACGGACTTTCGAACCCCCTCCAATGTCCGAGGCCTCAACCTATAAAGCCATCCTCGCTCAAGAACCCCCAGAATCTCAGCTCATCATGCCTCTCAGCCATCACACCCATCATCATCATCATCACACTCACTCACGATGTCCTCCCTAACAATCTCAGACCCCATCTTGGCCAAGGACAGCACAATCGTGGTCTCGGGCGCAAATGGCTTCATAGCATCCCACATCGTCGACCAGCTCCTCGCCGCCGGCTACCGCGTCCGCGGCACGGTCCGCGACGCCGCAAAGTACAGTTGGCTCTCAGCCCATTTCGAAAAGACCTACGGCCCAGGCCGCTTCACCCTCCACGCCGTGCCCGAAGTGACCAAAAACGGCGCCTTTGATGAAGTCCTCAAGGGTAGCCCTCGCCGTCTCGCCTGCCGACGAGCCAAGAGCACTAACACCCAGACCCAGGTGCCGACGGCGCGATCCACACAATCGCAATCACGAATATGAACCCGGACCCCAACGCCGTCGTGCCCCCAAACGTCGACGCGACTCTCTCCATCGCGCGTTCCGCCGCCTCAACCCCGTCCCTCAAACGCTTCGTCTACACCTCCTCCTCCGGCGCCGCCGCCATGCCGACCCCCAACGTCCCCTACGAAGTCAACGCCGACACGTACAACGAGCAAGCCGTTGCCATCGCCTACTCCGGCAAGGGGCCCGGCGGTCTTGCGGGGGGTTATATCGCCTACTCCGCCGCAAAGACAAAGGCCGAGCAGGCGTTGTGGAAGTGGTATTCTGAGGCGAAGCCCGGGTTCACATTGAACTCGAGTAAGTGATATCCCAGCACCAGACGTTGACAACATAGAACTGATGGCCTGTGTGTGAAAGTTGTTCCCAACGCCGCTCTGGGCCGAGTCCTCCTTCCAGAGCACCAGGGCTTCCCGACCGCAGTCGGAATCCTCAAGTCTCTCTGGCAGGGCCACGTCTCTCCTGAATTCGTCGCCATGTTCCCAGCCCAATGGTTCTGCGACGTGGTCGATATCGCGCGCATCCACATCGCCGCCCTGCTCTTCCCAGACGTCCAGTCCGAACGCCTCATCGCATATGCCGGCCGCTTCAACATCAACGACATCCTCGCCGTCTTCCGCGAAACGCAGCCTAGCCGTAACTTCCCCGCCGACCTCCCCGATCTCGGTGTCGACGTAGGCAAAATCGCCAACGAGAGAGCGACGGAATTGATGAAGAAGCTGGGGGGAGGAAAGGGCTGGACCAGTCTTGAGGACTGCATTGCGCCACTTGCTAAGCAATACGCTGCCTCTGAGGCCAACTGAAGGAGAGCGTGAAATTTCACAACCTAACGAAAGACAAAGTTTATAATTCTTGGGTTATTGCAATTCTCTCGGTGCCGTTGTACTCCCACTGGCCATCTATGCGGCCCAACTGGAATGCTATCTACATGCATGAAACGCTTCAGCTACCCCGGTATAAAAGTGGAAAGCATCTCATCGTCAAGTGGCTGTGGTATCTGCGAAAATTTACATCACGATCTGCGTCACGGTCAGTCAGATATTCTTAAACAAGAGCAACAAGGCAAGACTCACGCAATCCGAATCATCCTTGCCCTTGGGGATGCCCATCTCCTCAAAAGTCGCAGGTCCTTGGCCTGTCGCTTGTTTCTTCGGGGGAGGCATCGTTTGGGCACTAGGAGCCGGGCTAGGCTTCTGCTGGGGTCGTGGCTGAGAAGAGGGCGGTGCACTGCCGACGCGGCCGGGAGGGCCCTGATCGACAAGATCCGGTCGATTAGCGTAAGGTCGGGGAGCGCCGCCGGGACCACCCTGAGGCCGTGGTTGACCAGATGGGCTGAGCGGCATCGAGTCGGTTCGCGGAGGCATGCCGCCCGGCGCGGCGCTGGGTGGTCTACCGTAGCCATATTGTTCTGCAGGGGGGATGGACGACATTCTAGGTCCGTAGTCTCGACCGGGTTGAGCTTGCGCCTGCGCCGGTTGGCCATAGTCGCTCGGTCCGTAGCTTCCTTGCTGGAAAGGAGGTGAGGGTTGGGGCTTGGCGAACTGTTGAGTGTTCTGCTTGGTGAGCTTGTTCATGGCGGGATTCGAGGGGAGTCCAGGGGACACCGGGTAGGGCTGTGTCGTAGCGGGTCGAGACCCAGGGCCCGAACCAGGGCTCGGTTGGCGGTAACCGGACTGATCCCATCCTCCCGTCATAGGGCGGCCTCTGGGATCCGCACCGGCAGGAGGAATCATGTTGTTCATTGACTGAGATGGGCGGACATTGCCGGCCATGCCCTGAGGGCCGCCTGGACCAGTGCGAATCCCGAAAGCACTGCCAGGGCGATCAGAGTGGGGAGCGGCTGGAGGGCGACCTCCTGTGTTGTAGTGAGGGGAGAGCTGCGGGCCAGCTCCAGGTCGCGGGCCTGGCCGATCGTCTTCAGGGTAAGGAGCCGTTGACTTGGGTCTGTTGAGGTTGAGGGGCGCCGGCCTGTCATCTTCAGGGTAAGGTGCAGCAGACTTGGGTCTAATTGCCAAGTTGGCATCGAGGTTGGCGGTAAATGCATTGGGTCTATTACCCATGCTGTTAGGCCGCGAGGGATCCGGGTAATCGACGGTGTCTTGAGCTGGGTGAGCTCGCGGGGAGGGATGAGGTGACGTCTTTGCGGAGGTGCTTGTTGGATATCCGGGGTCGGTTGGTGTGACTGGTGCGCTCTCCGAGACGGTAGGCATCTGTTGTTGAGGCTGCTTGAAACGGTCCGGTCGCTTGCCGCGCTGAGATCCGTGTTGCGACTTGATTCTCGTAAGAGTGGTCGTCTCGTGGTCGGCTTTGGTCAAGCTCTTAGAGTGATCCAAGGCGTCGAGTCTTCCGACGGCATCCTTATTGCCGTGGTCTGCAGCGGCCTCATACCAGAACCTGGCTTGACGCAGATCCTTGGGAACGTAGACACCGATTTCGTAGTAGTAGCCCATGGCGAATTCGCCCGTGGGAAGCTTCGCGGTGGCCGCATCCTGAGCATACTTGAAGGCGAGCTGCTCATTCTTACTGAAGATGCCCTCGTATCCAAACAGGAACCAACGACTGACGCCAAGCGCAGCCTCAGGTTGACCCTGTTGAGCTGCCAAACCGTAGTAATGAATCGAATAGGCAGGGTTGAAATCACAGCTCAGTTGGCAAAGCTCGTAAGCTTGGCCCATCTTGAGCTGCGCCTTGGCAAATCCGAGGTAGGCCGCCTTCTCGACGTACATCTTGGCCAACGGCAGGTCAACGGGAAGCAACGCGTCGGGAACCTCAATGTCAGGCAAGTCCTTTGCAAGGAGCATGCCGTAGACGTATGATCCCTGAGGCGCATCCTCGTCAGAGAGGTCTGCAGCTTCCCTAATAAGGTCCAAACCGCGCTGGTAGTCCTTCGGGTGATTGTGCTGACCCAACAGGCTCATCATACCCAAGCGGTACATAGCCGCCGAGTCCTTCAGTCTCAGACCTAGGTAGTAGTGCTCAACGGCCTTGCTATAGTCGTTTGAGTTCTCGAACAACATGCCCAGCCGGTACTCGGCACGCGCGTAGCCAAGCTCTGCGGCGCGCGTGTACTTTGAGTAGGCATCTCTCTTGTCGGGACGGCAGCCAAACTTGCCAAACTCGAGCCACTTTGCCTTCATAAAGAGCGCCTCGGGATGCTCTTGACCAACCAGGTATTCGACAATGTTGAGTGCATCGGTGCGCAGTTCGTGCTCAACCTTTGGTGTTTGACGACCGCTCTCCGGGTCCTTGGACCTGGCCTCAGCAACAATCTCGGCCCAGGCCAAGGTGTCACGAGCCCAGGAAAGCTGCATGGAGACATTGTTTGAGTGCAGGACATGCTCGCGGGCGTTCCACAGGATCTCCTCCTTCTCCTCATCTGTGGGGGGTATGTTGTCGCCCTTCACCTTGGGGAAAGGGGAGAAGGAAGGGGCCGCGCTGGGCCGCATGGTATGATGATTGCCGCTTGCGCTATTCTCGTGGAACGGCTTGAAGTCGTCGGACGAGGGCGCGGCAGCGGCAGCGGACGGGTTGGTGTAGCCCTTGGGAGGTAGGGCAGGCGCACCGGGGTCGGTGGGCTTGGAGTAGGAGGACAAGGACGGCTCGCGGCCGTGGCGGTTCTGGATGTTGGGGTCTCGGGGGTTCGGGTCGACTTCGCGGGCTTCAAGTTCCATGCGCTGAAGGTCGTTTTGCATGTTCTGAGGGACCTGGGGCGTTACACTGTAGAGACGACTTGTGTCAGCAACCAGGCTGAGGAAAAAGGGACAAAGACAAGGCGGCGCGGGTTAGGATGGGGAGGGGGGCCCATCGCCAGATCCAGCGGGCAGTCAGGAGGGACCCATGATAGATCCGCCTGAGATTAAAATGAGGGAATACGCGTACCGCTGAGGCGAAGGTGCAACGACCTCGGGCATGTAATAGTCGTCGAACCCTCCAGGAACGAAAGTTGCGCCGAAGTTTGACATCTCGTCAGTTGTGCCTTTGGGCTGAGGTGCAGCTGCATAAATAGGAGGTAATCAGTCAGCGGGGGTCGAATGACGTTTAGGTTGGAGCCACCGCCAGCTTTTTTTTTCCTCCCGCGCCTGTAAGGTTGGGCTGCTTTGCTGTGCTGTGCTGACTCTGCTGTGGCCGGCCGCTTGCTGGAGCCCCCAAAAGTGCTGTATTTTTATTTACTTTTGTGCTGGGTGCTGCTGGGTTGTCGTCTGACAGTCTCTCTTCTCTAAGCCAAACTCCCTGGCCAGGGTGCGGTAGGGGCGAGAATTGGACGGGGAAATAGGCGAAAAAGGAATAAGAGGCTCGGGTTGACTGAGAAGCCAGGTGTAGGTGTGGTGGTGGCTGTCTGCAATATGTTGACGGCGAAAAAAGAGAATCGGGAACGTGCAGTCTGATCTCTGTGTGTACTTTGACACCCTGTGTTTCTGGTTCTCTGTGGTTCTCTCGGCTGCCGGGGGCTTCCTGCTTGCTGTGTCTGCGACAGTCTTTCTCTCGGGCTGCTTTCTCTCAGTCCTTGGTCTCGAAGGAATGACACTGAACTGAGGGCGTCCGGAAGCGGGGTGGAGAGGGACGAAGCTCAAAGCATCGGAAATCGCGACGGCGGGCCCTTTCTTTTTAGCGTGCAGAGTTGTTGTCCGCGTCCCCTTTTTTGTGCCCAGTCTGGCTAGTGAAACATTGGAGCTCGTCCGGATGAATGTGCCAGGTGCCAGTGTCGCATTTCTCTTCTTTTTGGTCAGGGTCAGGAGGAGGAGGGGGAATCGTCTCTGGGCCCCCCATCATTGTTCCAGGAGCGGGACTGACCGGGGCAGTTATAGAGAAGGAGGGGTTCGCTATGAGATGCTGCTCCACCATGCAAGCCGCAGCAGCAGCAGAACATTTAGCAGCACGCAGCTGGCGCTGTGCCAGAGGCGCGCTAGCACGCCGCAGCTTGCTGTGGTTTGCGTGCTGCGTCCATTGGCTTTGGGGATGCGCTTCCATTCTGCTGCAGGTAGGCCGAAAGTCCCAAGTGTACCTCGTCTGTACTTTGCGGTGGGCGGAGCAGGGAGTAGCCGGCTGTGGTGACAGGTACCGAAAGGCAATCGAGAAGACGCCAGGATGAGGCATGTACAAGCAGCAGGCAGTAAGCGCTGGAGTCCTTCGTCAACCATTCGACAGCCGTCCATCCCGTCTTCAGCCAGGGTGACTCGTCCGAGGGTTTCAATCAAGAGCCCAGGTCAGACAGTGCCAGTGATAGCGTGCCATTGCAGACCACAGCACCCATGACCCTTTTGGGGGGATTTGGCATGTGCACATGGCGCCCAGCATGTCCAGTTAAACGGGCCCCTGTGCATAAGACGGTGCAGGCAGACTGTTTGACTGTGCGTATTTCGCTTGCCACAGGCCGTGAGCGATACCTCCGGGGCGGTTGATGATGGTCGGCGGGAGGTGTCCGGGGACCCGAGGGAGAAGACCAGAGAGGAGAGCAGCAAACAGCAAAGCATCCTAAAGGGGGCACCCTCGGCCGAGATGAAATTAGATGGCCCAAGGCCTCCAAAGCGAGGGCTAGACCAGCTGAAGCAGAGGGCAAGTTCCGTTCTTCACTTACCAGGTGTAGGCAGGAGTGCAGGTACAGGTGGGTAGACCTCAATTCGCGGGCCGGAGATGGAATGCGGACCAGGTGCAGCGGGAGTTCCACCGCTCGAGGTGTTTTTGGTGCCGTTGTTCTGTGGATCTCGACCGGAAGCCGGCGCATTTCCCTTGCCATGCGGCGCGTATGGTATTTTGGATTTGAACAACCTTTTCATCTCTCGTTATTTGGCTTTTTCGAATGCGAGGACAGGGGCTGCCGGCAGCTGAAATAAGGTAGGTATCGAAGTATCGTTGAAGAGATGGGAGGAACTCGGCGTGGTAATTGGCAGATCCGCCGGCGGATGGTTTGTTGACTGTGGCTTGGGGAGAAGTTTGAGAGATGGCAGAAGATGATGAGCGTAGGAGAGGTCGATGCGAAAACGAGAACGACCGAAAGCTGAAGGCCTCCTTGAATGAGGTATGAGAAGAGAGGTAGGTATGGTTTTGCGTTCTTTTGCAGCTTGCTTGTCAGTCCGCACCTTCCTGTCCTTTGGTGAGCACAGGCAGGTGCCACCAACACCAGCGCCAGCACCAGCACCAGCACCAGCATCAGCATCAGCAGTCAGGGCAGTCGACCGAACCAGCCACGCGGATGCAAAAAGCTGTCTACAGCGCCTACCTGGCGATGCTGGCGCAGGTCATGCGATACCGGTTGTTTGTGCAATGCCAACCTTAGTTCTTTGGATTCCACAGCATTGCCACGCGACATCTCAGACGCTACTAAAGTGCCTTGGTTGAAGGCTTCTCCTTGCCCGTAAGGTAATACAGCTTGCAGAGGCTCACGTTGCCTACCTACCTACCTGACCTTAGTTAGACCTTAGGTGCTTAGGTATTCTGTCTAAGGAGCGGGAGGGAAAGGAAGACCCCCTCGATTCAACGCTCATCGTCTCATTCCATCCAATTTCCATCCCTTCATATCTTACCAGGTACGGATCACTGCGACGAGGCGTAGCTCGGCGCCATAGGTCGCATGTTTCCTCATTCTTCATCACTTTCAAAGATGGATACAACGACTCAGCTGCAGCATGCAGTCCTGCAAAGGTACAAGCCAGGTACTTCGCAAGCAAAGCCCCCCAATCCTAGGCTCTCGTCCTTTCAGACGTCGTCGCCCTCTGCTCAGCCACAACGGTCGAGAGCCCTTGTTTCCAAACTTAGAAACATCAAGAATCTTTTTCTGCTCGAGGTGACATTCAATTCCGCAAACCAATCACCCTGCCCTTGGGGGCCGAATGATCGCAATCGGAATCGCGCCTGCCTCGTAAATCTCTCTTCTTTTGCCAATCCTCAACAGGCCCTGCACTTTGTAGAGGATCCCAATTCCATCCGCGCAGGGAGACCACGGATCACAATCAGGGGGGTCCCAAATGCGGGAGCCTACCACAGCTGCCCAGTACCTGCATTATTTGGGGCCTTTCCGAACGGTTGAGCTCTCATGTTATGCTTGATATAAACCATCTCATGCGTGGGTTTATCTACGTAGCAATCCAACCAGCCGCATGAACATGCAAGCAATTCTTCTACAACATTCCGTCAAACATCCTAGTCCTCCTGAACCCCACGTCACGACGTCACAGCCATCATCCAATCCAGCCCATCCCATCTTTCCAGCCCGGGTCCTCCCTCTGCTGGGCAGTGCCCTGTCGCTGGTTCGTCAGTGGCCACCACCGCAAGCAAATGCTGCCCGACATTCCACTGTCAGCACCCAAAAGTTGACAGTCGGAAGCTGAGACCTCCGCGCCAGCCGTTGCCGAATCTTGCTGCGAAATCTCTTGGGTTCTCTCCCGCGTGCATCCACAAACCCTCTCATTAGGCATGCAGACAGTATGTGGTGGAGATCTCAAATCGTAAGGCTGAGTAGCTCTCACAGCGATCGCCCGCCGGTATTGTTGAACCCGTAAGACTAAAGCGAGCGACTGCGCTTGAAGCTGGTCACGGGGCAATGACAGTGAACTGTCCTTACATAGCTCGGGTAGATTGCATCGGCTTTCATGCGCTGGCTGGATTAGAGACTGAGGAGAGTGATGCAAAACCAAGTCGAGCACCAATAGGATATCGCGATAGAAGAACGGCTGGATCCAGCTGCGATTCGCAACGTGCACCTTCAATGACCCAGGAAGTGAGCCCAGTGTCTCTTCGCAAGAGCTCATCGTAAGCCTGCGGAAGCTCCCGAGCTCTACCTGGCGCACCGAGCGAGGGCCTGGACCCGACGGGACCTAAGGTACACTGCCAGACCCGACCAGGTCCCACAATGACGGATATCGGAGCCTTGAAATTCCGCGGCACGTGAACCCCTTCAGGTCCCGGCCTCAGCAGGCAAGCTTCCCTCAGTCTATTCTCAAAAGGGCTAGTGCCTTCTGGCCAGACCCCAGCACGGCACCTTCCAGCTTGACGGCACCTTTCGTCAGCCTCTCTCAGCCTGCTGAGCCAGACACCCCAGCAATCCAATCCGAGTGCATCTGAACACACATCATCACCATCACAACAACCGCATCTCCCACCACCTCCACCCGCAATTGCCAGCCAGCCAGTCTCCAACTCCCGACGACATCTCTCCATTCAAATCGAAATCCCCAGCCAACCGGGGACAAAATCCTCTCTGGAACAGAGCAAGCATCCCTCGCCCCCAAAGAACACCCCGCCAAAATGGCCGACCGCAACCTCCAACAGATCATCACCACCCTCCGCCAAAAGGGCTCCTCCCTCCCCTTCGCCGAATCTTCCGCCCTTCTCTCAAAGGCAAAGCTCCAACTCCTCCAGCTTAACGCCCTGACCCCCTCCGCCAAATCTTCCTCCGACCTCCTCGCCCTAGCCCGCGAGACGTACGAGCTCGGCGCCCTCGCCTCCATCCGCGCAAAGAACCCCGACGCCTTCACCCGCTACGTCCAGCAGCTCCAGCCTTTCTACGAGCTGCCCTCAAACCTCCTCCAGCCCAACCCTCCCGAGCAGAACAAGGTCACCGGCCTCTACCTCCTCCTTCTCCTCACCCAAGGTCGCTACGCCGAGTTCCACTCAGAGCTCGAGAGCCTGGCCAACCGCGAGGGCGGCGGCGACAGCAGCGCCGTTGAGGGTGACAGGTACCTCGGATACCCCATCCGTCTCGAGAGATGGTTGATGGAGGGAAGCTACGACCGCGTCTGGAACGCCCTCAAGAGCCGCGACGTGCCAAGCGAGGAGTACGCCGTCTTCTCAGAGGTATGCCTTGACTAGCGTCCCTTTCTATAACGACCCCGCCCGATAGCTAACAGTTCACCCAGATTCTCACCTTCCAAATCCGCTCCGAAATCGCCTCAAGCAGCGAGCGCGCCTACCCCAGCCTGCCCATCAGCTCCGCAAAGTCTCTTCTCTTCCTCGACTCCGAGGGCGATGTCATCTCCTTCGCCCAGCAGCGCGGCTGGATCCTCAAGGACGGCCAGATCCGGTTCCCCGACACGGCTGAGGCCACCGCCGCCGAGGACGGCACCCACGACAAGGAGATGAGCCAGATGGTGATAGAGAACACGTTGGGTTACGCCAGGGAACTCGAGACCATTGTGTAGACGGGCGGTAGAGACGAGGGGCGATTGCTTTTACTGTACCACTAATATCACGCGATAGACCATGAGATAGGGGCATGGACATCGGGATCCAAGCTCTGGCGTTATGACAATTGCATGCTGAAACAAAGGGTGAACCCCTGCATCGGTCCACAGAGAAACATCACTAATTGCGTTTCTCGTGGCCATTCATACGGCAGCATGATGAAAACAGACGCTGACAAGCAAGATGAACAAGTGATGACATATATTCGTCTCCCGCAAACTATTGCTAACAATCAAAAGTCTGGGACTTCATTCAGACCTTCGGCCCTGTCTACAGTAACTTTTCCCAAGACCACCACCCCCTTAAGGCCGAGAACATTGCGTCTCCGGCAGCTTTTCACTGCTGGTGGAACCCCATTATACTATCTAACCCCTTATGCGAAGAGCTTCAGGCCACTGCCATGCTTACCAACTTCGCATACCTCGCACACCTTGCAGACGGTTCCCTTGTACTTCGTGTGGTACTTGGAGCCGTCAAAGGCACACTCCTCGTAAGACGTACCGCTGTAAATAGGCGTGTGACTGGCTGCGCAAACCTCGAACTCGGCAAACTGATCAAACTCAATCTCGATCGCATCCGACGGGTTACGCTCGCACTGGGCCTTCGCCTTCTTGGCCTGTATGATTGTTAGTTGAGTAAGCGTTGATTGAAGCAGAGGAAGACTTACGTTTTCGGTCAGCTTGCTAGAGCCACCGTTGGCAATGATGCGGTTAGCGAAGCTCAAAGCCGAGTTGTAGTTCTTGTTCCTAATCGCCAGCTGCATGGCGTTGTGCAGAGCGAGTTGGCGGTGAGGAACCTCGATCTTGGGGATGGTGAAGTAAGCAGACAGCTCCAGGCTGCGCTTGAGCTGGTCGGGGCTGGTGCCGAGTTGACGACGGCTAAGCTCGATTTCCATGGCCACAGCATACTCGCTAGCCGATGTGATGAGCTTCTTCGCCTCCGCAACTTCGGTCTCGCTGGATACGGCGTTAATAAGGATGGCATGGAGGATGCCCTTGAAAAGGAGCAAGCCATCCTCGAGCCTGTTTGTCTTCATAGAGTTGTAACCCTGCTGAAGATCGTTGGTGGCCAGGAATTCGAGATCGCGGGGCACAATGGGCAAGACCTTTCTAGGATCCGTTTCCTCAATCGTGCGGCGAACGTAGTTGACCAACGGGGGCAGACCTGCCGAGGCCGGCAGATATGTTCTTGATGCCTGGTAGACTTCGAGGAACCGCGGCTTCAATGGCGCAAAGTTGACAGCACCCACTTGTCGGTTGAGTAGCTGCATAGCTGACTCGAAAGAGCCACCGGCAACATGGTCCACAGCCAAGGGTGAGTTGCGAGCCCAGAGATCAGCTTCGCTGCTTCCAGCGCCACCGGCCTCTGCACTGTCAACGTTGACGAAGTCGCTTTCAACTTCGGGTACAATGTCATCACCCATGTCCCAGCCAGCCGCATCCTCGTCATCCTCGGCGTCAATCAGGTTGCCGTTCTTCTTGGCGGCATCATCGTCAATTGCGTCATCGAAACCGTTGGCAGCAGCGGGCTCATCTTCAAGCGAGAGACCCTCGACCTGGCCGAGAAGCGCCTTCTCGAAAACAGAAACTGATGTAGCCTTTGTAGGCCAGTTGGCCTTGAAGGTTGGGACAACGGGCTTTGGTGGAGTCAGGGCCTCTCCAATGGTTGGAGTCTCCAGCTGGTCCTCGGTGAGACCCGTAGCCTCGAGAATAGCTTGACATTCCTCATCTAAGCCGTGCGACTTTGCAGTCATGTACGCCAAGGGGTCTGAGGTGGTTAGCTTTAGAAGTCCAATGCGTTGAGGGCAACTTACAAAGATCGATCTCCTTGAACATTTGGATTCTGTCCTCAACCTCGCCGAGATAGAGAGCATTCTGGAAGCGAGCGGTGAAGTCGCCGCGATGCTCCGCAATCTTGGCCATCCTGGCAAGCTTGGAGTGGTCACCAGTGGATAGGTACAGGAACGACAGCTTGTCGAACTGCTTCAGCTTCTGATAAGCCATCTCGACGATCTGGTGGTTGCCGTGGGACAGGGCCTCGGAGCCCAATCGCTGCCAGAGCTTGGGGCGATCAAGCTCTTTAGCCATCTCAACAGCAACTTCAAGATTCCCGCATTCAATGGCAAGCTCGAATCGCGTAGTAGGGTCTTGAACAAACTGCAGAGCAATCTCGGGGTAACCCTTCTTCTGGAGGTAGGAGATGATGGACTGGCCAACCAAGCTGGAGGTCTGGATGATGTGAAGCATCTCCTCGTAGTTCCTCTTAACAAGAGCAAGCTTGAAGCGATACTCGGTGGGGTCAACGTGCAGAACCTTGGGCTTCGCGGCTCTATCGAGGCAGTACACATTGCGACCCTTCACACGGACCAAGTAAACAGTCTGATCAAGCGTGCGGACGATGCCGTTGTCGCCGTTCAAGAGAGTGTACTTGATGTGGTTCAAAGTCGAGTACAGAAGGACACCGGCGTCATCCCAGGTTGCGCTCTTGATACGGATGGTCTCGTGCAGGGTGCTGACCTGTTCCAGAGTCTTGGTGACAATGGTGACGTTGTGCTTGCTCAAGAGAGCAGCATAGAGACCATCGTTGGACCAAACGACATACTTGACACCATTCACAGCCAGCTCAGCAACGCTCTTCTTCTGCTGGATATCATACAGGTGAACAGCGGTCGGCGTGATGATGAGAAGGTTTCCGGTACCACCAAAGTAGATATCGCTGGTTCCAACCGGGGGCTTGAATGATCGGGTGGTGTTGTTGGACAGGTCCTTGATATCGATCGTCTGGCTGGCGGTGTTCAGGACGGCGAAGCGGTTGCGCGCAACGAAAATGGCAGAGTTGCCCTGGCCGCGCTTCGATTCGGTAGGCTCGATGGCACCAGATCCATCACGGGGCAGGTTGATCAGCTCGTAGGATCCGCTGTCGGAGGGAGAGGTGACCAGAACGGAGCGCTCCGCAGGATTGTAGGAAAGTGTGCGAGGAGGACTCCAGGGGCTGCCAAGCTTCTTGAGCGACAACAGAGTCGGGCTCTCGATGGTCTTCTGGAAGTCGTATGACCTGACGTGCTTCTCCTTGGTGATGTAGAAGAGATTGTTCTGGTAAACCGCCGACGCGGGTCTCTCTCTCTCGAGCTTGAAGACCATGACACCGTTGTCATGTCCGGCAGCGAACAGGTTGATCTCGGGGTGGGCAGCGATGACCCAGAATCGGTCGTTCTCGCGCTTGAAAGACTGTACGGCGGTGCGCTTGTTGAGGTCCCACACACGAATCGTCTTGTCTTCGCCGACGGACAAGATCAGGTCTTGGTGGGGATGAAACAGACAACCGGAGGCGTTCTGGAAGTGGCCTCGGCAAGTGTCGACCTCCCAGGCCTTGGTCTCGCTCATGCGCCACAGCTTGACGAGGCGGTCGTCGCCAGCAGAGACGATGAGAGGCATGGTGGGGTGGAAAGCAACCCAGTTAACACCGCGATCGTGACCCTCTAGGACGAACTTGACAACGGCATCGGTGTTGCCAAACATATCGGTTTGGTTCTGGTTCGCCCGCGCGACCTGATCTTCGAAGGTCATGGATGTCGGGGCGGAGTGCTTCTTGCGCAGGCCGGAAATATCCCAGACACGGACAGACTGGTCGAGGGAGGCGGAAACAACGAGGTCTTCCTTCGGATGGAACTGGGCGCACATGGCGTAGTGGTTGTGTCCTGTCATTGTGCAGACTGCAAGTCATAGTCAGTCAATGCTTCCTTTAGCAACCAAGAGATCCCAGGGGTTTTGCGCACTCAGAGAGCGATTTTGCCAGTTCCATATCCTAATTGTCTGATCGTCTGAAGCCGACAGAATCCATGGCAGCTCGTGATGGAAGAAGACGGTTCGGACGTAGTCGAGATGGCCGTTCAGGGTAAACAGGCAGCGACGGGTCTGGTATGACCACACCTTGATCTTGTAGTCGTCGCCTCCAGAGACGAAGAGGGGCTGCGTCTTGTGGAAGTCAATTCCTCGAACCGGGCCATCGTGTTCTTCGAATCGGTCGATCAATGTTCCCATGCGGTAGTCCCAAAGCTGGATTGTGGAGGAGTGAAGGGCGACGAGGATCCATGGTCTGGAAGCTACACGTCAGCAAGGGGGCGGCGTCTCGCGGGCTTGGTTGGGCAGCTGGGAGATGGAAGGCTCACCTTTTCGGGTGGAAGGCAATGCCCTTGGCGCGCGAAGACTTGGACTCGAACTGAATTGATTGTGAGCCATCGAGTATATCCTCAAGGGATCTCGAGTGGATGCCAATGCGCCGTGGGCAGACATACCTTGGTCAACATGCCCGAGGAGGCCTGCATTTTGGCGGGGAGGTGAAGCCGGAGCTTCTAGCAAGCAGAAAGAAGCAAACAAGCGGCACCTCAAGGAAGAAAAGAACAGGTGCAGGCCAGCTTAGCGACCAGTAATCAGGTACAAGCTGGAGATGGAGAGGAGAGTGACAGTGACATTCACGGGTCACGGAGAGTTGAGGCGCGGTGAGAAGTGGTTGGATACGCACTGGGAGGATGTAGGCAAGATACGTAAAGGCCACTTCCTCGTCTCGGAGCCCCTAGTAACTAACAATTCCGCTTCGTGGCCATCTGTAAAGTGTGGGCTTGGAGTGGGTCCCAATGGCGCGCTTGTCAGTAAGCTGTGCTGCCGCATCAGAGTTCCGCCGTCTTCCGCAAGAGCTCACCGCCCGGACTGGACACTGTGGCTTCCCCCTGTCGAGCGTCGAGGTGGCTTATGTAAGGCGGCGTCCCAGCTGCTGCCCCTCCAGTAGGCTGGTTTTCTGCCGCATTTTGGCGTGGACCTACGACCCCTGGCCAGAGCGACGCTAGTCCGCTTCTGGAGAGCTCTTTTGTCAATGTGTTCACTTACACCACCTGCCTGCCTGCACACTGTAGTGTACCTCACCTCGACAGGCCAAGTCCAGTCTCTCTACCGATCTTGTCTTGGGCCTAGCGGACGGATTTCCAAAACCCCTCCAAGCATTCTCGCAACAGCCATGCGCCAGAGACCGTAAACAATAATCAGGCGCCGTTGCCTTTTTGGGAAAATCACAAGCAGCCTCAAACCACCTTACTTATTTTCTGCCAGGACCACAGACACCTTCTGGCAACCACCAACCGAAAAGCACCCACCTTCCCGGAGGACAGCCCGCGCAGGCCGTCGCAATTCCTCCCACACAATGGTGCGCCCGTACCAGCTGCCAATGGGCATTGCCCTGACGCTGTTGGCAGCCTCCAATGTTGCAGCCGTACCCTCCGTCACTGTGGACATGAAAGCGGCCTTCCCGTCCGGTCCCTACCTTCTCGAGCTGCTGTAAGTCGCTTGCCCGGGACCCAGAGTCTGTGGAGCTGCAGGACTGACCTTAAATTTCCAGAGAGACTGCTGCAGGTGAAAACGCAACATCTTACTTTCCTCTGCTCGACCGCGTTGCTAGCGGACATTTCGCCGACTCCAAGACGGACAAGGATGTTTACGACAAGTTCCTCCAGGTCCTCCGCGACGATGGACACATCACCACTCCCGACGCTCTCTCCACCTTCAAGCTGGCTTTGTCTCTGAGAACGGCTGCTCCACGAGTCGAGGCTCACTATCAATACTACCGGACCGCTGTCGAGCCAAAGCTCGAGTCTGATACTCAGGATGGGTGTGAGGTGTGGGCCGAGTTGGGAGGAAAGCAATATTGCACACCGGCCTTGGACGCCCCCAAGGACACCAAGTTGACTGAAGCGAAAGCTTTGCCCTTCGACCGGACTTTGGGTTCAGGAAGCGAAGCCGTTCTCTACGCAGACCCCACGTCACCTGGCTTTGGTGCATTTCACAGTGCCCTGGCGCAAAAGGCTCGCAATGGCGAAGTAGAGTACCGCCTGCGTTACACGAAGCCCGCCGGCAGCTACGAGGAGGCGCTTCCTGTGAATGGTTACGGAGTCGAGCTAGCGTTGAAAAGAACCGACTACATTGTCATCGACGATCGCGAAGCTCATGGCGGTGACGATGCTCAGAAAAAGATCACCTCCGAGGAGGTTCTGGATGCTGCAGAAGAGGTGACGGATCTCAAGCCTCTCCCAAAGTCGGAGCTGGAACAGCTAGGTCTCAAGGCGGCTTCGTTCGTAATGCAGAACCAGAACCCATTCGAGGCTCTCCTCAAGCTCACTCAGGACTTCCCCAAGTTCTCCACCTCAATCGCCGCTCACAATGTATCGGAGAAGTTCCTGGCCGAGCACCAACTTAACCGCCAACAGCTGGTGCCAAGCGGTATGAATGTGCTTTGGATCAACGGAGTCCAGCTCATCGAGCGCCAAATCGAGGCCTTCACCTTGGTCGATATCCTTCGCCGCGAGCGCAAGCTTATTGATGGCGTTCGGGATCTGGGCTTCTCGGGAGGACAGGCTGTTGCGCTCCTTGGTCATCCCAAGGTCGCCGAGTCCAAGGCTGACGATGAGCCCCCGCGTTTTGACTGGACAGATGACATTGAAGAGGGGAAGGTTATAATCTTCCTCAACGACCTGGAGAAGGATGAGCAATACGCGAACTACCCTACGGAATTGATGTCGGTGAGTAAAGGGCCAATTTCTACGGGGGTTGCAACTCTCTAACCTGCTTCTAGCTCCTCCAGCGCGTCTACCCCGGCCAGCTTCCTCCTATCCGCCGAGACATCTTCAATCTCATCGTTCCTGTCGATTTCTCCAAGATCGAAGATCTCAGTGTGGTATCCCAGCTCAACACCTTCGTAAAGCGCAAGCTTCCCCTGCGGTTCGGTCTGGTTCCTCTGACTCCCACAGAGGAGTCTGTCGGTGTTGCCAAGATTCTCTACTATCTCCTTGACAGCTATGGCATGGAAGCCTTTGTTGACTACTTGGATGCTGCTTTGCAAGACTCCAAGACAGACAAGGCGGATGCAGCCTGCTTTGAGAAGGCCATCAAGGACCGGGAACTTCTGCCCGAGGCTACCGCTGTTGCGTTCGAGGATGTTCTGCAATCAGAGGGTGCCCAGCAGGTGATCAAGCTTGCGCAGCAATGGGCCAAGAGATTGAACGCTAACACCCCAATTCCACCGGTCTTTATTGACGGTGTACCTGTGCCGCGTGAAGGCAACTGGCTCCAAGCCATGAGCGTCAAGGCTGCCAACGACTTGCAGACCATCCAAAGGGCTGTCTACATGGGTATGGTTGACGAAGAGATGTGGATTCCTGACTTCTTCATTGAGAAGGCACTGAAGCGACGCAACACATACATCTACCCGGAAAACGACAAGTCCCTGAAGATCTTGGATGTCAACAAGATCTACACCGACCATGATGACTTGTTCAGCAAGGTTCCAGTCATTGAAGCCTACGCTGACTCCACAAAGGAGAACTGGGCAGTGTTGACTGTTGTTGCTGACCTCACAACTGACGCTGGAGCTGATCTTCTCCTTTCTGCCTTAGCGTTCCGTCGCAACAACCCCGGAGTTCGCCTGGATGTAGTCCACAACCCGAAGAACCCTGCCTCGGCCTCTTCTGTCAACAAAGCATTGAAGAGCAGCGACAAGCTTGCTGAAGCTGAGACTATTGCCGATATCAAGACGATCTCTGAGGCAGCTGACAGCGACTCTGATGCGATCTATGCTGCAGCCCTCAATGATTTCCACTCTTTTGCTGCCATTAAGCCTGGGTCAAACCTGCTCATTCTCAACGGCCGCGTCGTTGGTCCCTTCGCCGCCGAGGAGCCTTTTGAGGCTGATGACTTCCAATACCTGCTCGAGTTCGAACAAAAGGCTCGCATTCTTCCCGTGTACTCTGCTGTTGATGAACTCGGCTTGACCGACAAGATTGCGGGACCTCTAGCGGCTGCTAAGATCACCTCTGTTACCGCCCTCTCTAGCATGTCTGACTTGCCTGAGGACATCTTCGAAACTGCGCCATCTGTTCGTGTCAGTGCCTACGACACCTGGAACTCGACATACACCGCCATCGAGATCGGTAACCCGGAGACCTCGAGCATCCATCTGGTCGGTCTTCTGAACCCTGCCAGCGAGCAAGCCCAGAGATGGGCCCCCATCCTGAAGGTCCTTTCCGAGCTTCAGGGAGTCTATCTGAAGCTTTTCCTCAACCCGAAGGATAAGATCGACGAACTTCCCGTCAAGAGATTCTTCCGCTATGTCCTCGACTCCGAGCCGACTTTTGACGAGACCGGTAAGGTGCGCGCCCTCGAAGCCTCCTTCAAGGGTCTTCCTTCCGAAGCCTTGCTGAATGCTGGCATGGACGTGCCTCCATCTTGGCTCGTCGCCCCCAAGGTCTCGGTTCACGACCCTGACAACATCAAGCTCAGCTCCATCAAGGCCAACGTCCACGCCTCCTACGAGCTTGAGAGCATTCTTATCGAGGGTCACTCGCGCGAGGGCAAAGCTACCCAACCTCCTCGCGGTGCCCAGCTCGTACTTGGCACCGAGAAGGAGCCTCACTTCGCAGACACGATCGCCATGGCCAACTTGGGTTATTTCCAGTTCAAAGCCAACCCGGGCTTTTACAATATCCAGCTCAAGCAGGGTAGAAGCTCCGAAATCTACACCATTGACAGCATTGGCGCGAAGGGATGGAACCCCGTCCCCGGTGACGAGGGCACCGAGGTAGTCCTCATGGATTTCCAGGGAACCACGCTCTACCCTCGCTTGTCTCGCAAGCCAGGCCACGAGGAGTCGGACGTCCTCTTTGTGGAGGAAGACAACAGCCTTGTCGGTCGCGGTCTGAAGTTTGCAGGAGGCATCCTGGGCAAGAAGACCAAGTCTATCTCAGACGAGGAGCACGCGGAGATTAACATCTTCTCCGTCGCAAGCGGTCACCTTTATGAGCGCATGCTCAACATCATGATGGTCTCCGTGATGAAGAACACCAAGCACACAGTCAAGTTCTGGTTCATTGAGCAATTCCTCTCTCCCTCCTTCAAAGATTTCATTCCCCACCTGGCTGAAGAGTATGGCTTCAAGTACGAGATGGTAACATTCAAATGGCCTCACTGGCTCCGCCAACAAAAGGAAAAGCAGCGCGAGATCTGGGGCTACAAGATCCTCTTCCTCGACGTGCTCTTCCCCCTCTCCCTCGACAAGGTTATCTTCGTCGACGCAGACCAAATCGTCCGCACCGACATGATCAACCTCGTCAACCACGACCTCGAAGGCAAACCCTACGGCTTCACACCCATGTGCGACTCCCGCACCGAGATGGAAGGCTTCCGCTTCTGGAAGCAGGGCTACTGGGCTAACTACCTCCGTGGCCAACCGTACCACATCTCCGCCCTCTACGTCGTCGACCTCCGCCGCTTCCGCGAGCTCGCCGCCGGAGACCGCCTGCGCCAGACATACCACTCCCTCAGCGCCGACCCCAACTCCCTCGCAAACCTGGACCAGGACCTGCCGAACCATATGCAGTTCCAGATCCCCATCCACAGCCTGCCGCAGGAGTGGCTGTGGTGTGAGACGTGGTGCTCCGACGAGTCCCAGCGCGAGGCCAAGACGATTGACTTGTGCAACAACCCGCAGACCAAAGAGCCCAAGCTCGACCGCGCTCGTCGCCAGGTTCCCGAGTGGACTGTGTACGATGATGAGATTGCGGCGTTGGACCGCAAGCGCAAGGGTCTGCCAGCCGAGGCGCCCAAGAAGGAGGATACCAAGGTCGAGAGCGACAAGACGGTAGAGGAGAAGAACACCAAGAGCCGAAACTGGGAGGAGCCGCCGTCCGAGAAGACGCATGTGATAGATGAGCTATAGATGGAGGAAGTTGGCTTTCGTTTTTCGCATTGCAGAGCATACACACACAGCATTAGAAGCAACAACACGAACCTACATTGCATAGATTGAAGCTCGATCGGTTTCAACAAGTGACTCTTGAGTGTCGTGAAGTAGTTGTTACAACATGAAGCAAATGATCTATTTGAACCCGGCTCGCCATGATCGCCAGCGTTCCAAAGCAAAGTTCCAGAGCACGCGCCCAAAACACCATCGCCGTCCCAAAAAACATTGACTCCGGGCACATCTAACGATCCGAACCCAGATCGTTCTAATCATAATCATGCAAAAAACACCGTCTAATGCGAGATGTACTGGAACACCGCTGACACTTCTGGCTCACCACACTCTTGTCTCAACAGCAAATCTTGGATAGGCTTGAGCCCCTCGTTGACGAAATGGTTCCATGTGCTCGTGTCGCCGTACAGCATGGCAGGCGATTTGATATACTGCCTGCCATCAGGCTTGCACCGCTTACACTTGAAGGTGTCGTGGGTGTCTGAATTGGTACCGGGTCGATACTGGAACAGTTCGCGCAGACTGTCCAGGGAGAAGTGGCGCTCGACGTCCTCGGCGGAGTCGACGACGCAAGAGGACAACGACTGCTTGTGGGATTGACGCTGGAAAATCTTCTCCTCGATAGTACCCGTGGCAATGAAGCGATACACGAAACAGTCCTTTTTCTGACCGTCACGCCACACACGAGCCAGAGCTTGCTGGTCTGCTGCAGGGTTCCAGTCAGGGTCGAAGAGGACCAGGCGGTTGGCGCCGATAAGGTTGAGACCGCAGCCACCAGCCTTGGAACTGAGAAGGAAGACAAATTCCTCGCCCTCTGGGTTGTTGAACTTGTCGACGAGCTTCTGGCGCTTATTGACGTTCATGGTACCGTCAAGACGGAGACATCCATAAGCCCTTGAACGGCACAGCTTCTCGAACAAGTCGAGAGTGGAGGTGTAGTTGCTAATGAGCACAATCTTGTCGTTCGTGTCTTGGCGGATACGAGCTAGCATGCGATCAAGCACCTGCATCTTGCCCGAGTACCAAGGCTTGATATCCCTATCACGGCCACGCGCTTCTTTGGGAACGTAGTCTTCAGGGTAGCAATTCTCTGACCCAGGCAGATCGTCTCCAAGGTTAAGCAGATCTGGGTGATTGCAAAGCTTCTTGAGAATGTTAATAGCCTTGAGCGGCTGACTGCCCTTTCCACGAAGAAGGGCCTGGATGTTCGGACTGGTGATGAAGTAGTTGTAGAGGTCGAGCTGGAAGGGCGCAAGATTACAGAACACCACGTGCTCGTACTTTACGGGGAGATACTTGGAGAGAATGTCGTTGGTTCGGCGAATGATGAATTTGTTGACGATACCCAGCAGCTCGGACAAACATTCGTCTCCCTTCTTCCTGTCAGCCTCGCTGGCGTCGGCATCTCGTCCACGCAAAATTGGCAGCTCAAACCGCTTGCGGAATTCCAGACGACTTCCAAGCAAATCGGGATTGGCAAAGCTGATGAGAGCAAAATACTCAGACAAATCGTTCTGAATAGGGGTTCCGGACAAGATGACTCGCCGCGTGACATTCAGGTTGTTGAGTGCGCTAAATGTCTGGCTGTCTCCGTTCTTGAGTCTGTGGCCTTCGTCGCAAAGCATCAGGCCGATTTTGGTGTGCTTCAACTCCTCGACATTGAGACGAAGCGTCTCGTAGGAGACGATGATTACTGGTCGTGTAACGGATCGGCCGCTGGCAATGGCCCACTGGCGCAGCTGCCGCGTCAATTCCTCCTTCGATGCCTTGCCGTCGATTGCAAAGGGTGTGATGGCATCAGCACCCAACCACTTGACCAACTCATTCGCCCAATTGCGGACCAAACTGGACGGGCATGCGACAATAGCCTTCTGAATGGTAGACTTGCCAGCATCGGGAGACTGCTTGAGCAGAGTCCACAGGAGTGTAATGCATTGAAGTGTCTTGCCGAGACCCATCTCGTCGGCCATGATGCATCCGTTCGCCTTCTCCTCGATCATGCCAGTGACGCATCTGTACATAAACTTGACACCCTCGACTTGATGCGGTCTGAGTACCTTGGCTAGCCTTGGGTCAATCACGACAGGAACCCTGGGGTGCTCTCCCTCCACCTTCTTCTTGATTCCAAGAATCTCCGACAAGCTCTTGTGTACGAGAGGCGCGTCAATCTTCTCGGGCTCCGGCTCCTTCTGTTCCTCCTTCTTCTCAGGCACCTTCGGCTTGTCATCCACAGTGGGGTCGTAAAGTACGATTGAGAATTCGCCACTAGGGTCATGAAGAGGCTTCGCGACAAAGACAGCTCCTGTGCGCAGACCAAGGGTTGGCGGGGGTCGATTAGGGTTGAAGGCGGCCGAATTCTTGTTGATGAGAGGTATGGAGAACGCCTTGCGGAATATCGTCGACTTGTCCTTTACCTGGAATACTGGGAACTTGTTCGCGTCCCGGTTGGCTAGGGCGAGTCTGTCGGCATTGGTCCAAGGCTTGTCCGCGTCGACGGCTCCATCAGCGCCCTTGTAATCAACCTTTCTCTTCTTTCGCGCGGGGCGATCGGTAGAAACTGTTCGCGTCGCGGATCCGGGGCACTTGAAAGGCTTGTGCAACTTGTCAACGGACTGAGGAGTTGGCCATCTCTTAGAAGGGACATTCTCCTTGTTGGCGCCCGGGGTGGCGGTGACGTCGGCAGTCCTATGGAGGGGTCCCATTAGCAATTGGCGTTCAGACGAAGAGTTCAGACGATAAAACATACATTTTGGGCCTCGATTGGCACTTTTGCAGGTCTGCAGATGCAAAGTGTTCAATGCCCTAGTGGTCGTTGCAGAAGGCAGGGAGTGGCGGACGAAGATGGAGGGGAAGAAAGAGTCCCGGTCCTGGTTGTTGATCTCAAGAAAGCGCGACTCGACCCGCGTCGCCACTCAAACACGCAGTCACGTGAGATGAGCAGGCATCCGTCGCACTAGTGCCAAAAGGCCCCACTCCAACCGATACATTGCCGCACGGTGCACTCCTCGGAATGTCACTGCAGCTTGCTCAATTGTCTGTTGCCTCTGCTGTTCAGGTCCTGGAGCCCAGATACTCACTCGTCTTGCGTGTTACTCAATCTTCATACGCGAAACCATCAAAAGTTGGAATGATACAATCCTTGCCAAAATCCGAAGGATTTATCATGCGTGAGAACCAGATTGGCGTCGCGTTAGCCTTTGTCCTAGAGATGCAGCTGACACTTTTCGAGCGCCATACGTGGCTACCCAGCTCGTGATGCATGAGGTCGTCCATGGAAGTTGAGCTAATGTGCATTCTCGGACTTTGAGCGCTGGTAGAGTTCTGATATATACCAAGATAATCATACAACTGCAGTTGCCATGCTTCGAGATCAATAGAGATCAATAGAGAGCGCTCCAGTTCCCATGCACGCTACAATGTCGGCCTCTCACGATGGTTTCCAATACAGCACGTCTATTGGCATGGGTAGCCTTCGCCTGGTCCGAATACTTGACTGCGGAGGCTCCAAAACTCAGCCGTTAGCTCTTCTCCTCGAAGAACACCCTCTGACTAACCTGCCAGCATACAACGCCCTCTCATACACATGGGGCTCTCCTGTCGCAACTCAAGATCCGGACCTTCATCCAGTGACAATCCTCCTCAACGGCCGCAGCTTTGATGTCTTGCCAAACCTCCACGATGCCCTCGTTTGGATCAGAGCGCGCAATGCATACGGCCTCTACTGGATCGACGCAATCTGCATCAACCAGGCAGACACCACGGAGCGCGGGATCCAGGTCGGCATCATGGACCACATCTATAAACTGGCCGCTCGCGTCGACATCTGGCTCGGTTCCGTTACGGAAGACGACTGCCCTGCCGAGGTCTCGCGGCTCGTCCACACGATGGCAGACAATACACGCGCTGACTTCGAATACACGTCCGAAGACACCTTATTCGACGATGCCACGCGGAGAAGATATGGGCTTGCGGATGTGTCAGAAGACGTCTGGTACGCCTTCATCGCCTTCTTTGACAGGACATGGTTCAACCGCGTCTGGGTGGTCCAAGAAGTGGCTCTCAGCAAAGACGCCTGCGTGCTCTGGGGCGACGAAGTAGTCCCCTGGGAAACCGTCGCGTACTGCTCGGACTTCCTCTACGATAGCCGTCTGTACGAACAGCTATCCGAGATGCTCTACGAGAATAATCCGACCGTCAAGGGCAGCCACGTCGGCAGCAACTCGTCGGGCATAGTCGCCATTCAGCGGTGCAGGCACGGCATCCTGACCGGCTGGGATGGCATGACGCTCGATCACATCGTCGGCGGTCCCACAAGTTCATCTCAAGACGGCTGCGGCAAAACCTACTGCGCCGGTGCGCTCCTCTTTCTCATGCTCCGCTTGACCTGTGGCGTCGAGGCAAGCGACCCCAGGGATCACGTTTTCGGGCTCATGGGCATCCTCAACCTCCTGCTCGACCTCAGCGGCCGCGAACGAACAGAGATACAGCCGGATTACCGCGTCTGCTCGACATCCGTCAGCGTATTCATAGAGACAGCCGTATTAATCTTGGAGGACTGCAACAACCTCACACTCTTGACCGCCGTTCCCGATGACGCAGCCAAAAAAGTCTCCGGCCTTCCCTCCTGGGTGCCAGACTTTGCAGCCAGCGGACCCTCCGCGTTCCTAGGGATGAGGTGGCCACCAGGCGAAGCATACTTTGACGCCTGTCGCTCTGTGCCAGCTGACTTTCGCATCTTGGACAACAGTATCCTGCATGTGAAGGCATTCTGTATCGGGACAGTCTCTTTGCTCGGGGAAGTCTACTCAGAGCTGGCCGTGAATGGAAGCTTCTCGCAATGGGCCGACTTCCTCCTCCAAAGTGACCTGGTCTATGGCCCAACAAATCAGTGTCGCGTCGAGGCATTTTGGCGAACACTGATCCTCGACCGAGACGCCTTCAGCCACCCAGCGCCGCCAGGCTTGCAGAAAGCATTCCACCATTGGATCGCGGACCACGTAGTATGGGAAGTTTACTGTGCGACGAAGAAAGGGGCCGATCTGGCGGAGTATCTCAACCGCCTGGAGAGCATCCAGAGACTCGCTGAATCGGATGTGAGCCGAACGGTACCGGACCAGGAGGTGATCAAGGGGTATCTCCAGAAGCTCAAGGAACTCGACACACGGGAGGATATAGAGGGTCTCTTTGACGGCTTCAGACATCACTGCCAGGCGTACGTCAACCTGGCGTTCGAGACGTTGTGGGATCGCCGCCCTTTCACGACAAACACAGGATATCTCGGGCTTGGATGTCAATCTTTGAGGCTAGGTGATTCGCTCTGGATAGTGGCGGGATGTCCATCACCACTCGCTCTCCGTAGGATTGCAGGCCAGGGTTCGGATTCTGTTCGTTGTAAGTTACTGGGAGAGGCCTATCTTCATGGCATCATGCATGGGGAGGCCGTCAGCGAAGTGGCGCCATGGGAGGACATAAGCATCATATGAGAAAAAGTATAGGAGGTCTCCTTTCTACTCCTTCATCGCAGCCGCAATCACCATCTTCCTGTTCAAGCCCCCCGCCTTCCCAGAAGCCTTCTCGGGGATGTGGCTAACCTCGTCGTTGACAATGTACACAAACTTGCCCTCGCATCCAGCGGCCCCAAACCACGTCCGAAAGACTTCTTCGTCAAAAGCCTGATGGTTCGTGGTTTTGAGTACCTCGGGCATATGCCCTTCATGAGAGTGACCGTGACCATGGCCGTGGATATGCCCGTGGGCCCCATGCACAACTTTAGCCTGCGCCGCCGTGTCCAAAGGTTTCTCTTCGACGTCAATACCCTCAACGGCGATGAGGACGCCGCCGGGTTTCAGGCAAGCCGCAAGACGAACCAGCATCGCAGGCGGGTCGTCGAGGTGGTGCAGCGCCATGGATATGATTGCAACATCAAACGGCGCGGGGCCAGGGAGGGACGCGTCGGTCATGAGATCGCCCGCGATGGCATGTGCCCGAGAAGAGTCGTATCCCAGACGTGTGGCATTCTTGTTGAAGCGCTCCACGATTGCAGGTGCGACATCGATGCCGAGTATCTCGTCGACGAAGGGATCCAGTGTCTGTGTTTGCGTACTCGTGTTAGCCAGCGTTGGATATGGCGGCAGCAGAGAATGGCATACCCAAGATGCTCCTCCGTGGGCGCAGGCGTAGTCCAGGAGGCGGACCGGGTCGGAGGCATCGCGGGGTCGGAGACCCAGATTCGGAGCCTGAGTGCGGAGAAAGCGGGTGAGTTGCTCTGCGAAGACTTTGAGCCAATCTTGCTCGTAAAACGAGTCGGCATTTTCACTGAGAACTGGTCAGTCATGGCAAAATAGATCACACGCATCACAGCGCATACTCCCAAAAGACGCGGTTGAGCTCCGCGAGAGATGTGGTCTTGGGCTCGACTGATGTGGTCATGACTGCGAAGGCGTATGATGAAAGGTGGCATATAACAAATGGTCTATTGTATATGGTCCTTAATTTAAGGCATCCTGATCCTTTTTTTTTATATCTCCGTTCTATCCTTGATATATCAACCCGTTGCCTCCAACATTCGAGACATTTTTGTCACCGGAGAGTATTCGGCAACTTTTCCCTCAGGCAGTAAGCACGGCAACAATACGGGGACATCTACCCAGCCATCAAGGTAGATACAAGGAATCTCTCCGACGAGCGTTACACGTATCACTCCAAATCGAAAAGCCGTCAAATAATCTTACTCACATCGGCTGTCCCACGTCAATAGTAGCAGCAGGCCGTCTCCGGCCCTCGCCCATCTCGTACATGGCCCACTCGTAAACAGCCCACTGAACCGCGTTGACGATGAAGGCCCGGACGCTACAGATAGTCAGACCCCTGAAGAATACCTTCATACCGCCCTCACGGTACGCCTCCCGCGCAACCTGCATCGCGCCGGCGCGCTTCGTGGGTTCTGACCCCTGGGCTGGGAGTAGCGGGGCGGCTTCCGCTGGTTTCTCAAACGCTTGGGTCTGCACCCGCGTCTTGATGACGTCGAGCGGGAAGATACTCGCCCACGTAACAATTCCTGCGAGCCCGCCGCAGAGAAGTACCTTGGCGGCCTCCTCACGCAGATTCGTTTCCCCCGTCGCATCAGCGGTGCCGACACCCATCCAGCGCGTACTGAGCTCATAGGACCAAAAGTAGAAGCCGTACCCGATGCTGTCCCGCAGCGCAGTCACGACACCGCCAAAGTACAGACCCCTGATCCCTTCAGCACGCCAGACGTCCTTGGTGATGGCCCAGCTGGATGCTGGCGGCGAGGACAGCTGGGCGCGACACTTGATCAGCTCCGTAGGTGTGCTCACCACCCATGTTGCCAGACCACCAACAGCTCCTGCAATCCAAGTTGTCCAGAGACTTGATTTGACGTTGAGAGCGGAATTGAGCGCAGCCTCGGTGCGGTTGTACGAGACGAACAAGAGAGCGTTGAGGGCGCCATAGCCGAGGATGGGAGCAGCGGAGCCAGTGACCAGCGAGGCCGGGGTCTCGAAGTGACGGATGTATGAGGTCGCTGCAGCGGCGGGGATCTGCCCCGGTGGAGGAGCGGTCGGAGGTGCTTGTAGGCGGACCTTGAGAAGGTCGAGGGGGTTGCCGATGATGATGCCGACGGCACCGCTGATGTAGCCAGCCCAGAAGTCGGCGGACATGGTGGCAGGCGAGTTGTGTTTGGTCAGGTCTGGCGGTACTGGTTGCGGTTGTCAGGGTGGCGGAAGTGGTCGACGCGGGCCTGAGATATGGCAATGACGGTGATGATGCCGAGGTAAGAGACCATCCACGCACCACCTAGACCAGCCCAAAAGCGGGCATTCTTGACGGGGTTCGGATCGGGCTTGTGGTGGGAGTTGAGGTAGCGGAAGTGGAGGAAGTGGGAGGTGACGGTACCGAAGATGACGGAGTGCCAATTGTCGGCGACCCAGACGGAGGCGGGGGAGGGAGGGTCGAGCGGGGTTCGAGATCCGGGGAGGGGAGGTTGAGGCGGAGACGGAGGATGTCCTGGCATTGTTGCGGGCGCAGCGGTGGTGTTTCCAGTTCTTTGGTCGGGTGCTTTGCGGCCGAGATCTGGATCCACTGTTAGAGATGCGAGCACGTGAAAATGCGGCACTCGGCGGTCATGCTGCCATCCGGGCGGCGTGTCGTCATATGCGAGGTGGAAGTCAATTGCGCTCGAGAGAGGTGCGCAAGCAATTGGCAAGTTGAAGGATGGACGGAAAGTATCCAATGTTGTTGGCGACATCAGGTACGGGCAGTGGATTCCTGAGGGAAACACAGAGATGCCTGTCGTCGCCTGATTTTGTGAAATGATTGGACCACCACTAATATCTCCGTCAGTACCTAAGCTGAGGTAGGTGCCCGCGTGTACATACGATACAGTCCCTGAATGATTATACTGCCTCTACCTCCCCACCCTACGCTGCGCCTTTCCTAATTAGGTAATTAGCCTTACTTTTAATCGTTTTTTAGACTTATAGCCTAATTAATCGTCTACTTTACTGCCTAAGTTGTTATTTGTAACTTTTTGCTCTTACTACTACTTTTATGAATACCTTTATTTTTTACTATGTTTTTGCTATAATCTAAACTATGTTAATTTTTTCTATTTATTAATTAAAAATATCTTTATTTCTACTTAAATTACTTTTTTTCAGTTTATAGATTACTTTTGCTGATTTTTTTAGTATAAAAACCTTTATTTTTAAAGCCTTAATAATAGTGGCTTTAAAACTTAAAAATAACTTTTAAAAACTACTATAATAGCTTATACTCTACTTTAATAAGTGCTATGTTATACTATAAACCTTCTTTTTACTAAATTCTCTTTTTTATCTATTTTAACTACTAATAACTCCTTTTCTACCTTTATTAATAACCTTAATATTAATTTCTAACTATAGTAGCTATAGTAATAATAATATTATTAATACCCCCTCTAAGTAGTAGCTCTTACTTATCTCTAGTTTATAATCCCTTAAGAGTAAGAGTTATTTCTAAAAGCTTACTTTATAAGTATTAAAGCTACTTAAGATTATTAATAATTTTAAAACTTTTATTACTATTTTATAAAAGCTTTATCTATTTTAATAGATAGGTAGGTATTTAGTTTTAACCTTTTCTATTTTTTTATATATTAACTATAGTAAAATAAGGATTTTAGAAGTTTTAAACCTATATAATAATATTATTCTTCTTACTAATAACTTAAGTAATAAAGAGTTTTCTAATCCTATAAACTAAATATTCTGACTTTACCTCTTATTTAGTAGAGACCTTTTTAACTTTATTATTAACTAATAAGGCCTTATTACATGTAGTTAATACTAGAAGTTTTATTTTACTACTTATAAAGAGAAGCTTAAGTGCTATACTCTTTTTTATTTTGCTAGCTAAAATAAGTATAAAATTATAATATTAGTATTACTATATATTAACTAAGTTTATTATATTATTTATAATAATTTTAAGTTTTAGTATTATTATAATAGCTATAACTAATACTATATTATATATACTTTAAAAAGATATTTTATATAAGTTTTTAGTAGCTAATCTAAGTAATTAAAGTATTTTTTAGGATTAAATCTCAAGTTATATATTAATATTTTTTAGATATTTAATAAAAGCTATTAAGTTTATGTTAACCTCTTTTAGTACTTACTATATTTTATACCCTATTTAAATTAGCTTATTACCTAAATTTGAATAAGTTTAATTTATTTTTATTTTTAAGTAAGGTTATTGTTTTCTTAATAACTAAAAGTACTAAATTTTTAGTAATAATATTTAGGCTAATAGTATTATTATATTAAGAAAGTTTATTATTTTACTACTTTATAAAGATCTTATTACTTACTTTAAGGTATATATATACTTAAGAGGTTAGATATTGTAAAACTACTTTATAAGTAGCTATAAAAGCTTAAGTATTATATAAAATAAGAAATAGGAGACTATAAACTTAAAGACTTATATTTACTATATATTACTAGTTTTTATAGACTTTTAGTAATTTATTAATTTATTTATAATTTAATAAGATAATATACTTTATTATAACTTGAGTATTATAAAAAGCTAAATTATAAAGAATTATTCTATTATTTATTTTATTAACTAGTTTATCTAATTACTTAACTAACTTAAACTTTATTAAATATATCTAGTTATAGATAAAATACTAGATTAATAAGATATACTTAAAACGTTTTACTAGCTTACGTTTTAAAGCTACTATTTTTAAAACTTAAAACGCTATCCCTAAAGAGTACTTCTTTAAGTTTATATACTCTATGTTAACACAGGTATAAGCGTATTCAGGGGCGTGGTATATACGCTTATATAGTATAGGCTTATAGATGGGCTTATGTTATGATGAAATGTAATAATCCTAAGCAATTATAGGCATTTAATCGTATAGAGAATAATAAAGGAAGTGATGTATTGTGATGACTCTTGTTGTTGTTGTTTCCAGGTTGCATCCTCTAGTAGGCAAAAGTGAGGGGAAAGATAATCTGAAACGTAACCTACTAAACTGCTAATTACATAAGGTGCTTACGTAACTATA